CCCAGCAAAAAACTAACATACGTCGTAGCGATTGATCTCTTTCTTTCTCACGATCGTATTTACATTTTATCTTCACTGATATATCATTTTCATGCGAGTCCGTAAACGTGTCCGTTAGCTGTTCCTTCCTTACTTTATTTCTATGAATCCTCGTCGTTAAACGTGGGTCGCGAGTGACCAGCGATTTCTGAACTACTGAAAGTTTAGGATTATGTATCTAGTCGAACAAAAACAAAGGGAACGAAGTACTTGGAGTAATCAATTTAAACGTTAGTTAACGATCAATTAAGATGATTGAGACGAGGGCGAGGAACGAACGAGTAAAGGGGATGAAAATAAAATGTTTGAATGAAGAGTGGGGGGGAAAAAACAAGATATTTGATTATCTGTCTGTCTGTTTGTCTGTCTGTCTGTCTGTCCGTTTGTCCGTTTGTCTGTCCCCGTCTTACTGTCTTCTCTTTATTATTGTCTCCGTGTTGTAAAAGTTGTAAGTAAAACGCTGACGAAAAAAAAAATACTAGCATACCCTAATGATGAAAAAGAAAGGGAAAAAAAAAACAAGAAAAAAAATCGTTGAATGACAATACGTGTTTACAAGATAAATTAAATTGTCGTGGGTATTGTCGCCCGATGCCGGACAAACTTTTTACACGCCCGTTTCACTAGGAATTTAACTTTAGTCGCGTTTTTCTATTTAACGGGCGTCTAAAGGATACGCAGGGACGAGATTGTGCAATACGTCATTATATGTTAGATGGACTTAACGTCGACGAGTTGGGAATAGCGTTGTGCTCGAGGGATACGAGATGAGCGCGACAGAGCTTCGCGGAAAAAGAATTAAAGAAAAAAGCTGTTTCTTTTATTTTATTAGAGGCGAAAATTAAGGTATTGCGTCAGGGGTGGGCGGTTGGGATTTAAAAATGTTTACGAGGACTTGCGTGTGTTTAACTGTTCTTTCTTAATACGCAACCTCGTAAATGCTACTGTATTTAGTTAATGCTGTAAAACTAATTTTCGTGACGCGCGGCATTCTCTCCGTAACTTTTAAAACGTTTCCGTTTCTTGCCGCTAGGTTCGCTCGATTTCCCGGAATAACGGCCACTTCCGGGCATCTTCGATACTATTCGGCTATCTTCGTGTTCCGACTATCAACGAGTACGAATCGCGGAAAATATTGTAATAATTATCGAAAAACTTTACGCGATTTGTATAGGCGCGTTATTATTTGGAAAAAATAAATAAATAAATTAGATTCCTCGAAGAGGACAATTAGGTTTTTCTGAAGAAAAAAAAAATGATCGTACCTTCAGGCTCTTTTCGTGGTAATGTTAACGAAAAGAAATGTTGATAGGCTGGATTAAAGGGCCAATAAAAATTGAAAAAAAGAAAAGAGTTTCCGCGTTTCCTGTACACAAGGGGTGTGTTCCATGCGTTACAAAGGAATTATATAGTTGTTAGGGCTGAGTCGGTTCTTTCGTTCAATCCTCCTCTCCTTGCTTCTTTATATATATATTTTTTTTATTTTTCTTTATCTTTAATGCCTATATTTTGAGTTCTTTGCATCCATAACACGCATTGGTTTCCTCAATATTCTCGCAAAGAGAAAGAAAAAGAGAATCAGAGAGAGAGGGAAAAAAAGATTAAGAGTCATACACACACGCATCTCCCCATTGCCCCCCACCAAAATATAGCTACAACGCTGCTTGTGAATCTCCGCAGAAGAAGAGTGGGAACGTGAATTGGAAGCTGAACTGAAGGATTTCGAGGTGGTACCGGGGCAGATAAAGAGCGCCGGGACGACGAGCGACGCGACGCCTGGAAAGGAAGATTGGGAAGAGCAAATCGACGAGCTGCTACAGGAGGACGAAGACCTGAAGTGAGCCAGGAGATACGCTGAGGTGCGAAAGTCACTCGATTTACCTGAATAAAGGGGAAAAAAGGAAATTACAGAGCCACAAGATCAAAGCTTGATTCACTGACGACAGTCGCGCCTCGTGGAACATTATTGTGTCTTCTGTGTGGATCGCGTGGATCTATTACGTGATCGTCCGATCATCCTCATAATCGGGATAGACTTACTAGTTGTTTAAAGAGTTCATTCGCGCGATTGTAAACGACGCTTGTGGATGTCGGTTATGTCGGTTTTCTTTTTTTCTATGCTTCCTTACCAGTGGGATGAACGACTTGAATTCGTTTGAAAAATTTCCTTAAATAAAAATAGCATTTTTGTCTTGGAGAAAGTCACAGAAAAATCATTAGGATATTCTACGCCACGATTCTGAATGACTCGGAACTTAGTAGTTTTCGAGGAACTGCGTATGCTGGAAATAAAAATAAAGTCGTCCATCGCTCTAGTAAGAATCAGTCAATCGTCCAGCGAATTTTCAATGGAGCGTCAGTAGTTTTAAAACATCGATTTTCTATCAACGACAAGAACACATCCACCCACTTATTCACGCTTCGTCGTTGAGCAGAAAGTCTCTGCAAGACCCGATGAGTTCGCTATGGCTCTCCGACTGTCCTCATCGAGGATTAATTAACCCCACCGGATATTGACTACAACGGCACCTTTGACGACGATGCCTTTTCGAATTATCGATCGCACAATATTGCAAGGCGTCGCGCGTCTTACGTCGCCTACCGACTTGTCAGTCGGACGCGAATAGCGAATGCGAGACTCGCAGTTCTTACTTGCGTAAATAGGACGCTCGAGAATGAGGCACGCGGACAAGAGAGGGTATGAAGAGCGACTGAAATCGTTTACCTGTCTAGATAAATGTAAGAACTTGTACGACCTAACCTAACCTAACCTATCCATGAATTAATAATTCTGTCAAGTATCAAGCGTCGGGGCACGCGAGGCGTACGACAGTCGTTATGTAAATTCAATGTCTCTTGAACTTATGAGAAAGATAAAATCCCATGTCTGCAAGTCTCTCATATATCTCTTACGAGCATTTTCCTCTGTAAATTGCACTCTCAAAAATTCTAATGAATTCGAGTCGGCAGTTTCCATAAAGACGTTAAACTCACATAACCTATGACTTAGAGCCAGCCTGACGACGAACATTGACGTTACGAACCATCTTCGTGACAAAAGTCACGTGGCTTAAGGCCATTTAATCTCTTGGACGATTTGTAATTAACGTAATCAGAGGGGGTCACGTACCCAGTCGCGCAATTTGTGTACAGTATGCTGCTTAATAGTCCGAAAGGTTTTTGTCGTTGCCACGGGCGACAAGAACAATTGTTTTCTGTTTTGTACCGCCTTTCTGCGAAATTACTCATTGTTCTAGACTGGTGTGTCTTATGCTATTTGAATTCTTGATTTTACTTTACTTGTATATTGTGTGGTCTCGGGTTATTGGTTTTCATTGTACGGCAGAATGACATGCTGACTTGTAGATACGATAGGGAGGGGAATGATAGCTTTTGTTGAGGGATGAATAATTATTTCACTCTCATCCAATGGAGTAACGAGCAGCCGTTGTAATAGACTCCTTGCGTTTTGAAAATGAAGCGTTTGTACATTACACTTGTTCATAACGATCCTTGATGCTCTTGTAAAGATTTTCATTCGCGTTTATAGCCGGGTAGGACGGGATAATTGTTTTCGGACAATTATTCGTGGCCTAAGTCTGTATGGAACTGTAGTGATATCGATTAGCGTATTGTTTAATATAAACAGAGACATTCCAATTGCTGGAATTATGCGTTGATTATAATGGGGCGACATTATGTTCTTTATGCTCGGTGCCATTGGCCATGTGTCATTGATTGGCAATTTTTTGATGTTGAGACTAGCAATATATGCCGACGGAATGCGCGGTGCAATTCGGCTAAACCGAATATAAATATCTTAATGAATTATGGAATAACGACATCCTAAGATGCGATGCATTCACTCATTAAAAACAAAAAATATGAACATACACCCGATACTTATATATACATATATAAATATATATATATGTTGTTGACTCCATTGAAAGTATGATAATATATTATAACTATTAATGAGAATATTATAATGACGCAGCATTAAATTTAAAACTATTAAGAAATTAATGATATAATTGCGATAATGTAACAATAAAGGTCGTTGTACCTCATGAGAAATAAAAGCCGAGTACTCAGATGCTAACATTCCCGGTTATCCTAATTATTAGACTATACATGTACATATTTATATATATTCTATGTGGTACGTTTATGGGATATTGGAATATATGTATGCACTTTATCGAGCACTCGTAAGGGGTGACAGGTGTTTATGATGGAATTGGATTTTCAAAATTCCTTCTTCAGGTTATTCAGTGAATAAATCGTCGTAACGGTAGTAATGGTGTTTTATTGAAACTTATTTTACTGACGATAATTTCATTTATTCATTCGCTTAAGAAACATAAGGTTACATTGCCAAAGCTAATGACAATACACCGTACAGTGTTCACGTTATACGCGGATACGTTTAGCATCGACTTAAACGGGTACGGCCATTTTAACTTGCTATTTTTTCTATCACGAGAACATTTGTTTATGCACGGGGAGCAAGGCTTTGAAGATCGGCGATGCACTGCTGGAGATTGGCTTTCTCTTGTTCGGGGGTGATGGACTTCAGCACGTTGGAGATGATCCATTGAACCATTTGCTTCTGGGCCAGTCTGCGCTCAACAGCCTGAATATTCACTTGATAGTCCAGACGTTTCTTGACCTGTACGAACAGAGTTTTAGTTTTTCTTCTTTGAAAGTAATAAGTAGGAAACTGGCAAGTCGATAGTTTTTGAGGTGACCCTTTTGTTTTCTTAACCAATATAATTTAGTACTGAGGTGTAATGAACATGTTACCTCGTTGTAAACAGTTGCAAGACGTTCTCTGTATGTGGCCTCTAACTGCATGACAATATTCTCTTTCTTAGCCTGGATCAACAATTTCTGACCGTCTGCTCTCCATTGCTCTTTCTTTTCGTTTTCAATGCACTCCTCAAGACTCTTCATATTTTCTGTTCTTGATGACTCCCAATCTCCTTCATACTTATCTATTTGTTTATCAAGGGCTGCTGCGACCGTAGGACCAAGCTTCTTGATTACCACGAGAGCCATAATGAAAATGGAAACACCAGTGTAATACTCGTGCTCCAATACATAGATCTCCTTAGATAACAAATAAGTTGATAGACCAATTCCAAACATGTAGGGTCCTGTCGACAAATCAATTTGATTAGATGAGTTTTCTATCATGGTCAATCTTTGTAATATGATTACTCTTTTTACCTGTGACTCCGGTCTTAGGGTAGAAGATTGTGAACCATTCTTCAGGAATAATACCATGTCGGACAGGGGAAGGCTTTTCCATACGAACAGGACGATCACCTGCTGCCGATGACATAGACTGGGCTCCACGAGCCATTATCGGCATCAGTTGTGCTATAAAAATGTATTTTTCATATAATACACATTTATTCTTAATACTGCACAAGCAGACGAGTATTGCAGCAACAAGGTCGCAGAAAACAAAATCATTCATGGCCGCCTTCATTCGATACAGTGAACACTGTATAATCATTTGAATCGATAAACAGTAACTTAAACATTAATTGAATTATATTATTCTGATAATAAATAAGCGAGTTGTGTAAATTAATGCTTAAAAAATCATACAAATTTTGCATTACATAATGGCAGAAAAATACACCGTGTTCGTGCACCAATTCACACGGAGTTCGTACAGTGATAATAAATAATTCTACAAGAATACACTATTTTTACAACAATTGCCTTTTTATTATAATAAAAGTATTATTTCATAAAAGTCAATTACCATTGCGGAGAGCTAGTCTCGACAACATCTTGTCTGGAATTCACTTGCCAGCCCTTCTGGGAGGAATATGGCCGAAACTGGCCGAAGTCAGCTGTGACCAATACTCTGATTATTTATTCCCTAGTTTATTAAATTTCTATATCACATGTTTCGTTTGGAGCATGTTTAATGTGTTCTCACTGATAAAATCATTCTATAAAAAATTAATAAGCGATATAAACTTTGTATGAAATTGTTACGTGTAACGAATAGTGATTTTACAATCAAAATTATATATCTTCAAAATAATTAGTCTAAAAAAATCACTTGCAACAATAAAGCAAAGATGCTTCATGCTTATCAATAATAAATCATCTGTAATTCTAATTGCCAATAATTTACTTTCATTAGCCACATTTATTGTAGTAAGTATTCAAAAAATAGACTTTTATCTTTGGTTATTGGTATCCCTAGCAATATTGACTACTAAAATGAAAAATAATTCCAAGGTTTCTTTCAAAATCATTTATCTCTATCACATTTACAAAGATAATTCACGTTTTTCTAGTATCTGTTGAAATACTACTTATATAAGGTGTCAATAAATTTTGCGGAAACTCTTGTACTGATTTGGCAGTAACAGGATAAAAGCTGATAAAAGCTGTCATCATAGCCGAACGGATCTGTTATTTCTACCTATATTGCAAACTCTCAGTAGCGCAACACGTAAAAGACTTGTAATTAAACGTTTGATTTTTTTCCAAATTTCTATAAAAATATGGGTATGTTATGGTGTTGTTTTCCCTGTCCTTCATCGTATGAAGATTTAACACCTGATCCAGTAAGATAATGAGTTTCTTCACCTTGATTACGTTTTTAAACGTCTCCTGTATATTGGAAATTAAATATTTGTATATCTATATATACTCTTACAATAACAAAACTTTCCATTCTAATATATTTGCCTGTTTAATAAAAGGCATTTTACATATAATAAATATAGTGAGAGATTATTTAGGAAATGTTAATATTTTGCTTGTAATGATTTTCAGGAAACAAGACGTAGACAAGTTGTTGAAGCTGCAGAAAAGAGACGTATTGAGGAAGAGCGAAGAGGAATAGGGAATCTTGAAGCTGTTAGAGTACAACAGCAATTGGATGAAGAACGTGCGAGACGTAGGGCAGAAGATCTTAATATTGATCCACAGACAGGAATGAAGGTAATTTAGATCAAGGGAGATTCCCTGTTGATTAAAAATATAATTGATCTCTTATTTTTCTTTCAGTGGCAAGTGAATTAATCGACTGGTAGGAACAATTGGATATCTGTCAAAGATGTCGGAACTGATTTTAAAGTATTTTTGATCTGTAACTCATTTGTGATATATCAATTACATAATATACTTGATATAAGCACACTTTGTCGGAAGTATAAAATGTTTATTAAAGAATCGAATGCGCATGAACATTTATAAGCGCTATTCAAATTAGACTATCTTATGTACATATAGAAAATACAGTATTTGGGAATGTTTTTAACTATTATATTCCATCTATGAGTAAAATGTCTTAAAGAGGCCATCCTTCATAATTTTCATTTCAAGCGTCTCGTGGATTTCGCATTTAACTTATGGATTGACTATGTGTATTCGATTGAGAAATTCATTGATTTACATTTTTATGATATAAGCAAACACGCAATGGACCATATCTTGTATTAGTCAAATACTAGTTTTTTTCGATGCGCTCTGCTGTATGAGATAATTTCCTATTAAATATTAATAACAATTTTATGAAACACAATTCGTACTTTGTTAAGTACCCTATTTAGTAATACATTGACAAGGTTAAACCTCACACTTGACACAGTATTCATCAGGACTTTAATCATTTGGCAGTGTATCAATAAAAGTTATTTTGAATTTAAAAATATTAAAAAAGTAATTGATTCTAATGTCAAAGCTCGCGTATAAATAACATTTATAATAAAACAAATGTGATTACAGAAAAACAATTGGAATAGTAAAAGCAGTGTAACAAACAAATAATTTAAAATACCACGTACAGTAGTCCCGTCATAAAGAGTAATCTTTGATTAATACTAGTAATGGTAAGAATAATCAAAATGCGACCAAAAGCCTCATATTAATTCTTAAAATAAATATTTGGACGAAGTTACAGAATTTTCTTCTAAAAGGAAAGTAAAATAGTAAACAGCAGTTCGCGTCGTTATAAAATGACTAAAGACGATTCGTATATCCAATCTTGAACACTTATCAATAATTCTTAAAGCCAATTGTTTAGTAACGGTATCTAAGTCGTCTTTCTTGCTAAATAGACGCATAGAGATACAATACTTTGAAAAATGAAACCCAGCAGAATAAAGCTGTAAAGGCAGTAGCAATATCCGCTTAGTTTCTTTGAGCATTTCTATGTCCCACATTCGAGATCTACATATCCAAATCTATCGTATAAAGCTAATATATCCTATATCCAAGATACCTACTCTGCAACAGGATTCACTGAACAATCTAAAACCCGTCCAGGAGATTCAGGCTGGACCAATAATACTTTTCATTACCACGCAAGGGCCAGCACGTCCAGTTTTCAAAGGCGCCAGCTTAAAACATAATATTGCTATTATTTTACAAATTTACTCTTTTATGATTAAACTGAACTTACCTGCTGCCACTCATCAAGATAAGGATCATAAGCTTCGACGAGAGTAAGATATTGTTGACCATCGTACCCACCGATAGCTAGTAAACGATCACCTAATAAACAGACTCCAACAGCATCTCGAGCAACACTCATTGGCGCTACCATGGTCCATTTATCAATTTTTGGATCATATCTGGAAGATCATTTAATATGATAATCCATTAAAATTGAATTAAATTATACAAGAAATAACCCAGAACAACTTACCTTTCCACACAATCAAATCTACTGGCACTTGGATTACTAGCTGGTGCATCGTGACCTCCAAGAGCATAAAGATATCCATTCAAAACACCTACTCCAACACCACCACGTCTTTTCGCCATGGAAGCACAAGGAGTCCACTTATTCGTATGTGGATCGTAACACTCAACTGTGTTTAAGCAAGAACTTAAATCTCTTCCGCCGACTGCATAAAGTCTGCAATCATGCACAGGAGTAATTGTTTCATACAGAGGAATTGGTAGCTTTAAAAATCTTGTTGAACGAAATCAATGCGTTTTCTTACTTGTTATTTAGCGCAGCCACCCCAACGGTCGATCTTTGCGCGGACATTGGAGAAATATAGCTCCACTGTCGTGTTAGAGGATCCCATCTTTCGACGGTGTTTAAAAAGCTCCAGCCGTCGTGACCACCTACGGCATAAAGGGGTCCTCCTAATACTGCTACTCCTAAACCGTGTCTATGAATAATCATTGGCGGCAAGGTGCTCCAGGTCAATGAGATAAAATCGAAACATTCTACAGTGTTAAGAGTCTTCAGCCCATCACGACCACCAGCGACAACTAATTTTTTCTCAACAACAGCTGCACCAAATTGAAGCCTCCTGCCACTCATACTAGCCAAATACTTCCAAGAGTTATCACGTAATGAATATGAATCTATAGACGTAGCACCTGTGAAGAATATACATGTATGATTTGTTGATCTTGCTAATTGAGTTAGCAAAGGTTATAAATAAAGATACCTTTGTTCGCATCCATTCCTCCAACAGCTAACAACTGTCCTACTGTTGCTTTTCTAGGCCTGGTGCGACCTGAACTTAAAATTGGTTTGCGCTCTGGCAAAAGGTGATACATCAAAGCCTCTATTACTAGATCTTTTGCAGCTCTTTGATCTTGAAAGATTTCATTATTCTTTATATGATCCGCTATGAACTGTTTTGAAGTAAATGTATAATGTAATATCTGTTTTGTCTTATTAGTAAATATTTTATTCACTTACGGCAGGTGAGAGCAATGGCAATTTGACTAAACCTAATAATTTACTTGCATCCTTGCTTCTATTTTCTGGATCATGCTCGAGCCATGTTATTAAAGCCTAAGAATAATAATAAACGTTTAATTACATACTTCAAATATAGTAGCTAATCATTGATAAAATATGTCATACTTGAAATATCGTTTCTTCCGATGGAACATTTAGGTCTTCCGATTCTAATAATTTAGCAACCTCGTTGGCAGTGAGTAAGAGAAATTCCTGATTCCTCATTACTTCCATAAAATGTTCTGTAGTATAAGCATGTGCTACACTCAATAAATGAGCACATCCTTGTGTATCAGCGAACATTCGTATTCCTAGACAATTGCTTGGATGAAGCTGCTGTATAAGAAACTGACAGCAAGCCTTGACAACTGGATTTAATTGTAAAAGACATGCAGTTGCCAGAAGAGTTTCCACACTATCCTCTCTCAATTCTATGCATCCTAAAGAATGAAAAATATTTGTGATGCTAGACAAATGAATCAGCCAATAAAGTCACAGAGGGTATTTAATTACCTGTATAACAATATCGAACCAAGGCCCACAAAGCATCACCATCAACTTCCATCAATTCCACTTCAGTCTGACCAGATTCTCTCAAGGAACTAGTAAACATAGCAGCAAAGTACTCCGAACCAGCACTGAGAACCAGCCGATGAGCTGGAAAACGTCTATCTCCTGTTGGCATACAAAGATTCCTCATATTTCTCATTACATAAAACCACATAAACATAACAAAATATGTATAAAAAGTCACGTAGATCATACAGCTGAGTAATTATTTATAAAGAAGACATTGCTCCCACCTGCAATCAGTGTAACATCCGTCAGTTGCTCTTTGTACAAATATTCCTCCATAACTTTGAGACTGTTCTCAGCATGTTTAGGCACCCGAAAGTTTTCGTCCTGCGAATTAGAAACATTCGAAACCATACTGGAAATGCTGTGCTCGCTCGTAGATGCTTCTCTTTGAGGAAAACATATTCCCTGCTCGCCTTTGTTCGTTCTTGCACTCGGCATCGTCGTATTTTAATATTAAAAATATAACGGCCTGTTTCGCGACTGCTATTGTAGAAAGAGAGCACACCTATCTACTTGTACTTAACGTTAACTTTTCTCTCTTCCTGTACAATCACTCGACAATATTTTCATTGTTCAATCAACCCTATTTCTCACACTCCGGTAGCTTCTTTCATTTGACAGATCCTATATAAACAATGCACTTGTTGGTAGCGCAGCAAAATCCCACTCAAGTTTATTGGTCACTTTTTACGCAGGCTCAATGGCTGATCTCGCGCGTAACTTCCAGGTTGCTTAAATTCTACACGCAGTAAATTTTTTTATATGAGTTTTAACAACCGAAGACAAAGTGTTATTGCAATATGTTGTTTGACAACATATGTACTTAAATACCTTTAGAAATTCCGTAGGCAGCGTTGAAGGTTGGTGAGACTAATTAAAAATTCTAATTTCTACTGTGTCTATTGATTTCTTTTTATTTTTCTCTAATTAATCCACTTTAATATGCAACTCATGTGCAATGCATTTCCTTAGTGATATGAAGCATAAAGTTGGTGCAGCATTTGCTACGCATTGTCTCGAATATTAATTGTGATTTATTAGAGGTGATCGTGGGGATTAATAAAGACTGACAAAAATATTTGTTGTATTTTATATATATACAATATAAATACATGGATTTTTACAGCTGTCTATTCCTTTGGCACACTTATTATCAACTTCACTTATTTTACATGTTTATACTTTGTCACGATTTATCATACACAGTACAGTTTTCTTGGGGACTTCTAGTATACTACAAACATGTATCGACAGAATAGTATTCTGTCTTATTTGAAAATATTTTTTCATCGATATATAGCCCTATTTCACATATGCAATGCAATACTTTTGCTTATTCGCATAGACTTAATAATTGATTATACATGGGATAATATTTTTCATTAATATTTTATCTTAAAGCATTATAAGACTATTTATAATAAATAAAAAAAATCTATACTATGAACGTTACCAATGAGGAATACTATGAATACATCCATGCATTATGCAAATAACATGATTCGGAGGGTGCACAGATTTATATTGGAATTTTTATAAATTTTTAGTGGCTCATTTATTCTCTATAATACAAATTATCTTTATCGTTTTCCGTTTGTTGCAATGAGCAAGAATTTAGCTAATCATATAGATCATACAATAATTGTTGTGAAAACATTGAACACATGTAGCGAAGACTGCTAATATTAAAAATTTATAATTATTACCTTGCATAAAAATTCAAGACACAAGCAAAACAGTTCGTTTTTCAATGACAATGAATGAAATCATGCATGTTTAGTGAATGGTAGATAAGTACAAATTCTAGAACATTTTGTGCTAGCGACAAACTTCAGTAAGAGTATTTCCAGTATTCCTAATATTATATGAATTTATCAATATTATATATAGAACAAATAATAATGAATAAAGTTGACCCAGCCGCTCGCACATAGACTTCCACAAATGAAAGTAGCACTATCAGTTTTATCACACTGTATTGAATCCATTATGAACTTTAAAACTCACATCCTTCATAGAATCTTAAGGATCAACATGATATTATGAGGACGAATAATCTATAAAGATACCAATAACGGTATAACATAATATCACGAACACAAAATAAGGATACAACGTTACGTCATATTCAAAGGGTAGTTTCTAATATTGCCCCATAATTTCTAACAACTGATCCGTGCTTCTTTAATGGTCTATACACAGATGGCCCCGCCACAGACCTGTTCAGATTTGGTGCTGCATGCGCTGTTTGAGGTATCGAATGAACTGTAGGGCCTTTTTCGACAACAAAAAAACTTATCAAAGAGCTCAGAAAAGTCACTGGATCCAGATTCCTCCATGTAAATCCCACTAGAAGCTTCATCGGTACAGACAGCAACAAATGCTTGCAAATCATTCTTTGGAAAGCCATCGCGATAATACAATTTTATCGTATCGTAAGCGTCCATTATTACAGATATGAATAAACTAAGGACAACGTAAATGTAAAGTGAAATGAAGGAATACAAATATAATCTTGAATACCACCACAGCATGGGAGACTTAAAGGACGTGATAGAAAAGGTGGCGAACATGTCGTCACCATTGATAAGAGCAAACAGACATTCAGAAGTCGTAGCAAGAGATCTAAATTTCATGTGATATGGTCCAAGAATTAACCAACCGCAGAATGTGAAACCCGCATAAATGAGAATAGCACATATTAAAAATCTCGCGACTTTTGGTGCTGCTTTTTTCAAAGTTAAAATAACGACGTTGTAGGTTTTGAAAAATCCAAGGTATCGTAAAACGCCGAACCACACTAAAAGATTTCCCGTGCCAAGGAACATACTGCAAATATTCCATTGGTCGCTACTGAATTGCTTTCTTTCAATCTGTTCCTTAATAGCCGAACCGAAGATAATTAGAATATCATTAATTATTATCATAATATACCAGAAATTTAAAAATTCTAATTTTCCTTCGAAACTGAGAATCTTGCCGTAAGTTTTTTTAAAGAACTCCATTGTCTCGAACTTGAGTAATTGTGCTCTATAAATTGCTCTCGAGCACAAGATAAGAGAAATCGAACAGATTAGTATGACGAATACATTTAAGATTGTACGCAGGGCTGATTCAATTTGATTGTCAGTAATATATTGGGTGTCTCCTTTACACTGGAGTCTATGAGGCTCGGCATCCAAAGAAAGAAGCATCTGCCCGTCATGATCTCGGTTATCAAAATCAATCGTAATATTGAACTGATAACAGTCTGGCGGAGTTATTGGGCCAGCGGCCTTTAAATTCACAGTTTTCACTGCAAAGTTCAAATTTGCCCGAACAAGTGCAGTAAAGTTTATTTCAATATTTTTCTCCTTTAAGAACACTTCCGACGTAAATCCATTATTGAATTTATGAGGTATTTCTATGCAGGTTTCATTGATTTCATTATTGAAAACGTAACTTTCGTTAAAGCCAAATATAATACCTTCCTTGTAATGATATAAGCATAGTTCTATAGGAACTACCGAATTATCTTCAGCGACGTATGAATAAGGCCCGATAGCGTTATCAAGATCGTAGTAACCATCCAAAGCATGATCAATAGTATCGTAAAACTCATCCTTCTTGTAAAGTGCAAGTGGACCAGTTGCTGGAGGGTATGCCGGTACCTGAGAAAGAGATTATATGTTATTTGCTAGACTATCAACACGAAATAATGTAGCATCAATGACTTCTAATAACCTGAGACAATTTTATTATATTTATGATACTGAAATGAGACTATATTTTCTTTGAGTGATAAATCTATTTAATTATAAAAAGTCAGGCTAATCAGTGTTATATTTATACCCAGCAAAATCAAATAATTATAAGACAGACTAAACAATGGAACATGAATAATAACATAGATAATGCTCTTAGTTATTATTTTACTGCGCAGCAGAGCAGTATACTATTTTAACAATTCAATATCTAATATATCTATAACTGTATTAGCATTAAAAAAGACAATATACCTCCTGCGTGGCATCCCATCCTCTTAGAAACAGATGAGAAAACGCAATCCGATTATCCCAAGCGTAATTTACGTGCGTATAATTATTATGCGCAAACAAACAAAGCTGGACCGTAACAAGCACTATCTTGATCACTTGGACAATAAATTTATATGGAAATCTTCTCTTGGCTTGCCACTTCTCTATGGGATTCATAAAGAAGAACCTAAGTCTCCGTCTCATCTTGTCTTCAGCATAGCTGGTAGCTTCATATTGATGTTGATTATGAGAGGTCGGGCTTAATATCTGCTGTCTGTAATCATGGAATATGATAGATACACTCCAACTATCCACATATGTACCCAGGATATTTCACTACCAACCTTGATTCCAATACACTGGAATCCAAAAGTTCATTTTCATCTTCATCAGCACTCTCTGGAGCCTGACTCCAGGAGTTATTTTCAAGTCTGTTAATATTATGACCAACATCTGTTCTAGTCTTTGTGTCTGTCTCTTCCATCTCTTCAACTTACTAATATATCAAAAAACTAAGGCTGTAACGTTATTGTACAGATGGCTAATCCAAGGTCCTTTCAACCAAACACTAAAATTCACTGTTTGATTCTACAGTTTCAGTTTTGATAAGGCCATTTAACAAGATATCACACGCCAGAAAGATACGTATCTGACAAATGAAGAAATGAACACAATGCTTTCATGTACGTATATACGCACTTCTAACTATTGTACTATTTGTATTTCTTCCACAGTCTGATTCAACGGCGTCACGATTAATGAGGACTGATGGGGTCCAAGTATCCAGGAAGAGGTGAACAAGGGATCCTTTCTTTGGTACCAGTTTGCACTCGTGATTATCACTGGTGACGCCAGTGTCTAGTGATGTCTAGCGATCAGTTGTGTACATCTGGCTGTAGTTGTATTCAGTTCACTGATTTGTGCTATCAGCTGGTGCGCTGTTGCTGACCATCGCATAACTTTAATGATAGTAAATTGAATATTTTCATAATAAAATATTAAAGTTATATTGGAAATACTTGCGGAGAGAACCAGAAACATGTATCTTATGTATTATTTGAACGAAAATGGAGACCGCGTGTATACGCTTAAGGTACTTCATATTAATAGTCTGAATAGTGTTGTGCTTTGTTGGTTATTACCACGTGCATAATCAATCATTGGTGGTAAATCTTCATTTTTTACAGAAAGTTGATCCAAATGGAAAACCCACACTGTCAGCACATCCCGGTGGGTTATATTTTAGAGATCTTATAATTTGAATCAGTTACTACAGTGTCTCACGAAGCAGCATGTATAATTTTTATATTAAACATTTCAGCTCGCTTCTCACCAGAAGACAAATTCTCAAGGGAACGTATTACGATCAAGAGAAGATTTGGATTGTTACTCACACAACAATCTATGCCTACATATTAAAAATTGTTTTTAATTAATTACAACATAGCATATAGCCAACTTTTTATATTGCACTGAATGTCAGAGAATTGTGAACATGGAGATCTACATAATTAAACTATTTTAATAGTACCATTCAGTTATTATTTGGATTAGAAATAATGGTTATAAATATTAATACCCCTACGCAATACCATTTGGCAATGCTACTTAGAATGGTACTTTATGAACATGTCTTTTTTGCAATTCCAACAATCTATTGACAAGTAATAAAATGAAGATGCAGATACTCATTCTAGAATATAATTCTAACTCAATAATTTTTTATAATATGTGTATAAATAACACTTGCAATTTTTCCTAGGTTTGCAATTGCCACATGCATGTGTACTTCACACAGTTATTAGTTCCATATGCATACTTGCCATATTACAATTATACTTGATTATATTCTAGTTATATTTGAGAATTCAAACAGCTATTTCAATAATATGGTTTCTTTATTAAATAATAGACCCTATTATTTGTGTCAGCAATAGAGCCTGATAATCAGGTTGACAATAGGATTTACATATTTCAGTACAATAAGTATATACACAACTGTCTTATATAGATGCAGAATATATATTCTTATATATAAGCAGGATCGTAAAAACAACACAAACCCAGCTAATGTATTCGCAAATCAGAAAACAACGTAGAGCTGTATTCATAATGATCAGAGCATTAACAATTGTATGTAAAGGAAAACAAAGTGCACAATGTGAAAATTTGTCATGGGATCGACAGTAGAAAAGAATAAACTGTATTATATTAAACAAAAAGTTTCTCTTATCATAACAAAACAATACTTGTACCTATGAATGATCGAAACAATCCACTCACTTATAATTCTATTATTTCATTAAGGGTTTTTGCAGGTCACACATTTGTTTTTCTTTAGAATATGGATAATTAGCTTTTAAGTCAATTATAATAATTGCAAAAATATTTCTCAAGTATTTTCATTTCCACACTGAAACAATACAATGCTTTCATACTTGCAGACATTTCTGTACTCCATTAATTTCTTTCCATAGAAAGGGGTCAAATCTAACAGCATAAGACAATTAGAAATAGCATGCACTGGAATACTTCACAGTATCCAATAATTGTTTGATCCAATATTTCATTAAATTTTGAGCTGCAATGAAGCTGATACATTTTTAAGGCACGTTCATGCAGACTACATGATATTATATACAGTGTCAGATAATGTTGCTCATATAAACTGGTATAATTGTGATAATTCAATCCATAGATATGAGTTATTTCCATAAGTTTTTTTACATTAATGGAGCAACAAAGACTCTCTCAAGATTGAGAATACCTATTTCAATTATTGCACTTAACAATAAATTCGCTGAAGAAAATATTCGAGGTGTTTTGAATTTCTATGACAATGCATACACAATCAATATAGGTGGTCGAATGTATGACAATTTGAGTACTGCTGGTCTATGTATAATGATTAGGGCATCGTGTGCATGATTAATAGTATCACTTTATCATTGCGATTAGCAGAAGCAATACCGTGACAAAGAATTAACATTAATTATTTCATTACATATTTATAGCAATATTGAGTCTGTATCTACAAATTGTTTGATGGACGGTGAATTAAAACGGAAATAAGCTGTACGTACATGATTCCTGAAATCATAGTATTTGATAATTACTAAAGTAGAATTTTTTTCAATGATTTTATTCATGGATGTGAGGCTTACGTATCATTTGAGGTAATCAATGTAATAATAAGATGCGGATGTAACAACTGAATTGATTATTCTGTGATGCTGAACCTATGGTCTAAGAAATATTGGCAATTATCATGGAAATTGATATTACATTACGCACGTTTAATTCACATTCAATTATCATGTCCTTTTACTGCTTTCCGTTTCGAATATTTATTATTTTTGTGCGACTTGTATGTATTTTAAACATTTATTTATGAATGCAGGTCCATAATTTACCGCATATTTGCCAAATCATCCCACGAGGAAGAATACGCGTTATTCAAGATTAAACATAAGAAACGTATAATCCAACATTCTCGATAAAGTACATCTGTATATATACAACAGCATAGCCCAGGTATTGACAATATTCCACGTATGTACAAATTGGCAAATGAAGAAACTGTAGAAATTGTAGTTACTTATCATTTTCATCGTATATCGTACAACCCACTAGCAATTCAAAATTCAATCTGCCAATTAAACTTACCCAAGTGTTATCACTTTATACAACGTAAGAATAATTACCGACTAATAATTCTATGAAAATGCTAAAAAAAGTTCTCTCTGAACCACCCTTACGATCCGCGAATTAAAATGTCAGCTTCCGAGTATTATTGTGTCACTACTATTTACAATAAAGGCGGAGGTAGCCCCGAACGCCTAAAGAATAATGTAGTTACATATTAGGCTACATGGCAACGTTTACAAAATATCTATATTATAATCCAGTATTCGATAATCAGTATCAGTCGCTCAATGTTTTATTAAGTAGAATGATTATTGATGACTATGTTGAATGCTTTGTTCTTTCACTGTCTCTCATCGCAGTCGGATGTCCCATTCAAGTCAAATGAATTTTATACACGTTTTATGTACGGCAATATTTCTTACACGTAATACTACATAACTATTCTGATAAATATATTCAACGAATTACTTTGGATCTCCAATACTCATCGATCATTAGTTTAGACAGCTCGAGAGATAAATGTCATCAATCAACATTCTTGTGCGTAATCAAAGATTTAATTGTAAGTACAAAACTGGAATTGGCCGATTAAGTAGATTTTCAATAAATTATGTGTACTGTAAAAAGGCATATTTTTTTTTTAAGAAATTTTGGAACTGTCTAAACCGATGACACTTCGTTAAACGTTTCCGCGAAAAAATCAATGATGGACCCTGTTCTGCAAAAAGTAACTAGCGATAATGAAGGACGTGGACTTTCCATCGCATAACATAAATTTTCTTGTTTCTTTGCATTCGCTGTTCTCTGCTCTTATCATGTTCCTTTAATTTTGAACTCTTGCTCCTTACATATAATATATAAATATTGTCGTATTATTACTTGGTTTCTTATGGCAGAACGTGGGGAGCGTATTATCTGTTCAAAAACAAATTGTTACAGCGATTGAATAACTGGTTAAGAGATCGAGTGTTCAGAAGACTGTAAAAAAGTTATGTCAGAGGGAAGACAAATAATGTTTTCTGCATCAACTTGCTTTTGATAAGATGACTATTTAATATTAATTTACCACACTGTAGTGAAACGATCAATTGGCTTCCAAGGGTGCAGCTGGTAACACGTGAACTTGTTGACCTTTACTCGCATTATATACTTGACCTGGACTAAAGGGTTCCAGTCTTGGGCCAGTCACTACCTCGCATTTGCGATTCGTGTCTGAAACAACAAATTATTACAGAAACTAAAGTAAAAGACAATGTAAAGTGAATTGCAACTGGTCAATTTAAAATAAATAACGTTTAAAATTTATCAATATATACAAGGACTTTTTTCACGCTCTCAACTCTATTATCAATAATAATTAATATACAATTTTGTTCTACATGTATGAATCCTTTTGTAACTTACCATTTTTCACTTCGGTCGCGGGTATATAACGTGATAATCTAACAACAGGAAGTGGCAAGTAACCACTCGTTAAAGGCATCACGTCTAACGTGACACTTTGTTTCTCGAGTGTGTCCAAAGACACGATGCCTGCCGTACGTCCACACACGGCCCACATGGTTTGATCGGCCAAAACCTCATACATTAGTTGAGGTGGAGGGATTGGATTGGGATTAGGTAACATGCGAGTCACTGTAAGACAAAGGTGGCACATGCTGCCAGCACGGCAAAATTCTCCTCCGCTTCCACTAGCTTCCACCTTCGACGTTACTACGAACAAAGTCTGCAAAAATTATTATTCCAAGATCAAATTAACAGATAATCAAGGACGTGATATCTTATGCAATAGGCGTTAGTTCTCATTTCCTTACATTACCTGTCTGAACAAAAAAAAATAAATGAAGAAAAACATGCAATTTTGACCAAGTTGAAATTGAATCTTTTTTTTGTATGTTATATTTTTTTTATTACACAAAAGTTTGTGCAGTCAACAGAACGAATGTTTTTTCTTACCACGTAATCAACGACGTCAAAGTTACATCGATACACGTTGCTAGCCTCCTCCATTTTTTCAAGCTTATGAATATGAAGTGGATCATCGTCCCCACTGAGTTCGTCCGAGTCTTCTGTATTACTGAGTGGTACATATTTCATAGAGAAATGAGTCTTGATGGGCATTAAGGATTTTTCGTCTTTGCCAATTTCTAATTCCCACATGAACGACACGTTCATACTGTTGCCTATTACAAGTTTTTGTCCAGCAACAGGATTTAAGCTTTTAAAACTAATATCCATGGATGCACTTGTCGTTAATTGAGGCTCTGTTAACTGTAATAACTGACCAGTCAGACCAGTTACGATAATTTGAAGAAACTTCCTTCGTTCGGCAGTATGTAGTTTCATGTCTGACATAAATGGAGGAGCAAAGTGTAAAGGTATACTCTCCTCCGCATCCCATGGACACTGTACAGTCAGCTAAAAAAATATTAAATTTTTATTACGAGATAGTCTGTATTTGGCTTTGCAAAGAAGTTAATTATATTTACCATGTGTTCTATCGACGAGGAGTCTTTTTTTGGAGGGAGTTCTGCCAAAACCTTCAGCTCTATTTTCGTTGTTTGAAAAGGTTCACACGGAGCCAAAGGGATAACCATTTCTCTAACCATGAGATTTCCATTCGTGGACGATTGGAATGTCAACCCTCTTGATGAACGTAACTTCAATGTAGAATCTTCAGTTATCTTGACACTACCACTATTTATTGTTAATTCTAAATCTTGTGTAAGGCCAGCTAAAAGATCTCGACCGCATTTCAAAAAGATGGTTGGTTGCGTCTTAGCAACCTCATAACACAATCGTGGGTTTAGAATGGGCGATAGAAACTCAAGTTTCTTTTCAACGATGAGTGACAACTGACCAACTTTGTAGATTCCTGGCTGATCTACTAGCCTAGTCAATGTGAACGTATTGATACCAGGTTTCAATGTGAATGCTTTGCATGTCAAGGCATTTATAAAATCACCCTTTACGTTTATAGAAGGTTTTCTGTGCTTGGCACTATCTGAACGTTTTACAATTGGTTTACTGGATTTATTAATGACACGAGCTGACCCAAGACTTTTATTTTGTTTGTAATCTAAGTACGAGTAAACTGGCAAATGTATTAAACTTGGATCAGGTGGCTTCATATCATCGATGGTACATTTAGATAACCTAAAATATGTCAATATAAAGATTGTATTTGTTCAAAACATATCGATGAATATTTACATATTACTTACAGTTCAATCTGTGGTTCATCGGAAACTTTAGCTCCTTTTCTCTTGTTCAATGGTTGCAATGGTTTCTTGATTTCCTCAACAGATATCGCAGCACAACTACAGTTAATATTCCTTGGTAGTAAACTTTTTACAATCACCTCCACACTAACTACACAATCTTGTATCACTTTGTCTGTAACATTCACTTCTATACTGAGTATCGTGAAACTATCTGCCAGGTCGGTAAGTAATGGCTGAGGTGCATTTAACATTTTCATGTAAGCGAACATCTCTTCGAAGTAGCTGCTGCGTACAGTAATGTGTAAGGACTCAGTGCTGGCGATGGCAGCGCAAACTTTAACATATTTTTCAACATCATCCATTCTTTTATAGCATTGAGCAAGTTCCAATTGTGTTTGCGCTGCTAAATGATACCATCCTTCATCGGTATAAGTTTTTAAAGCGTCCGAGAGAAATATTACGGCTTTGTGAAATTCCCCCAGCTCGCTATAAAATCGAGCCAGCTCCTTGCCTATCAATCTTGCCGACCTTATACGGCCAACATGTTTATAGGTACCCATTGCCAATTCAGCGTGCTCGAGATATTGTTTTTTAAACGCCTCTTTAGAAGAGAGCGCCTCCTTTAGTTTATCAGTTGGAGTTAATTTTCCTGTTACTTGAGGCTCAGAATCTCCCATTCCTGCAATTAGGTAAACCACCGTATGTAGTTTCTCGCTAGTCAATTCGTTACCGGGCATAAGACCGCACAATCTTCCCAAGTCTCCTAACTGAAAGAAATTATTTTGTAATAGAGTAATTCAGTAACAATATGTCACTCCATTAATTTAATGTAGATATTAAATGCTGATGGACTTACCTTATCATTTGCTAGAGCCCATAAACTGGCAGTATGTAGAGAGCAAAGATCTAATTGTTCTTGTCCATTTTCTGTATTTAAATTCGAAAGTTGACAAGCCTGTATCACTTCCAGTGCGCAGAGAAATGCCCAGCACTCAACTGCGCCTTCTGGCCTTTGAACTTCCAACATTCGTAACTCGCTTAATGTGTTATATACAAATGATAAGCACCTCTGCGCAACCTGTGGTTAGTTTATAGTTATTGTTATTCTTATGTACAATTTTGTGAAATGTCTGTTTCTTGTGCTCTTGTAAACGTACCTCCCAAGGCTTGTGGAGAAGAAGTAGCATGGCACATTGTCTACTGAATAAGTAACTTCGAAGATCAAGCAATGATGCTTTGCATTCAGCCAAAAGAAGTCTTAAATTGTGGTCCACGGTATTATCCAAATTTACACCCATCCAGTTATTAAGAGGACTTTGGAAAGAACTTAACCACGCTGGAGTATCTGTATTTGATATTACAAAAAAATTATTAGCGATTTTAAACAGTAAAATTTAGGTTTTGATGCAAGATACAGAACGTACCTCCTACGTTAGAATTAAGCACAAATTGTGTGAAGAGAGCATCTAATTCATCATACTGAACCAATGCTTCACTATACAATCCTAACATTTCCAGTACAAATGCAAGTTCCTCCTAAATATTAATATATAATTTAAAGACAGATTTTTTACAGTACAATAATAGAGTTATATAAGGCCTAATTTCTAATAAAAGATTAAACTACCTGCAAAAGAAAATAGTGACAAAAATTCCAGCCTGGCTGATTTCGTCTTTCTCTCTGTTCCCGTATTACTTCTTCGAAGCGTAAAAGCGTTTTATCATAGGCAGTAAGCACTAAGTACCGAATTCGAGATATTAAACCTCTCCATGATTCGGCTGAACGTGATTCAGACTTAATTGGATTTATTATAGACAAGCACCTAAATTATTATTAGAATATATTAGCTTCAACCAGTCAAATTATTTTAAGGATATTTATATCTTTGCTTAAATATTTTATTAAACAGTATGACAAAGTCTAGAATTACCTGTCTCCTTGCTTAGAAGCAAAGTCACTACGAATTTTATCTAGTACTGTAGTTCTAGGAAGTAATTTGTTACTTTTCTTTATATCGTAAGTCTCTACCAAAACAATCATCCAGTCTTGGACCTGATATTGTCCCAACGTTTTAAGCCAAGCATCTATGTCATCTTTCACTGACGTTTTATAAATGTCAACATCCTAATTTTTTAACAGAAATATGTAAGATTATATAATTTTTTTTTTCATTTTTATTAATCATGAAATATATTATATTATCATACACTTACACAACAGTCACTCCAATAGATATGCAATATAGGTTGTTTAATTAGATGCCAATCTTTTTGTGTAGGCAAAATATCTTTGGAAAATGGTACAAATCTGGCATTCACATAAACATCCTCTACTGGTCGACCAAAGGATCTTCTCCATTCGAATGACTCCGTAGGAAGACTTTGTACCAGAGAATTTTCCAAAGTAGCAAATAGTTCCTCATCTCCAGCACCTAAAGTAATAATAATATATATAATAATCCTCAGGGACATAATTTTTATGACTTAAATTTAAAATAACAAAAACAGAAGCTTGTCAAAGAATAAGTTGTTATTTCCTACTCTACTTTGATATAATATTCACTAATAATGTGCTGACGCTTGATCATTTAATTGAACCACTTCAGAGAAAGTAGTACATTACAGGGAGATCACGATCTCAATTACCCTAATTGGATGAAAGAGAAATACTATATAAGGCTCTAAGAATTAATGGTTGGGAAATGATTAATATTAACAAACGAAATTGATAGTTTAAAACCATAAGTCTAAAAAATATATATAAAATATCTAGCAGAAAGACCCTGACATCCATCAATGATTGAACTCCATAGAGGTCAACTTATGTGAAGAGGTCATGGTCCCAATCACTATGATTAAGAGGGAAAGAAAAGGGGAGAAAATTGATATGGATATTGACAGGCTGTCGAGGAACATCAATAACAATGACAAGTAAGAAATGTCATTGCTGGAAACAGGTTAAAACAGAGTAATTGTCGAGTAATAATCTTACAGGTGATAATCGTTTTGTTATCCATAGGAGCGTCTGATCCACGTTCACCACCGGACGATGGCCTTCCATTGCAATTCATTTCGGAAGGCTACGAATCGCTCAGGAAGCTTCCTTTCAATCATTACAAATTTACGTCACTTTCGCCCGACTGCGTGCAAACAACTTCGATGTCAGCTCGATGAAAGTTCAGTTAAAGTCACGCAGTAATCCGCGCGCGGAATTACCGAGCGTAACGTCTCGTCTGTTACAGCCTTGTCAAAGTTTAATTTTTCAATATCACAGGATGAATTTCAATCCAGACCGTGTGCAACTACAAACGTGACAAGCTCCATTTTCGAGGTTGGAGTTTTCACTCGGATGCCTCCCACTACCATCGATTCAAGAGGACTGACAGATTTCACCCTGTAATCGTAATGCGTAAGCTCCTTAGTAGATGGTGCTCATAATGCTGCACAGAAGAGCAAATGGCTGTCACAATGTTATAAAATACTTAAACAAATTTTGAGAAACATTTTTGCGTATGACCATAGTCTCTACTTCTAATTCTTGCCTGTGAGAAATACTAAAGTTCATGAAAAGAAAATCATGTTACAAGCCAAACCACATAACACAATCACCGGATTAAAGTCCCTTGAAAATGGCGCCTTGTAGAGGACACTACTATAGCCACCTGCATAACCTGTTTTAATAAACAGGTTGGCCAACTACTGGGTATTCATGAATGTTTTTTTTTTCAACCGTACAAGGGGAGTTTAGCAATCGTCATTTTGCTAACAGTTTCGGAGCGACGGTTAAGCTGAAAGCGCGTGGTTCATCCTGAGAGAATAAAAACGGGGGTACGGGGCGAGGCGAAGAAAAGGCCGTGCATGCGGTAAAGTTGTCTTGATAATATATTCAGTTGCCAAACAAGTTTCCTAATAACGAAGGGAATCCTGGTTTGTTGAGTGCTCCTGAGATTGCTCATACTTGAGCTTAAAACTCAGGGCTCTACTAGTGCGCGCCGTACCATTGTTACGACGGGATCTTTAAGAAAATGGCCGACAATTGGACACGGAGCGTCCCTTGCCGGTAAGAATAATAATTTCTTTTAATTATTAACGAAGACGCATCGTTAATGACTTCTGAAACTTTATATCCTAGACTTGACCTGCTATCCGCTTAAGATCGTTATAGGGATTAAAGTTGCGTTCAAAGCATTACGGAGTAATTGTGTACCAAACGTCAACATTTTTGGCAGTGTAAATATTGACATGACAGTTTTGCACTGCTTGCATTTATGTATAGGGTGCTTTGAAATGGACGAACGACTTGTATATCTATATTGTGCTAATGCTATGTCAAAAGTCATTGGCTTGTCATTTGTTTTAAAGTTTAACTTACCTTGAATTATTATTAAATTCTATCAATATTGAATACTAAAAAGTTTCGAGCTACTATGTAGCAATTAATAGTAAAATTAAAGTAAAATAGTAACTTTGCGAATAGCATTGATGCTGTTTTAGTTTTTTTATATAACGAGCAGTTAATAATGTAGAATGTCTTGTATTCTGGTCACAAGCATTTGAAAATAGTTCACGATGAGTGAAAGAGGAAGGTGACATTGAAGTTTTTTGAATCAGAACAATTTACTTTTGCACTGCTAGATATAACTTCTGATTTAATATTCATACGTATTTCCTTTGCATGTTGGCATACAACTTGTTTTTCAACAGTTGGCAAACATTGACAGTACCTTGTTTTGGTTTCAGGTATTTTAAAAATGGTATATGCCGAGAGGGAAATAACTGCCAGTATCGTCATGTGCAAGAAACAAGACGTGAGGGTGGTTCCAGCATCGAGACGGAGGCTACATCAACTGTAACTGCTGCCTCTACAGCTGCCTGTCATTTCTTCAAGCAAGGGATGTGCAAGTTTGGTGACCGATGCCGGTTCAAGCACATCACGGACGAGGATTCCAGCCCAGCCACGGCCGAGACTTCTTCTTTCGAGTCCCACACTTCCGGTATCTCTTCTGCTTCGGTTACGGAAAAGATGTATGTCGCAACGTTAACGTCTCATTACTCGTCACCTTGGTATATGGTATACGTCAATGCGTATATTAATACGTATTTTAACATCTGGAAAGGTCAATATTACCGATGAATGAAAGTTTTAGGCGAGAATCTACCCTATCTTAGGTCAAATATATTGAAATTCATAATTATGTGTGTTCAGTAAGGAGGTCCCACGACTGGCTGAGGAATGGGTGAACGCTCCAGAGTTCGTACCATTGTCAATACCAACCGCCTCGTCTTCATCGACGGCTGAGACCTCTAGTACATCAGCAACTACATCAGCACCAGTCTCCTACGCTCGGGCTGTGAATGCTACCGGACAGTCAGTAACCTCATCGTCTGCCCCGCTTTGTCCCTACGCAGAAGCCAGTGGCATATGTAAAAAACCAAACTGTACATACGTACACGGCGACATATGCGAGCTGTGCGGTCGTGCAGCACTTCATCCGCACAATGAGGAGGAACGGAAGAAACACACAAACGTAAGGATGTATTCTAACCTACTAACCGAATCTCAGTAAGAGATTTGGAAAGTATCACTCACTGTATTCTTATATCTCCGGCTGAGGCAAGTGACATCATTGATGATTGAAATATCTGATACTGTGATTCTCATTCGTAATTCTATTTCTCAAGGCTTGCGTCAAACAGCACGAGGTCGACATGGAACTCTCGTTCGCTATACAGCGGAGTCAAGAAAAGTCATGCGGTGTTTGCTTCGAGGTGATAATGGAGAAGTCTACGCGGGAACAAAGGTTCGGTATCTTACCGAACTGCAACCACTGTTTTTGCTTAACCTGTATAAGGAAGTGGAGACAAGCCACGCAATTCGATAATAAAATCATCAGAGCCTGTCCAGAGTGCCGTGTCACTTCGGACTTTGTTTGTCCTAGTATGTACTGGGTCGATACAAAAGAAGAAAAAGAAAAGCTCATTATGGATTATAAAGGAGTACTCAGGTAAGACAGTCTTTTACGGCTACAATGCATTGAATTAATGATCTTTCAAATAATTACATGACTCTTTATTTTCTGATTATCAGCACCAAGGACTGCAAGTACTTCATGAAGGGTCGTGGCAAGTGTCCCTTTGGCAACAAGTGTTTCTACCTGCACGCTCTACCTGACGGTACCAAGGCGGACGTGGGACCACCAGTTCGACAGCGACGCAACGCTGACTCCGACATTGATTTCTTGCACGTAAGTGTAGTCGAGTGGATATATACTTATCATCCGACTTGTCGTCCACGTCTTACAATTCCATTTGTACTATCTGTCCTAGCAAACGTGTATTCCGCGTCTGTACTCAGTCTCTCTAACGTCAGTCGATACTCTTCAGAACTTTTGAATCTCCTGACAGTTGACTGAAATGTCATTTTCGAAAAAATTCAATTGAAATTTGAGCCTTACGCCAACCTTCCTTCTTTTTTTCGTGTCATATAGGTATAATAATAATAATTGCAATATGTTCATTCACAAGAATACAATTTAAATATGGAATCAATGCAGTCTGAAAGCGAATCTTCGCTTTGTAACCGCTGGTACTATTGCCATAGTGCATGTCCTGGATATAGAGAGTAAGGAAAGAACGTATGAACGCAATTTAAAGTAATTATCCTGAACGTATTCACTGTCTGCAAGAAAATCTCTAGTCGCGCATTGCAACAGAGATTCTTATTGATTCTACTGTGCCTTAAGCTTTCCGTTCACACTTATGCACTATAGAATAATCGATATAGATTTTAGTAGCCACTAAGCATGCTGTCGGATCAAAGATCCCACTGTTATATTTTTCTACCACTGCTTAAACTGGTCATTGCCATTAGATCTAGTTACACGCGATCGATTAATGGGACAGTGTCATGAGGATATTTTATTCATATTTTATACGCTTGTGCTGGCATAGCATAATTAAGAACATCAAAAGTTTCCTACGTAAGGAATAAGGACATAGATGTTCTCTTGTTCTGACATAACGTCAAGTCCTATATGAGCTGTTAACTAAATATATTTTAAGATGACACTTGCACTGAGTCTTTCTGCATTTTTGTCTACTATTTCAATTATTATCTCTAGAATTCTCTTATCAAAAGTTAAATCATTTATACGTTATCTCTTAAGTCGTAACCTGCTTGACCCAATGACCCACTGAAATTCGTATACCCCCTATCAGGCTAGTATCAGTCGATTTTTAAGAAACAACGGGACCAGGGTGTGATTAGATTTTAACAAATGACCCAAAGATTCTTTAAGCGCGTTCGATTCCTATGAATTAATAGACATCACAATAGTCGAGAGCAGCTACGTGTCAATTGGACAGGAATTACATCAGACAGTTGGAGCTTTGTTCTATTTAAAAAGAAATTAATGGCAAAAAATATGCGTAGGTCGATAGTACGATAGGTTCATTCGCAATGGAAAAAAAAAAAATAGAAAACACCTTCGATGACATGGCCAGGTAATGATACGTCAGCCAATAGTCATTAATGCTAACTCCGATCATTTATTATATAATATCTTGCTCCACATAATTCTGCTCGTTATATTGTACCGCCTCGATACTTGTTACTCGTTTATGTAAGTCGTAATAATAAATGCCTAACGATTAATCCTTGGGACTTTTCTTGTGTCTCCTGCAGCAGATCATCCTATGGGACTTCTTGGACGCGCGGGACAATCACTTGATGTACAGCATCGACGAGCTCGAAGATATTGTTGCCTTTTTCTCAGATTCGGAGGACTCCGATTGGTCGGAGTACGATTTATTTTTTGACTAGTTGTATCGCTGTCGCGATATCACAACACTTCCCCCCCCCCCAACCCACCCTCAACTCGCCAGGCGTGATCCGCCCGAGCCGTAGCTTCACGAATCTCGAGCTCGATACTGCTCATCCCCTGTAAGATGGTAGTATTAAAGCTTTCGACACTCTCGTGCACATAAAATGAAAAATGGAAAAAAAAAACACTTGGCTGACAGTGCTTCAAGCTCGACGCGATATATATATCGCGATTTATCGCAATCGCATTATTAAGTGACCATCAGGTAAGTATCGATAAGTAATGGCGATCGATTCTTCGACTTTCTCAACGCTTCACGTATATCGCCACTTATCCTACGATTATCGTGTCGATTGGGATGGCAAAAGATGGCCGCTCAAATCTTACCAAGAATTGCACAATCTATGCATTCAAATCGAATATAACAATGGATGCGATCGGAAGGGTAAAAAGAGTTTCTTTTAAGATTATGGCTGACTTTCGAATAGGCCCTTGAATCGCATAAAGAAGAGGACGCTGTTGTAGACACGTTGATCGTATCCAATCGTTTACTCGACTAATCCAGGTTTTTCAATCACCACGCGATACTTAGACTAATGTCCACCGTTCACGCGCCGTATATTAACAGTTCACGTATCCTTTACCGTTTGCTCAAGAAGTTGCGCGTGAAGATGCCGAGTGTCGTGTCGATTATGGTCACTCGATCCAATGATACTTATCGCTCCTAGTGATCGTGGAGTTGAGTTGCAGCTCCCGTCGTTTGCCTCGGATGTTACTTTAAGAGATCCTTAAGGAACTTTAGATCGCGCCAAAGCGATTAAGAAAAAAAAGATATCAGCTCGCCGTTTTCGAACCTTAAGATCGATGTTCGATGTAACATGAATAATGTACCGCGCGATATTTATCCTTAGGAGTGTCGTTTTAAGAGTTAATTGTATCGGAGTTATATGATTAAGGAGTCTCGCTGTACTTTATCTGGTTTAATCCTTTGGCAAGTGTGTGGCATTTGTATTTTATCGGGTACGCGATTGTTCATGTCCTGAACGTCTATACAGTAACTTTTTGATGTAACACGCTGTCTACAGATTGAATGTAAATTGCACGCAATGTCACGAATTTTTAATGCACGTGGATACGAGCAGGCAATATTCAATCAATGGAATACCCAGGTTTAGGAGCCGCGTTACACATACATTGGATTCACGTTTGACACCGCATATGAGAATGATTAGATCGTCTATTCGTATACTTAATTGAATATACTTAAAGGAAAAGGAAAATAATGAGAGAGAAAAAGAAAGAAAACGGACGTTCGGCTTGAAGTACGATTTACCGAGTATCATCCTACCTCCCGCTGCGGCTCCGCAAATATTTAAGAAATTCCTTTAAATTATTCAACCTGTATAGCGTTACTTTGTATATTGCGTTAGATGTATTTTTTTTTTTTATTATTTTTGTTTCTGTTTGAATGCATGAACGAACGAGTGAATCGCGTGATTGTTGTTTTTTGTGTGTGCGTCTTGCCTCTACGATGATATACGAGCGAATGTGTGCGAACGAATGCTGATAATAGCGTTAGTGATGATAAAATATGCGCTTTCAGAATGGATTCTTTCGCGAGAGAAAATGAAAAACGTTTAAATATGGCGCTCGACTTGTGATAGATTGAGGTGGAGCACGCTCGATAATACACTGCTACTGCCTTCGTTGCTATTGTTGCTATATTTATTAAGATAGCTTTACGTAATGCGTTTAAACATTAATTATCCTAGCGACATTCGATTTACATATTATTGAATATTGTCAGTTTCGTTTTACGGGCTGATGCTGAATTCTCTATTGCTTTATCCATTAATATCATTATAATGTAGCGACGACACTCGTTAATGTCCACAATTATTATCTCTGTATTCCAATTTAGCGAATATCGTCGCGGTCGTATTGATTCTTTTTTTTTTCTTTCTTTCTCTTTCTATTGCTTTATTTCTCTTTTTAGTGATAACACTTAGCTTAGCGTATTTTATTAGAAATCTCATAATCACAAAAATGATTAAATTTCGCGTACCTCTCTCGTGCACTAGCCGCATCGTTTGATGACTTAGCGCTATTAACGACTTCGTACTAATTAGTAATTAATTTACTTATATACTTAAGCGGCTTGGTTCTCGTGCAGATGCTTCACGTAATATTTAAAAAATTGTCAACGATGCGTTGAAGTAGCGCCTGTTTATATTTGAGAAAGGGATGCTAAGGATATATATATATATATATATATATATATATATATATATATATATGTATATGTATAAAACAAAATTATGCTTTCCCAATTGGTTCGTGATAGCGACTTCTCGAAGTTCTAATGAAGCAATCAATGCTCTCTGGATTGAGATTAATTATTCGGTACCTCCATCCTTTTTAATCCTAACAATGGATATTTCGTTTTCGCTAATAATCGCTCAGAGGATATCTCGACTGGAATCGGGGATGGGGACTCTGGCGAAATTTTATTATAAAATTATACATAATATTTTAATAACACGTTCTTGACTGGGGCGAGCTATCGAAAAACTTAAATATTCCTCAACTCACCTTCGAGCTGTACAATTTTAATATGATCCGTGCAAACAATTATTTTCTTTTAATATAATGCCACGTCGATTGTCAAAACCAACTATTGTCCTTAGCATCCCTGTCTTGGCGATTAGCTACGATGTTAAAACGATACAAGAATAGTAAATGATGTAAGCCCGTGATAAATACCATTGGTATGATGATATAGTATATTAACGATAAAAATACATCTGGTGGTAAGCAAAATAATTGAAAGCCTGAGAAAAGAGACGAATGTCATTGCTTTCTCTTAGGGTATATTTATAGATTTTGAAAAATCGTCATTGATATTTGTAAGTCCGCACGACGAAGCACACGCAAGTCTCTCGTTATTAATTCGAATTTAATTAAGAACGACCCTCGGATGAAGATTGAAAATAACATCAGCCCCACCGCTATACGAGTTATTAATACTACTGTACGTTTGTAACTATTGCTTTAGACCTTTATAAAGGTTCGATCTGACCTTACGACCCTCGACCCACTTCAAGGCCCTCAGGTCCACGTCGCGACTCTCAGTATGTATTTATTCGCGCATTAATCGTATACCAGAGAGCAAAGGGCATTAAAATGCGTGTATAAGATTATTTCGAGGGTCGTACCGTCAGCGTTGTTCGTTCGATAATCCATCAATATTATTATCGACGATAAAGAGTCTATAATGCCGTTGGAGATCGTAGTACCACCTTTCGTAAGTAATGAATGAATGAATCTAGCATATTTACGTAATACTAACATCAGAGCCGTGGGTCACGGCGATGCTAACCGTTATACGCAAGAAAACCGATTTAATTAATTGTCGGACCTAATGATTAATCGGAATGAAAAGTATATTAAAAAAGCGAAAACAAAAACAAAATTGATAAAGATACATTTTCGTATGCGCCGTTAGAGCCTCTTAGTCATTAATTTGTATGTTAGTATGGGAGTTCGATGGTTGGCTTCGAATTCATTTCTTACGATAATATATTTTTGTTATTGGAAGTAGAAAACGTAATAAACAATTATCGGTGAATACACTGGACGAAGCCAGTTCTTTTTTTTTTCTTATACGTCTTTTATTTACGTTGACATTTATCATATGTCATTACTGTTTACTATTTATCCTGGACCCCTGATGCCATCTTATCTGCTATCTCTATATTTGAAGGGTATATATTAATTAGTTTGTACGAGAGGCATATTTACTTGAAAACTAAAAAAAAAAAATTTAAACTAGCTCTTCGTATTTACCATGAGAAATCTTCAGCTTCTTGTGACAAGTCCTGAAGTGATACTGGTTTTTTTTTTGTAATAATGAAAAATCATTAAATAATCTAGGAAGTCACGAGAATCTGGAGACTAATGAGCGAGATTAATATTAGACTGGAATTAAGGTTAACTTTTGGGCTGGTTTTGAATTAGAATTTTTAGTCTCAACTCTTATCGACATCTCAGCGTTATACATATATATACGTGTGTCTATTCTTACAGTCTTATATTATATAAATGATAAATTATCGGTAATGTCTACTTACCAGCAATGTGCATGCTTGACCCTTTCCCTCGCGGTTATCATTGCTACGATAAAGAATTAAAACAGTACCAAGTACAGGATGTCTCCCAATAGGATGGTGATAATAATTACAAATTTTCTACGCTAATGGCTGCACGAATTATGATAAATTCTTGACAGGGTCTTGCAGAGACTGCTTTCGAAAAACAACTAAAAAATATTTATGTCAGAAGTGTCGTATGTGGTTTGGACGATTTTTATTTCTTATAATAATTACTAGTAATAATAATCGTTGAAGTAAATTTTATATTATATATATACATACGTGTTTGATATTGTTGCAATTGAACTGAAATGTTTATATTTCCGTTATCGTGTGCAGCGCACAAAAGGATAAATTATCTCGTCAATGTTTGATTTATTGTTAAAAAAAAACGAGGAAAATGAAATTATACTAACATTTATTAACTTTCAATCTATTAGAGAATAACGTCTGGTTAGTTTCACTTTACTGTTGACTTACGCAGTATACGAATTTAACCGTTAAACCGTTGTACAGGTTTCGAATGAAAGGAAAAAGGAACAGCTGTAGGATCCGTTATCATTACTGTCGATTATTAATGCAATTACACAAGTGCATTAATGATATTAATTGAATTACGACCTTGCATAATATTTTTATGTGGTCAATCAACAGAAACTTATTAATTATATATGCAGTGCATGACTTCTTATACGCGCCATAGTAAAAAGCATGAAATTGTTAGTATCCGTCCCTCGTATTTCAATCGTACCTTTTGTTGTATGATTAATTGTAAATCATCAGGTATAATTGTATTATTGTGCGGCAGATGGTTACTTGATATAACGTGACTTTGTTCGATATACTTCACGAGAGCCTTTTTAGAATTACAAATCCGACCAAAGATTCTGAGGTATATACGCTGAATCCGAGATGTCATATACACACAAATTATTAATTATATTATTATAATGCGACGATGGTTATTTAAATTGACGTGAGATCTTGAATGGCTCTTGTATCAATGATTAATGTTAATAAGACACACGAACATCCTGTATGCAACGATTCTCTCTATTGATCCTAATTAGGATTTCGAATTGTTTTATCTCTTTCCGCTTTCGACTTTGATACGTGTGGCGTATGTTAAGACTGGGAGATGATGATTTCGAATGACTCGGCTAAGTTTATCGAGGACCCGCAGTGTATGTATCTTAAACAGATATATCCTCTTAATAATCATCTCGATTGCCAGCAAATGCATTAATTGATCAATGTATATAAATTGTCATCGAAATTGTATATTGTATAATAAAACAAAGGGTAAAAACCGTCATGGCGATTTTTTAAAGTGTCATTTTCTTTAAATCGACCTGCAAAATTGGGATATATTGTTTTAACTGTATAGGCTTTTTGGCATTACTTTTTTGTTGAAAAATCTAGATTGGAACGTACAAAATAGGCTTTTATTGATTTACATATAATAAATATCAGACACTCGAACCGATGTGATAAACCTTTAACAATTGTCCGATTCACACGCAGTCTTTGGCTCTTAAATATAATAATAATAAGGCACTTACAATCTATTATTGTACGAAGGCACTTAAATTTAGCATGAGTTTTTCTTAAACGTACGTAATTACGTTGGTATTTCGAAATTGTCATAGCACTCAGATATAACTGGGTTTCATTAATATTTTTTTATAATTATCCTGGTACTCTCTCTAAAAGAATTCCTACGCACGCTTATTGATTAGTACTAGACAATAACATGTCTATTCGACAAGCAATCACAATATAATAATAATATTTTTATCGTTCAGTAGCATTATCGTGTGGCAGTTGAACACAATCAGTGAATCCCTTCGTAGAAGTTTCTGCCTACGCACTTTTAATGAGCCAAATCGTAGGGATTTAAGTATACGAAGTTATGTTGGCATATTTTTTGCAAAGGCACCAGTGGTGGTAAATATATATATATGTATATATGACAGTATTGTATAACCGTATCACTCGTGAAAATTGCGCAACAATAATTAAATCAGAAATCGACACTCGACTAGCCAATGTTAGGAGCGTGTGAAAAATATCTAGACTCACATTCGTTGAGTGCTAATCGATGTTACGTGTGTGGAAAGTGAATCGACACTTTGAATAATTATTTACAGCCCTATAATATTCGTAGGGAGTATACTGGCGTTTTCAAAATCCGCACTGATCCTTGTCGTGCACTATCAACTATGAAAAGTTCTTATCTCCATGTAACTTGCTATACCAGCGTAGCGCTAGAAGTCGGATCTATTTCTGACATGTGCCACTCGCTGCTAGCATCTTCCGGCCTGGAATTATTAGTCATGTATTAGTACATCACTTCCATTTCCGGTACACTGGGATGTAAGCACCTGGATGATGATATTAATTAGACGCATTCGGTTATTGGTAGTTCCATGTTTTGCCGATCTGGATTGATCGATTATTGTTAGACACTTGGCTATTGGCACACGACCACGCACACATTACCTTAAGGTGCCATAGGGTTGACAAGTCATTCGCTGAAGGGGTTGATATATTCTTTTTTGCACCGGGTTAGGAAGAATTCCGTCATCGACATTGGATAATGTCAATTCTTGACTCATTTCCACCATCGTGTCTATACGACGATCTTGTAATGGTTTACTTGGATTTAAACTACCCACGTGATTTGTGCTATCAGTCGTAACCTGACCTTGAGAATTCTCTGTTCTTTTGCGAAATTTCGTCGAGTACTTGTAGAAGTCTGACATCTCGAAGGGTTTTGTCACTTCGCGGTATGGTTGATATTTGCCAGCTTGTACTATTGTACAATTTTTTGGGGATTCTAGGGGCACTTCGTTGTTGTCTGAGTGTTTTGACTCGGCGGGTATTTCTAGGGGTATTTTGCCAGGTTGGTGGTAACGATTTTGTAGTGCCTGAAGATGCTGACGTTGCTCCTCCTGAACCATTTCGCGACGATGATTCCTCTGGTCTTGATCCTCGGAGAGAAGTTCTCTGGAGGGCGGTATGACTTTCGGTATAGATGGGATTGAGGCTGTTGGTTGACGAAAGTTTTGATGTATCACTGCAGGGACTGAGCCTGAGCCTGATCCTGATCCGGAACCTGGACCAGGACTAGAGGCTGTATCTAAAGAGGTTTCGTACCACTCCTTTTCCTTCTTGCGAACAATATTGTCTGTGGTATCTTTGTTATCAGGTGATTCCTGTGTATATCCAGAGTGCCATGTTTCCACACTGCCTAGAGACTGAGTCCTTAATAACATTCTATTCGGTGGGGCTTGTTCGGATAGTGGTGGGTACAGAGGAAGATGATGTCTAGGTAGCATCGATGATGTCTTATTACCTGCAACTGTGTGATAACGAGACTGTGGGTCTATTCCTGTACTATTTGTATTCTGAAGTGCATTGTGCTTCCTACGATCAAGACTTCCAAATCTGTCGACAGGTTTCTCATCTGAACACCATATTATATCATTCTCGTAACGCATCCAATATCCTGGCGGTTGATGAGGATCGTTTGGTGGTCCAGGATTCCTTGGAATTCTAGTGCCAGTCAATTCACGCTCTCTCCTTTGAAGGGATTGTGATTGACTGTGGTGTTGACAAGATAGTTGATAGTCAGGTGTATGGGCATAACGATGAACATGAGGCTCTGCTTCGTAGTAAGCCTGGGAAGGGTGTCGAAGCTGTACGTCGTTATCCAGGGTTCTGTATTCTTGTGGATAATGTTGATGATTCTGCAACTGCTGTTGTTGATGTTGTAACTGTCTATGACGTAACTGTCGCTCATGCTCCGTATACGTGTTGGGTACTGGACGATAATTTCTCTCAGCATCCGTGTAATGATTATGATTACGTGAACCTCCGCTACCGTGGGAATATGTTCGCGTTCGGTATGGTTCAGGTAGGATGTAAACGTTGTGATTATCGTTGAGATCATGTTCTATGAGTTTCGGACTTTGTCGATGCATAACGGGACTTACGGCTGGATGACCTATGCGATTGTGATTGTAGACATTTGGTACGATTGGACGTATGTTCTCGCCATCCTGGAATCCATGTCCTGGATACGTGTTGTAATTGTGTTCTGGTCCTAGTGGACTCAAACTTACACCACCTTCCTGAAGAACTCCTCTGGAACTCTTCGCACTACCTTCACTACCTAAAATATTATGCAATTCGTGTAGTCGTTTTTGTGATAACCCATCTAAATTTGTGGTAAGTAGATGAAATGAATGAAAAATATTGATCAAAGTATTTACCTGTACTTTCTAAGGGTGGTCGCGGCTTCTTAGTTCTGTGCTTGACGTGAGCTTGGGGATAAGGTTGTGTTCCGTAGACATGAGGAAGCTGTGTTTGGCGGTGACTCTTGCCATGACTTTGTCGTATGAAATTTAAACGCGCATCCAAATCTTGTAGTCTTCTTTGACTTTGTTGATAAACTAATCTGTGCTTGCGACGCACAGCTTTACTCTCAGCTGGATCATTAAATATACCTAAGGCAGCTTCAGCTATGCCCACTTGGACCTGACGCTCTAATTCCAGTGCAGACTCCTCCTGTTACATTGATTGTAAAACATTAGAGAAGAATGAGAATTAAATGAAGTTTTATAAACCTGATATAGTTACCGCTTCACTGCTTTTGAGTTTGTTAATTAGATTCTGAGGGTAAGTGAACGCAGTGCCAACTCTTCTACGGAATGTTGGTGGACTTTCTCCTGGTTCTAGTGGTATTTCTGGTGGTAATACTCCAGTAAGTTCAGCCTCCTCAACACAGAGATTTTTTAATTCATTATTCTTTTGCGCAAGTTTATCCTGAAGTGCCTCTCGACGCTGCTGAAGCCACTGTAGTCTGGATGACAGTGGCTCTTCCATGGCAGGCCCTGGCACACCCTCAGTTCCTGCCATCACTGTACAATGTCTTTATGTTAGTAAATCCTACTTAACATTCTATCCTCTAAATTGTCATCTATAATGTCATTTATATCACACCGACAATGAATGCAATCTAGACTCCAAAAACTATATTTCCTCTATGACACTTATCTAATCAAATAAGCAAACATAACTGAATCCAATACACAGTTAAACACAATTATGGAAAAAGTTTCCTCGTACTCACCCATATTATTAGCACAGGATGCTAGCAGTCTTGATTACATCAGAGTTTCTCATCGTATAGAAACCTTTTCATAAAACCCACAATATCCATCTATTCCACAGAGCAGCACAATACCATGCATCTTGTAGGTTCTTCAAATAATTCAGTATTATATTTTTTAACAAACTTTGTCCTGTTTTAGCCGATAATGAAACGCCCTGAGGTAAGCTCTAGGTTACAAAGAATAAAATCTTGATAATTTCAACCTAACAGTTCTATATGCAATGTCAAGAAATCTTGTTCGTCAGCAGTTGATGGATTCAAGAAATCCATAGAGAGGAAATCCTTATCGCAAAGAAATTCTTGATAAAACGTCAATGCGGAATGACGCGTCCGTTGACGTTACTCCAAGCGCTATATAAGTGGCACAGGGACGTAGGTAGAAGTTTCTTTTCATTGAAATTAGTCAACGAAGGAGGAACTTTTGGTATCTTGCCAACACAATATAGCGCAGGTTTAATACTTGACTTAATAACTTTAATAATTAGATTAAATTCTTTTTCTTCCTTAGGAAAATATACTCAGCACCTATTCAAACGGAAACTACTGACAGACCATTCTGTACTGTGCGTAACTGTATAACAGGCAAGATGGCTCCTAAATCCTACGCTTTACTACAGTGTAGTTATGACTTTCCTCGTAGCTGCTGCTTTATTAGCATTCTGTAATATGCTTACGTACGTATTCCCTATACAATTTTACGTCGCGTACCTTACAATGGAAAGCATGTCGTTCATTAATTATTATGTTCTCACCATAGTACTTGGTACTTTATGGTTACTATACTATACTACTATATGAATACTATATTCGCTTAGACACGTGTGGTACGTTACAGAGCGATGACCTACTACTGTTTCTTCTTGACTTTTATTTTTACTTCACTCTAGAATCATGTAATCATGCATATATACCTGGTAATTCAGTACTTTCACCCTGATTATAAGGAATACAGGCGCTAACTAATTGGATGCCTTAACGAGAAAATCATTAATGAACCTTTGTTGGGATATACCTATCTAAAAAAAGAAGTCAGTACTTTCAATTGTTTATATATTGCAGTATAAAGTGGTATAAAATGGTTAATTGAGTATTTAATTTATTTTGAAATGTAAATTATTAGGTATTTGAATTTTTCGTTCTTTTCGTTTATAGGTAGACTGTTTTAGAGTTTCACGAAATTCCAATCGTCAATGATTGCATATCGATCCTCGCGGTAATTAACTAAGTCATCCAAGAATCTCATGCTACTCTCATTGTGCAATTTTGTAAGAACCGGTGGCAATGGATTTATTCCAGCAGTCTCAGCCAAATCTTGATAATAAGGACCTTGGTCTGGACCCATCATGTGAAACTGACGCTTTGTCAAACCTTGTGAATATCTTTTTTTCAATTCCTCACTCTCATCGTCGAGCATGTCTTTCTTGGATGGTAATTCTTTCTTTGAGAGCCAGAACTGCAGCACGAATCGCACCTGAATTTCATATAATTCATTATGAATTAATTGTAAACTGGAGAATGTAGGCTTCTGCACCATTATACGTGCCTGTAAGTCAAACATGCTGAACGCGCATACATAAAATGGCAGTCCTATAAAAGCCAGAGACGAATTTTCTATTGAAATTAAATGTTTCCAGAGTGGCGTCACCATATTGGACTTCACACGAACTTCACAACGATCAGAAAGAAAAGGAAAACTGTATTTGTATCCTTTACAGATGTAAAAAGTTCATTAGATTGTTATAAATTAAAATTAGAAGTATTTAATACAATAAAATGAATTACCAGTGCAGTAAAAAATTACATCGACGGTTTCTTTAGAACCGTCCATAAAAATTGCTTCATTTTCTGTCAGCCGGACAAGATCTGTTTTCTGTAACACGTTATCCGGGAATTTCGTGAGTATTGGGTCTTTCGTGTGGTGACTCAATATTACACGGTCAGCAGTCCGTGATATTTCCAGTGCTAGATCCATTCCTGTTTAAACGTTAAAAATGCATTTTATACCTTCCTCGTATAAAATATTTCCGCTTTCATAAAGAAACAAAGTTATTTTACAAACCCGAAGGACCAGCTCCAAAGACGACAATCCTTTTACCGGAAAAGACCTCGGGGATTCTATAATCGTGACTGTGCATTTGAGATCCTTTAAAGACCTCGGAACCTTCTATAGAAACTGTATTAGGTTCAAAGTAATGACCGTTGCAGATCATTATTGCATCGAATACATTTGTTGTGACTTTATTATTTTTCAGATCTTTCACCCTGACTGCCCATTTTCGATCACCGGTGGATATCGGTTCAACAAATTCTACATAATGACGGAACTGCCAAGTAGAAAGGTATCTGGTATTATAATCTAGGAAATCAATATTTAGTTAATGATTAGGTTTCTATGATTTGATTTACCTGGATAAATTGCCGCAGTTGAAAGTAATCGCAGTAGGAATTAAGAAAATCCAGAATTTCTCTCCGGGATAAGTAACTTTTTGAATTCTCCGGTATTGGGAAATCCGGGTAGCCCATTACTTCCTTCGGTAAATTTGCTCTGATAAAGGTAAATCTTATTAGTTTATAAAATAAGACATTTTTTTATAATTTTGAGAATTCTGCAGTCGCTGTTCATACGATTACAATTGGCTTTAGGATAGAAGCCGCGTCTGGAAGTTTTAATTTGTCTGGGAGATATTTGTTGACACATATTAAAATAATTACATATAGATATTAATATAAATATTGTATATTTACCTCAGGCTGTTGTACATGCTGGAGTGAATCGGAATTCCGTAATTGTCCACACCAGTTTCTGGTGTATAAACCCATGTTCCTCCGATTTGATCCGATTTTTCATAACAGATCACCGTAATGAGTTTTGCAGATTGTTCAGGATTTTCGAAATCATTATTCTCAACATTAACACAGTGTCTAAGAGCTGCTAATCCAGCAGCTCCCGCGCCTATGATAGCAACGCGCATTTTTTTTCTATCTTATTGAAAACTATTGCACTGTTATATTATATTCAACGAATCAAAGGTCACAGGGATTTGATAAAGTATATTCTATGATGCCAAGAAAATAACAGATGATCCAACATGGAGAAGCTATGAAATGTGAAAGGTGTAGCTGCAGCTACTGTTTAACTTTATATTGCAAATATTCCTTCGTTTTTCAGCTCAACTTTATTTGCTTCCTGTAATTTCTGTCCGAACGGAAGAAACTAGCCGACGGTACGGATAGTCAATGTCTCCCACGTAGTTGGCGAAACTCAATTGGAAAGTCACGAGAAAACATCCCTCACGGCCAAGATATCATCCTCTTATCTTTTTCTTTGAGCGATAATAAGGAACAACTCTAGACGATAACTTAAGCACAAGAATAAAAGACAATCGGATTCCGCACTCAGAAGAAAATGTACTGTGCACAATCAGTGACTAAAAGACATTAAGTGTATAAACGTTCAGTGCGATTTTGTATAACTGGCTTTATGTAGAGATCAGAAAAGTTACTCCAAACGAGGTCGGCGAGGCTGATAACAAGGCCGCGTGATTCCTATACTACTGCTGTAATAAATTAAAAAATGTTCACAAACACGAATCTCTTCTTCGCGCCAAGAAATAAGCGTACAAAGTGACCTTCGATCAGTTCCCGGAAAATTACTTCGCAAGATAATTATGGTATGGAGTTTCAATATGTCATATAAGAAGGAATATATTGTTCACGATAAGAATAGATACGGAACAGAAATTCTTGAAAAATCAATTTTATTTTTATCACTTTACAGCAATGTTCAATTTTTAACAGCAAGTCATTCAACATGTGAAACATGTATTGCTCTTTCGAGCAAAACAGAAAATATGAATAATTATAACGGACGCATTATGTTAACGATTCTGTTGACTCGGCTTGTGCAATTACGTTTTTTGCAAATATTTATGCTAGTTAAGGAAGGTTGTTAATTGAGCCAAGTCATGTAGCGAATTGTTACGATTAAGTTAATTAATTGACATGAATTCGACAGTGAGAATGTAATTTATTATTATAACGAAACTGAGAGAAATGAAAACTATCGTCTTGAATAAATTTCCATTTCCCATTGATTTTTGTATATCATATAAAGTTGCATAGCCGCTCGTGCATCCTCCACGGAATTATGTTCACCAGTCTGTATTTCTATACCTAATAATTCTAATGCCAGCTTCTTTAAACTAGGTGTATTACCCATGGACACTTTTCTAAAGGGTTTATATTTGGATGTGTCTCTTAGGGATCTCTTGGGATGAGATAAATATAAAACGTCTAGGTCATTTTTAATTGCATGGCCTATTAATATTTTCCCTTTTAATATTTCTGACACTTCTTTTTGTACAACCGCAAATTCCTCTCCAGTAGCAAGATGATGAGGTCTTATACCACTGACTTCAGTTCTATAATCTTTGATTCTTTCTCTAGGTTTTACATATTTATCATAAAGACATACTCCATGTCTGTTGACTATGGATACACGAGCAATCATGCTCTCTGTACCATCACCTATACCAACCATCTCGCAATCCATAGCAATTTGTTTGGTTATCATATTTTTTGCTTGATCTTTAGTCTCATTCACCTTCGCTTCGCTACTAGTAGCAGAAGGATACTGAAAGATCAAAAATATAACTGTAACTGTATGAAATGTAAAAAAAATTGTGTATGATCCTAACTCATTTACCGTGGCATAAAGGTTTGGTTGTCCCATATTCCGTAAAGTTTGCTTTGATACTGCCAAAGATTTAGATTGTCGTGACGGTTTTGGTTTTACACATTTCTCAGAAGATGCTTCCTGAGAAACAAGATCCTTGAACTTTTCCCAATTGGAGCCAGATGCACAGCGTTTAACTTCTATTACTGGTGCATGTTCTTTTTTTTTCTTTTTCAAGGTATCAGCAGGCTCCTTACTATTGTCCACAGGTTTAATTCTTTTTGTTGGATTTACACTATGTCCTTCAATTTTGCTGACGGAACAATTCCGCGGATGATCTTTCATCTTCCTCATTCACTTCTTTTTAACCTGAACATTACACGTGGTTATTGTGGATAAGCACTACATAACAATGCTCAACAGTCATTAATACCTTAAATGCAAAGTGTCGTTTGTTTGTCCCTAAATTATGTAGATCCATCTATTTCACGTATTGATTCCAATTATATAGAGAATATTTAAAGTGACACGCACTAATTATTGGCGTAACTTACTTCTTTTGCTGTCAGACGTGAAAATTCGTTAGAATATAAATTTAAAATCCACCGTCTGTTTCCTAATAATTATAATGTTTTTAATAATTTGGAGAATCCTACCATAAATCTATTTAAATGACTCGCAGATTATATAGAAATCATATTTGCGAGTCGCATGAACTATAATTGAAAATATCACAAGTAAAGGGAAACAGAAATCAACTTCACGATAGCGCAATGTTTTTTAGTTTACTTTACATAAGTATTGTGTCATATATCGATTCTCTAAGCCAATCGGAAGAGCGAATAATTGCAGAAAATGATTCTGATTGGTTCGCAGAGGGAACTGCACCACAGGCTACAAATGTTGCACTGTAAAATAAGCCCATAAGAAACTGTTTTTTAAAATTGTTGACGTTTATTACTGGAATGAATGATTGTTTATCGTGTATTGCGTATTAAATATCTTATATGAATATTAAGAAAAGAGGAGAAAATATGATTAGTGACTGTACGTAAAATAAGTCAAAAAGCGATAGTGATCTGATTTTATAGTGCTCTGTGGTCTAACCTAAGAGAATTTATTAGTCACTGAAAAACTTTGTCTTACTTAAAAATGACTGAGAAGCAGAAAGTTTTAATTTGTGGAGATGTGGAAGGACATTTCAAGTTCCTCTTCTCCAAAGTTGAAGCTATTAATAAAAAGAATGGACCCTTTGATTACTTGCTATGTGTTGGTAATTTCTTTGGTGAAAACAATGAGGAACTTGAAATATATAAAAGTAAAGGAAAAAATATTCCAATTCCTACATATATCATTGGACCCAATAAGGATAGGGATGTAAAACATTATCCAGATATGAACGGCTGTGAAATATGTCCAAATCTTATATTCCTTGGAAAACGTGGACTTTATAGTTCCAGTTCTGGCCTTAAAATAGCCTATCTTAGTGGTGTAGAAACAACTTCATCAGAATCTAGTCCTTGCACATTTGACGAGAATGATGTTTTGGCTGTTCGATACAATTGTTTAAAGGGTCAACCAAGTTTTAGAGGTGTTGACATTTTATTAACCTCTCCGTGGCCCAAAGACATTACTCAATCAGATCCCAAGCAACCAGGCCACAAATATAATGGTTCCAAATTAATTGCATGGTTAGCTACACAAGTAAAGCCAAGATACCATATTTCTGCGCTTGAAGGAATTTATTATGACCGACCTCCTTATAGGTAAGTTGTTACAATCATTAGAAATATGAAATGTAAAGAACATTGAATCTGAAGAAAATGCATAGTCTAACAATTGTTCTTTTTACCTCAGGAATCTGAGTCAAAATGGAGATAGTATTGAGATTGCATCAAGATTTATTGCACTAGCTTCAGTGGGTAACACTAATAAAAGAAAATGGTTATATGCCTTGAATTTAACACCAGTGGATCGAACGCGTCTGTCAGATTTGGTAATGAAAACAACCGATGAAACGCCAAGTCCCTATTCATTAGCTTTGTTGAGTTCTCATCCATCTGGACAAAAATCAACAGCAAATAGTACACAATTTTTCTATGACATGGAATCCAAAGATACAAGAAAAAGAACAAAACATCAAGATGGAAGCAATAAAAAAGCGAAGATAGAATTTGACCAAGCAAAATGCTGGTTCTGCCTGTCAAGTCCTCAAGTTTCGAAGCATCTAGTAATCTCTGTTGGTACAGAGGTCTATGTGGCACTTGCTAAAGGTGGATTAGTAAAGGATCACTTTTTAATTTTACCAATAACGCATCATCAAAATCTGGCAATTTTACCTGAAAACGTTGCTAAAGAAGTTAAGCTATACAAAAAAGCTGTGACGAAGTATTACGCAAGTACAGACAAAGTACCTGTCTTCTTTGAAAGAAATTACAAAAGTTCACATTGTCAATTACAAGCTGTACCTGTCCACAAAAATCAAGCACCTGCAATAAAGGAGACTTTCCAGGTAACATAAAACATACAATTAATTTTTTCATGTCCCAACTGAACTTGCCACAAAGTTTAAATGAAGTTGAATGAGTAATTTATCATTACAGGAATTAGCTTCATGCAATAACTTTCAATTGAGCGAACTGCCCCTTCATACGCAGTTGCAACAAATTGCACAACCGGGTACACTGTATTTTTATGTGGAATTGCCCAATGGAGAAGCTTTATATTATAGGATTAAGAAAGACTTTCCACTTCAATTTGGCCGTGAAGTATTGGCTAGTGATAGAATATTAGACATTAATGATAGATCGGATTGGAGAGATTGTCAAATGGACAAGGAAGAAGAGACGGAATTAGCAAAAAATATTCGCAAACAGTTTCAGCCGTACGACATACAATCTTAGAAGTAGTTATATTGCCCAGTTGTAAAAAGTTGAATTTTCAGTTTTTGTTTAACGTAAAAGTTATATGGGCTGTATCATAATTTTTGTATATTTAAAATGTTATAAAATTTCACGTAACATTAATGAAACTGACATATTTGATTTGTGCATATTTATATTTTTTTTATCATTAAGATTCATTAATATGTAATATCAAATATATTCCAATCTTATACTGACGCTTAGTATGATTACGATTTAAGATGACTTTTCTTGATTATTATGATATTGTAATTCATATTCACTTGGTGTTGCTAGTGGGTCCAAGCCGCACCGTTTCATTTGTACAGCAATGTCGAAAAGGTAATCATAACACTCCGTCCTGTAAAATGGATGACAAATGAAGAATTGACTATTAAAAATTATGCAAACAGAAGATGAATAATAAAAAAAATATTGAGATCTTACATAGTTTTTGCTTGCTGCCATGTGTCACCCCAAACATACACACCATGTCTGCGAACCAATATTGCACAAGTTTCAGGATATTGAGCTATGACTTCAGCCATCCTATCCTTCAAATCTTCTTCGAAAGGTGTATTTTCAATGATTGGCACAACCAGTTGTTCATCATATCTGTATGCGCGTCCCAGTTTTTGATTTCTTATTCCTGAAACATATTCGATAGAGTCAATTTCAATTTCGGTGACATTCTCCAATTGTGATTTGGATACCTTTTATCATTTCCTGATGTGTAACTCGAAATTCCTTTCCTGGCCACAGTAATGTAGCCATGACAGCAAATTTGGAATGTGTATGAATCACAGCACCTGCATTTCTTGTTCTATATGCACACATAAACAAAGGTGTGCATTGTGATTTCTTTAACTTTTTGTCAGATGGAGGCAGTTCTAAGTCCTTGCCATTGATATCTTGAACAAACATTTCATCTGGACTGATGCGTTCTTTTTGTACACCAGATGGAGCGATGTAAATTTTCTCTCTTTTATGGAATAAATTATAATAATAAGAGAATTTTATTTAATGAATAATTTGTCAAAGAGAAATTATATAATTTACTCATGTTTAATAGAAATTCCTCCTCCTGTACCAGTGACCCAACCAAGATGATAGAATTGCCTACATAGCTCAGGTATCAAGTTCCTTGGATGTTCCTGTAATGACAAATAAGTTTACATCCATGTTAATAACAATACTCATAACAAGAAATAATAAGATAATACCTTTGGAAAATGATAATCGTAAAAATTCGTTGCCATTTCAATGACGGAAGATCACAGGAGATAACTCTTGTTATATAGATGTTTCTTCACAAACTAGTAAATGAATGTGACGTTCTCACAAAAGTGACTTAACCGACATAGATAATCTTTATTCGAGAACAAAACTCTAATAGGATATGAAATTATACAAAAAATTTTGATATAGCTAAAATAAAAAACGACTCTGTTATTAAAATGTCGACAGCAGAAATGAAAAGATTTCACTCATTGTTAGAATAATATTTATTATGGTTTTTAATTATTACATTAATCATATCGGACTCTGCGTTGAAATTGGACTTTAATATTAAACGGAACTTCTACTTGTCCATTGAATTTGGCTTACATATTTAAAAGCTAATTAATATGGTGTAATATTTGTAGTGGCTGGTTGAGTAATAACAGAGAACATATATTAACAGCTGATCTGCAATGATCTATTATAATAATAAGAGGAAGTAGATATGGTGGACATATGCCTATTGATGTCTATGTCAGTTTTGTTTTTTTACGCTGTCCTGGAGTTCCAGCAAGTTACAGTTTCTGATGATGAAAATGTTGTGAAGGATCGTAGCGCATCGCAGAAACCTAATTATGAAATTGTGAACAAATATCGTGGGAAAAAAATAATACTGATTTTACATAAATATTGAGAAATAATGGCAGATGAATGTGATATGCAAGTAGATAATGCCCCTGCAGAGAAAATAACCTCTGAAAGTTTCACATTTGCACAACCAAACATTGTATCAAGTCCCGAAAGAGTGGTAGATTTTGGTAAAGTTACAGAATATTCCGTTCCAAACGATGGAAAAAGTACATTTACTTTTGCCAAACCAGCAAGTATACCTCTTGTGCCTAATCAAAATGAAGGGGCATTTGACCATGAGGATTGGAAATCTGAGAAACAATACAAACCTAAAATATTCAGGAATACATTTAAACCACCAGTTAGTGTATTCACGCAAGCTCTTAGAGAAACAACTGGTTTTGAGTTATCCAAGAAGCAGTCAAGATTGCAAGGTGGTAAGGAGAACATTGAATACTCGATAACATGCATAAATGTTCCAAAATCATTGCTGACAAAAGTTGCGGCAAAAGAATATTTCGTGAAATACGGCAACATTTCAAAAATAACACTAAGACCAAGAAAACAGACTATAACAATATTTTATACAACAGCAGAAGCAGCTAATATTGCATACCAGAATAGCGGAGAATACTTGGGACAAAAGTTTGATGTATATTGGACTAATTCAGAGATGTTACCAAAATCTCCAGTAAAAAAAAAGGAGTCGAGTAAAACAACAGTGAGACATTTCCTTACAGGAACTGACGAAGAAGTCCAAGCAGAACTAGATGCAATGTCAGGATTGGAGTATCGTTTACATGGTGAACATAAAGTTGGTGCACCTCCGGTATTACGAAAGCCTCGAATCCCAATTGCTAAAGAAGCACAAAAGTATGAGAAAGCAACAAAATTAGAAAAACAGCCTGTAAAAGTAGAAAAATATGAGGCTGAAAGTCAGATTCAAAATATTGTCCCATCAGCAACTATTGAAGAGTTACAAAATACAATTCGTCAAATGGCTAGCACAGCAGAAGACAAATATAGAATATTGGAAGCTCGCGACCGGCTTATAAGATTTAAGCAGATAAAGCCTCATACATTGGCAACTGCAAAAAGTACCAAAGGCACTTGCCCAGATATGTGTCCAGAGAAAGAACGTCTTATGCGAGAATCTCAAAGACAAGTTGCAGCATACGAACTTATGGAGGGTGCAGAGTACAAAATAAATCATATGATTGCTATAAAACAGTACTCTAGATCTTCAGCAGATCAAGAAGAACCACTGGCTCATGAACTAAGACCTGTCGAATCCCTCAAAATGACTATGAGTTATTTATTACATGAAATAGCAAATCTATGCGATGAGGAAGGAACAAATTTAGCAGAATGGTTTCATTTTTTATGGGACAGAACAAGAGGCATACGTAAGGACATAACTCAGCAGGAATTATGTTGCACCGACAGTGTTGAATTGGTTGAGCAGTGTGCCAGATTTCATATAGTATGCTCAGAACGTCTTTGTGCCGAAGAACCATCTGTATTCGACAAGAAAATTAACACTGAGAATTTGACTAAATGTTTACAATCTTTAAAATACATGTATCAGGACCTCCGAGTAAAAGGTATCTCTTGTAAAAATGAACCTGAATTTCGTGCATATATTATCTTACTAAATTTGAACAATGGTAATTTTATGTGGGAAGTACAAAAATTACCAATAACATTACAGAAGTCGCCTGAAGTTCGATTTGCTATTGAAGTTTACTCTTCGCTCCAATCTAACAATTTTTCTAAGTTCTTCAAACTCGTTCGAAGCACAACTTATCTAAACGCCTGCATTTTATTAAGGTATTTTAATCAAGTCAGAGTAAAAGCTTTATCAGTGATGGTGAAAGCATATTGCAGAACAACTTCAACACCTTTTCCGTTATATGAATTAATTGACATTCTTGGATTTGAAGATGAGAACGAAGCAATATACTTCTGTGAACAAGTTGGCCTGAATACTTCCAGTGATGATATGAGTATAATGTTAAACAGACAAAACTTCAGTTCGCCCATTTCTAGTATAGATCAAGGCAGAGCTATAAATATAGTAGAATCAAAGAGGACAGGGATGCTTTTATCAATTGGCGAATGTATCACCGGTGGGATGCTACCTGAACAAACTTACAAGAACCATAAACCACATGAAAGCTTTGATTCATCAGGTTATTTGAAAACCAAATCCATAAATGCTGAGGATCAAAGTGGAAATAATATTTCTGATATTAGTGATCCATACGAGTTTAAAGATGATCATCATGACGATCGTCATAAGCCATCACGGAATTTCAAATCTCAAGTTTCTACGAAGCACAGTACTTTGAATGATACAGGTGCTAGTCCTTTGACCAGACAAATTGATGTCTCTACGAAAAAGCCTGTTGGACGTTTCACTGGTCAGTCTACTAATAAACAACAAAATATATTTCCATACAAGCCAAATACAAATACAACAGTTTTTGCTAAACCTGAAGAACCTGGTCCATTTGGAACTAAGCATCCACCAAATACTTCTGAAGATCATGCGTCTCAACCCCACAACAAATTTGATTTGGCTACTGAAAACGAAGGACCATTTTCTAGTAAATCAACAGTTTTTGGTACAAAGACTAATGAGACTTCACGATTTAACAGTCCCTTCGCGACTTCCACGATAAGTACAGCTGGTAAAGGTTCATCAATATTTTCCAAGTCTAACTTAACATCGTCCACTCATCCAATGAAAACGACAGAGCAGGAGACAAGTACAACATTTGGAGCAGGAACAATAACAAATATTTTCAGCAAACCAACGTTAGGAAATATATTTGCCAAATCTACACCTGTTGCGACAGCATTTTCGCGAAACCATTCTAATGCACAAGCTTCTGAAAAAATCAAGGAAGGAAGTGATTCTATATCATCAAAAAATATCTTAAAAACATCTGACCCAAAGTCTCCTGTGAAGAAGCAGTTGAAAATTCACTCTGAGATAAGCCAAACGAAATTGGAAGTCGAGAAGAGGCTGCAGGCTGAGAAGATAAAATTACAAAAGATCGAACGTGAGAAGAAATTGAAAGCTGCTGAAGCTGAAGCTTCATTAATTTTAAAAGCCTTGGAAGACGACGTTATAAAGGATATGTGCTCTTCCCTGGTGAGGAAAGAATTTAACAAAATTCTAATGATAAATAAATTAAGTAAGAAGATCATGGAAGACATGGTCAATCAGATCGTTCTGGAATCATGTGAAGATATATTGAATGAAATTTACATTCAGCAAAGATTACTTGAAATATCTCAGAAAATAAAAAGGCGATTAATTATGAAGTATTACATGACGTGGAGACAGTGTGCCTCCAAGAAGAGAAGAGAAAGAGAAGCCTTGGACAATACTCCTGTTTGGTTGCAAAAGAGAAGTGTGGAGGAGTGTGCTAATTTATTATATCGTCCGGATCAACATCTGGTGATTGAAAGTATGCGAAGAAAAAAGATCAAACGGGAAGTCGAAAAACCAAAAAGACAAATGGAACCAATTGAAGTTATTATACATAATGGCGTAAAAGAGAATGCAAAGTATTTGGATATTGAAGCAGTGCCCAATACATTCTGGAAAATGGTTATTTCATGGCCGGATTTGGAAAAGAGATTTCTTTTGTGGAAGCACAAAAAGATAATGAGTGAATATCTCTGTCCTGATGACTTTACAACAGAACCCATTATAAAGACTTACAGACCCAATTCATATGAGACTTTGAATTTATGCATAAGACAAGCTGAGGGTTTAATTAGCGATCACAAGCTGATTGGTATAGATGCTTTATTATTTATTATTGATACTTCAGAGGATGCAAAGTCCGTCATACGACGTCTGACCAAAACAGTACTTTCAAGAAATAAGCTCATGCCTATACCGTTATATTTTGTCGCCCTGGGAAATGAACATTGGATATTTGAAAATAGCAGACTTAAGGCGCATTTGGAAAAATTGATTGAGTCTGATTACGTATCCCAGTATACGGTACATTTAGAAAATACTATAAACGAAAATGTTATACTCGAACTCATTCAGAATGCTACAAGATGGTTGTCAAAAAATAAATCACCAGCAGTACCGTTGGAAATGGACTACTTGAGTGAGGTCTTGGATGGTTGTTTAACAGAAGAACTATGGTTAAAGTAAATATGATATACAACCAGCTGTATATATTATACAATTACAGTTTTCATCTAAAGGAATCCGTCTAAAAATATTTAAAATTACTTTCCTTGTTCTAGAATTCAAGGCCATTCACCGTTCAATGAACATCTAGCATCGGTTTTGAACGATCCGAATTTTATAATAAATTTTCACAATGAAGCTGTAACACATTTGAGGGATATATTTCTTGATTCGGAATCATTATCATACACAGATTTTGCTCCGGAATTGAAAAAGTGTTTGAACACGAAATATGAGCTTCCTTGCAGTTATGAATATTTCAATGATGCGTGGAAGAAGGAAGGAAATAGAGAGGAGTTAGAAAGTGCTTTGGACAAATTAAAATTGCCACGTTGGAAGTAAGATTTATAAATCTCATCAGGAATGTATTATACATATATTTTTGACACTAAATATTTAAATTAATTATTCTTATTGTTACAGTTTTGATTGGCCCATCATGGACATGTGGGAACTACGTAACTCCATATCGTATTACTGCCAAGAGGCATTACCAGAGTCAAATTACGATACCGTACCGTATACCATTTTAAGTAATTTATTCCTAACAGCTAACGATTCTGATATACCTAGTTTTGTAAATGTAATATTGCGAATTGTTAAGGAAAAGATTTCCTTGATTCGTTGCCATCTAAAAGTAGTTTATAACCGTAATCATATGAAGCATTTCCGGACGTTACCGTGGTGGTTTAAATCGAAGGTATTCATGGATTACACCACACACCAGGAATTGAAACTTCAAAACAAATTACGGGAGGAAGATTTACATAATGAATCATTTAGCAAAAAGCAAAGGTTGAATGGAAGTGACATAAGTATGGGTGACGATTTAAGTATGTACGAACAGTGCGAACCATTAGCTGAATTTTGTAAAGTGACGCAGGATCAGATAATGGAAGTACGTAATATTAGAAAAGCGGTTGAAAATGGTTTTGAAAATTACCGATCGAAGAGTGAAATGTTGGAGGAAATGTTAACAAAAGCGTTACTGGATGAAGCGTGAAAAATCTCACGAATATAAAGAAATCTTACACAACTGATATAATTTTGTATAAATTTTGTTAAAATATTTTGTAGTATACTAAGATACATACTCTGAGTGTTGCAATAAAACTTGAAAGGAAAAATTCTGTTTCACCTGAAATCATAGAATTATTTTTACCCTGACTGCTCTTAACAAATAAGATAATCAAAATTAACACGCTTGTTTTTGTGACTTGAAAACACGATTAAAAGATTCGATTGGCAGATCTAAGTGGCTGTGCCTGTATAGTTTGCTCAATGGGTATTTAAATCCTAATCTTTATCAGACAATTACGTCGAGTATCACAGTAAGCATAATGACTCAGGCTAGAAGTCAGGGGCCGATTAGATTAAAGATTATTTGCTAAGTGAGTTCGTCATACCTGGAATCCCTAGCATTCTTTGTCCCTTGAAAAACCTTTATACCATCACATTACCAAAATAAGTTCAGCACTTTAAACCCCGATCGTAGCGTGATAAAGTCTTATGCAAAATCGCGTAAGAATAAATTAACGCAAAAGAAAAATTAATTTGCTGAAATTAAAAACAAGGTATCCAGAAATCAATGTTGTATTATATCTAATCACTTTATCGTTATTCGATAAAGAATAACAAAAATGCGAGCATTCATCATGATCTATGTAATACCTTTAAACCAAACTTACATAATTGATAACGAGCTAGGAAGTTTTATGCATATCCTGTCGTCTACTCCAAAAATGTTATGTCTGTTATACTTTGAAAGGGTCATGTTGTGATGAGTAAAATTGATTGAGGTTCAGTTGATATTCAGGGTCTCTTAATGACTGTCATTTACTTTTGAAAGTAGAATTATTTTTAAATTCTCGAAAAATATATTATTTGCCGTTTTCTAGATGACGAATCCCGTTTTGAACGGCAGTGAATACGAGATGACCGCGGTAGCCACAACCCCTCAAAGATGATTGGTGAAACGATGTCAGGTATTTTTGTAGGGTGCTGTATATAAGTAGCCAGAGACTCCTATAGGGAAATACTCGAGTTTAACGTTTAAAAGCCAACGGTCGTTCTGCGAGCTCATGTTAGTTCAGTGTTTTGTTCATTTAAATCCCCACGAGAAACGGTGCAGTGAATTTTCACAGAACTCCTGAGTGAACGACGGTGATATTTCGACGTCCTTATGACAGTCGGAATTATAGGAAAACTCCGGTAACTCTTCTCGGCATTTATTTTACGTAAAAGTGTTTCCTACGAAGCTGCAAAGTTGCCGAGGCGCGAAATGCGCTCCTAACGCGTTCCCTCTGAGTTTTTCTTCATTTTTTCCTGTTATTTTGAATCTTAGGCTTTTGCTGCACCTTGCTTGATATTCTTAAAGATTTATACGATTTCTTCACGCTGAACATTATGTCTCATCTAAAATATATGAAGGAATTAAATAGCTTGACTCGTATGGATGACGCGATAAAGGGACCTGCTCCTCGTTGGCAGAAGAAACATCTCGAGGCCTCCAATTCCAGGTGATATGGATTTTCTATCTTATTTTTAATATACTTAATACTTCTAACATTTCTTTTAGTAATTTTAGTGGTGTTTTAGTATTCATGAATAGATGTAAAAGAACTTTTTCTATGGTGCGTTCATCTCTGTCGGCAAAGCGACTGACTATAGACTCCATTTTAATAGTATATAACGGGTGTGCTAAAAGAAGGGTTTACTGATAAAACTACAAGTAAAGATTATGAAGTATAGAATCTGTTGTATTTTTTATTATAGAGAATTATTTTAAGTTACATATTATTGAAAAACTTTCCGATAGAATTATATAGTAAAATACTCATACAGAATCGAGGCGTAAAGATCCGTTATAAAAAAAATGTAAAACTGGTTTGGAGTAAGTTGTTCAAGGCATCTTCTACCCTTTCATTTTTGTTACCTTGATATGCTGATGGAGCAATGTGTATATAACATATTTTCATATTTTTATAATGTAGAAATCTTTTTATTTTTTTTTTCAGCATTAATCTCAGCTTGAATGCCTCTCGTAAAGTTATAAGTGGATCCTTTGTAAACACAAGTAATGGAAAAACACCAACAAAACGTTCGGATATACGTACTAAAAGAACTCCATCGAAAGCTAATAAAAAATCACCTAGTAAGTATGAAAAGTCCATGGTATAAAAGTACTGATACATGTATTATGTATGCATGGTGAACATCTATATAAGAATTAATAAATTATCTGTACCAATATACTATTGCAAAACTGTGGTATACTTAATATAAGCATCTGATATATATATATATTTATGTATGCGAATACGTACAGTCCTGTAAAGCGTATAAAGATTCTATGTGCGAATAATTTCCAAGTGTAGAAGAATCTCGTGACGGGAAGATCTGACGTCTGTGAAACAACGAGAGATCACAATTTGTCAGAAATATATATATATGATATATATATATATATATATATATATATATATATATATATATATATATTTAATGACTATATGTATTTTATCTAAATTCTTCATACAGGCATCAAATTTCATCATAATCATCTTCTGTTCTGAATGTATGAATGGGGCCCCATAAGTTTTGTTAATTATTTTTTATTTTGTCCATTGTCTAGTATGAATGTGTGTGTAACTAACATAGTTGTGTGTGTTATCTGTGTATAGTGGCTGAAATGTTGAACCTGCTTTTGGTGACAGGTCGTGCTTCAACCACCCCTGCAAAGACTCCAAGTGGGGGTGACAGGTTCATACCTTCTAGGGCAACGACCAACTTTGAATTGGGTCATTACAAGGTAAATAATAAATAAAAGTTTCAGTAATTATTACAGTTTTAATAATTCATTTACTGTATACATAATTTTACTTGGCTATTACCATCCTAATAGCTTCAACATCATGCGGATCAGGATGGAGATAAGGGAGATAACATAAGTCCTTCAAAGAGGGAGATGCAACGCCTTATAGGAGAAAACTTTCATGGTGGTGATATCAATAACATGAGAGTCTTGTCCTATCAGAATAAAGCTCCTGCACCTCCTGAGGGCTATCAAAATCCATTAAGAGTTGTTTACAGTCAAACAAAAACACCCGCGAGCGTAAAAGCGTCCACTAGATATATTCCTCAAGCTCCTGACAGAATCTTAGATGCGCCTGAAATTATCGATGATTACTGTGAGTCAATTCTGTACGATATATGCACTCAGTCACTGCTTATTAGTCTTGAATGAGTGACGTATAAATATTATACCCATTGTATTTGAATGAATGAGAAGAACTAATCACTTTCATTATTGCAGATCTCAACTTAGTGGACTGGTCCACGAATAATATATTAGCAGTAGCTTTAGGCGCGAACGTTTACCTATGGAATGCTGCAACAGGAACAATAGAACAATTATTAGAACTGGAAGGTAGCGATTATGTCTGTTCTGTTGCTTGGATACAGGAGGGTCCATATTTGGCAGTTGGATCTACATTAGGTAATACCGAGCTATGGGATTGTAGTCAAATGAAACGAGTTCGTGTTATGAACGGACACTCGGCCAGAGTTGGTTCCCTAGCTTGGAATTCGCATATATTGACAAGCGGATGTAGGTGTGTTGAAACGAATAAGGATAATTTTTTAATAACTATTCATTACTGAAAGAATTATAATACATGATAAATTTCTTGCTACAGATCAGGTCAGATAGCGCATCATGACGTTAGACAGCGCGAGCATCTTGTGTCATCAATTAACGCACATGCTCAAGAAATTTGTGGTTTAAAATGGTCACCCGATGGTAAATACTTAGCGAGCGGCGGCAATGACAACATGTTGCAAATTTGGTCATCCACGGCAGGTCAAAGTTCGCAAACGCAACCTATTTATTCATTAAATCAACACCAAGCTGCGGTTAAAGCACTTGCCTGGTGTCCATGGCAAAATAATATACTAGCAAGTGGCGGCGGTACAGCTGACAGAACAATAAGATTCTGGAACTGTAATACAGGTAGTTACAAAAAATTATTGCAGAAATATTTTTAGGCACAGACGCATAGAACACGTGGGCTTTTCAACCTGCATTCAATTTAATGGTCGTATTTATGATTATTTTATAAGAATATAAATTTCTGTTAAAGGTGCCTGCATCAACACAATTGATACAAAATCTCAAGTTTGTTCGCTGTTGTGGTCAACAACCTACAAAGAGATTGTTTCGGGGCATGGATATGCACAGAATCAGTTGACAATTTGGAAATATCCAGCGATGACTAAAGTAGCAGAACTCACTGGACATTCCAGTCGTGTTCTACACTTAGCCATGTCTCCGGACGGTACAACAATTCTTAGTGCGGGTGCTGACGAAACACTTAGATTGTGGAAATGCTTCCAACCTGACCCGCATAAGAAGAAGGAACCATCGGACATGAAGTCTGTTGCGTCTAGACTCAAACAATCAATTCGATAAGATGCTGTAACTTTTAGAGAAGTAAATTTTCTTATTTATTTTGCGTGAGTGTAGTATATGTCATCTTTCTAGAGAATAAAGACTTCCGACGATATTTCAGTGTCGTCGGGTAACACGTCAGATTATTCTTATCTTTTTTCTTCGTTCAATATTACTTACATTTTTAAAGATGATTTTTATTTGACAAATTCACGTTCAATTTATACTGTAATTAATGAATATTAATTGAAAACTGAATCAGCATGTGTTATGACAAATATTGTTTTGGACTGCAGACTTTTCAGTGTATCGTATAAAGCGATGGTGTAGTTTCCCTTAAGTATAAGAGCGCGTGTATATGGCTGTACAAATCTGTTTATGAACGCATGCGGACTTACATTTACGTTCCAGCAGTAGAATTTAAACCCACACATATTTAAGTTTTTGACTTTGTACAAGAGTTTCAATAAACAAATGTATCCAGAATAATTGCTTCCATGATATTCAAATGTAATAATTAATTAATCAAGAAAGAAAACCTATCCGTCTAATAGCAGTAAACCAGCAGATTTTATCTTCACCAGAATGCTTTGTTATAATGAATTGTCTCATTCCATATAATAAAGAAACAATCCAAGCAATACTTGAATAGCATACACACCAGAGATGAGAATTAAGAAAAAAATAAATAGAAGAGTAGAATTATTACCAGAAACACTGAGAGCGTGGCACAGCAATATGTACTTTACATATTTAGAACTACAATTTTTGTATTATGTACAATATTAATTAGTTTGTCATTATGGTATTTTACATTAAAGTTGTTACAGTAGGAATCTCAGTAATCCATGTCCTCAGAACAACATTTGTTCAGTTTGTGGATTTAGAAATGTTTCTGGAAGGGATATGAAATTTCTAACATATGTATTTCATCGAATGAAATATTAATATACATACATACATACACTATACAAGTAATATTTAGCTACCTAATAGCTAGTGAAAGCGTTGGTGAAAGGTATTTCTGGTCCCTCGTATGCTACACCATTGCAACAGACGCTCAGGTAGTAATTCCTGGAGTCGATCGTTGCGAAGCGTGTAAATAACTCACCTGAATCTTATATCTTTTTACATGTTTTAAATATATTTTTGAAAAAAGTTTATCGATTAGAATTATTGATTCCACGTGCATTACTCTTCATGCTCTAATGGATACATAAAAGGACATCTGTCTTAGCTAGATTGACAAATTTCTGATTATTAGAACAAGATGAACGAAGGTGAGAATAAAACTCTACTCCAAAAATCTGACAATAGAACAATAGGATCTTCATTTGCGTTGGGAAATGAAAAGCATGAGGATGATGACCATGATTGGTGGGCAAGTGACAGTGGATCAAGTTCAGGGTCATATTATTCTGATACAGGCAGGTATGTAATCGAATAATTAACATGTATATTTTAAAAGTTATACTGTGTTCCGATTCATTTTTATCAACAATTTTAGCTCGGCAGTTGAATGGGAATCTGAAATTGGTCCAACTGGTGAAGTATTCTATATAGAATCGCAGACAGATACGTTTATTGACAGTCAGAAGTCAAGTAATGACAGATCAGAATCTCCACCGCCTGAATTGACAAGGCGGCGTAGTACAAGAGCAGGAAAATTGATGCGTCTTATAAAACGTAGAGAAAGTAAAAGATACAGCGTGAGAAATAAAAAATCTACTGGAACTGGATTGGAGCATGCTGAGAGTCAACAACAAAAAGGTGGCAATGGAAGTAAGGAAGTTACTTTCAGGGATTCTCAGGTACCACGATTATGAACAACAATAATAATAAATTTATACATAATTCGTAAATGAGACATAAGCAGAAAAATGTTTACATTTATTTTGACAGGCAGGAGAAATTCGATATGTCACTTTATTGGTAGATCCGGATAAAAAGCATAAATTAGGAAGAAGGGCAACATTGTGCGAAGCTTATTTGGGAATTACGCCGAGTACTTTTTCAGACAAAGTTAGAGTAATGGTAGCAGGATTTATTTCTGATGGAGAAGCTATAAGAAATAAAAGTATTAAAATTGGAGATTGGCTAAAAAGTATAAATTCAAGGGAGGTCACATTTCAGAACTTAGAGCATATCCTGTCTGGAATATCAGCAGCCACCAATGTGAGCTTTTAATTCTAATTAATTTACAGAAAGAATTACGCAATTTACAGATTCAAATTGAAACATGGATATAAGTATTGCTATCCTTACAGATAAGATTGGAATTGCAGAGAGTTACAGGAATTGAAGTAACTACCAGTTCACCAATAACAAATTCTCCAAAGGTTGTACTGTCTTATTGCACTTTTTAAATTAAAAACACAATATAGATAAAATATATAATTAAATCTTAGCAATCAGTATTGGTACGTCAACTAGTGAACAAGGAAGAAGTCAAGGTCTTTATGGAATCACTTCTAGATCTATTTATTGGGGTGATATATTTAAAAACAACAGGTCTTTCTGAAACGGGTCCAGAATTACAAGGTGTACTGTACAGCTTCCCATGTTCTCAGAGTGTAAATACTCAGACTTTTTTATGCACTGCCAGAGGTGCCTTTATTACACTTAATCACATGCTTCCTGGAATGACAGGACCACCGCCAATCAGGTATCAATTCAAATGTATTATCTAATAAAAATGTCTATTAGATTAATGAATGATTGCTTATAGTATAATGACAATTTTCAGCACTAGTGTATCTTTAGCTGGTGAGATAATCCATATCATTTATACAACTTGTGGAGATGATTTATTTTTAATGGCAGTGCCTGATAAACGGTAAGTCCTTATTAATCTTATGTGATCCTTATAGATTTTATTATACACAATTAATTAACGAACAGATGCAGTTTGCTAGAGAGTATAGAACTGTCTGGAGATATTGTACGCGCTCTAGAATTTAATTACGAAACATTATCTAAATGCTTTACAACGAAGGATATACATCCTGCATTAGACCACTTTTTCGCATTACTATTCTTCCGATTAATAAACGGTAAAAAATGTCCAGAAACCAATGATTCGTATGAGAACATTGTTAACTTGAGAGATGAATTAATATCCTTACAAAAGTGTGAATTTGAAAATTTCCTCTCGGCTGCTCATTTGATCCAATTGCCAAGAGATGCACAAATTCAAATTGATGCTGCCTTAAATGAGATGGAAGCTATGGACTATAGGGATTGGGTATGGGCAATTATAAGATTTTATATAATAGTGATAAAACTTAATGAATATGAATTATAGATAAAAAAATTAACAGAATGAAGACCCAATGGACTGCCAGAGATTATATACAATACTGGGAAGTTGTCTCTACCACAAAAATTATTTGTTGGGCTCTCACTTAGCTCATGAAGATTTAATAGTAGTCCATTCATTTCTCCGGCAAAATGGACTATTACATCTTGTCAAGAATGAACCTGTGAAGTCTTTGATAATTTTTAGACAAGTATACCCACCATCCTGTACACGCAAAGATACGGAAAACGAAGCATGTCAATTATTAGGCTCAGGGAAAAAATGGTTTTTACTTGTTGTCGGGTATGGCTATGAGTTACTAGCAGTTCTCTTAGAATCTGGTGGCTGTACAGCGAGGTAAATTATTTATTATTAATGGAATGACTGAAATTTTATCCCTCGATACATTTCTTTAAGTAATTTCATCAAACTGATTTTATAGCCACATAGAAAATACAGGTCCAGACATATTTTATGTAGAGGAAGCTCAGGAGACTTTGAAGCACATACAAAAAATTGGAATATCGACTTTAGTTGGAAAATGGATTTCTGCTAATGCAAGACCTGAAGTTATTTCTGTGGAGGATCGTATAGCAGTCAAAACATCATCAAGTATAGCAGAAAATTTGTTAGGCCTTATTAAATCATCAGATGCTCAAAGCACATTCCACAAAATGACTCCAAACTCGACAGTTACGAAGAAGACACCAGAGGTAGCTTCAATATTGAAAAAGCGTAGCCCAGAACAAAGTCCCATAATGTCAGGTTCAGGTAAACAATATCTTCAATTCCAAAAGGTTCTAATGACTGCTTCAAAAATTTACATTGAATAATTTTGACAATTATTTTAGTTTATTCTTTACAAATGTCTGAGGACTCCATAAGCCAGGGCACAGGAGCAATAAGTGAAATCAGTGACGAAGCTGCACCAATTTTAGGCAGAAGAGCAACAAGAGAACGTAACAATGCCACTTCAAAAAATTCAGAAGATAGTGATTCAGATGTGGATATGTACAGAGTCAGTATAATTCTATAGATTAATTTTAACATACAATTTCATTGCTTTAAAATGAAGCATTATTTATTGCAGAATGACTGTCAAGTGGGTACAATGGATATTTCGGACATCAGAGAGAATTTACTAAATCAAGCAGAATATATTGTCCCAAAGAAATTAACGTCTGGAGAAAAAAATGTTCTCTTTCATTATATCCACTTAGATATGCTTGAGGGTATACTGCTATCATCGGAAACTGCAGAAAATTCTCTAAAGAATGCTAAGATTTTAACTAACTTCAACAGATGCGCACACATTATTCATAAATTATTACACAACACGGTGAGATTTAAGAAGATGTTAAGTCAAGATATGGATAAATCTGTGATTAACAAAAGTCTTATTGCTATTAAAGAACATGGTGTTCTGTTTGAATGGGATAGTTTATCGTATTGGGTGATTGGACGATTGTATACCACACCGCATCCTAAAGAATTATATGTCTGTTATCAAGACACAGCACCACAGAATTTGGTTGAAATGGCATTTAGACTAAATTCGATGTGGAATTAATGTTGTGATGTATAAAATATAATATTAGTATTAGTACTATACTGAAACTCTGCTGCGAAAACTGCTGTGTACTTTGAGAAAATGATACCTTTAATATTAATAACATTTCTTTTGCATACAATCAAACCCGTATAAATAATATTTTTTAATTAATCATATTTAAAGTTATTGCGACTGATACCTCAACGTGAAAATAGTAATCATGCATTTTACAAAACATTTCCTATACCTTCTTCTACAAGCATATGTGAATACACATTTTTCTGTTAATAATAATTGATAAAAACAATATAAATAATATAAAATACTATTGTGAGCTGTTCATCTTTTCAAACAAGATAATGATAAGGAAATCTCAAGACATAATAATCTATATGTACCTAATAAACAGATACAGTTTACCACTCACTATGAATTAGTCAATGGATTCATATAATTTTAAAAAGGGTAAATCTAATATTGAAGATGTATTTGATATTTCATCATTAGAATTCTGCATTTCAGGAATTTTAACTATGACACAAGCACCAGCCATTTTACTTCCATAATGACCTGCCCAAAAGGATTTATCCTTACCACCATGACGGAAACTTATTTGTTTTACATGAGGACCATAATTTTTAAACTCGTGGGATATCTTTAAATCAATAAAATAATATTTTTATATTTTCTGTACAATGAATACTAACGAATGAATTTTGAATACTTACACGATGCCATTGATTCTGTCGATCTCCTTCTATGATATCATGAAATTGAAATGAATCTATTAGATCGTGTGAGTCTCCTAATAATTCTACAGTACATTCATAGATTGCAGGACAATCCCATCGGCAGCTGTACCACTCACTTATCTGTTTAGATATCAAATTTTTATTGATATATGAATTACTCTAATGATGCCTGGAATATATGAAAAAGTATTTTTTTTACCACTATAGGTGGCTGTAGTTTGTCCATTAAGTATGGTGTTAATCCTTCATTTCCTAAGTCTATTGTCTGTTCCTTGGTGCAATTCCTGTAAGATGTTACAAAACAGTGTTGCCCTCCTTCAAAAACTGGATCAGATGGTAATGGTGGTACATTAAGCGGTGGACATTCTACTATCCAGTGATCTCCACCATTGCTCCAAATTTTCCAGTGTCTATTGATATCTTCTTTCCCAGAATGATTTTTAAGCAAATTTCTTTCAAATGGTCTCTTCTTGCAAATATCATAATAGACAGACCAAGGCATATTTTTTATTGGTGGCAATGAATGTTGAATTATCATTTCTGCTTTCTTACGCCATACATATTCTTGTATTAATATCTTCCATCTCTTGCATACCAATTGGCAGTTTAACAGTGTTTTGTAGGGAACATAACAAAGAATTTCAGAAAGTAATTCTTCGGGGATATATTGGTTTGTTATTGTCAGACCATTGTTGTCATTTTCATCGAATTGAACACGGGATTCCATTTTTCCAGTAAGGTGTTGTCCCATAATCACTTTTTTCTGCAGATTATTAAAAAAAAAGATTATAAAACTTTTAATCTCAGTGCAATATTTCCAGCAATACATAAAAATAGAATCAACTTCTGTAATTAAAAAGGTATATTTAAATTTTTACATTACACAGGCATATTACATTGACAAAATTCTGATAGTTAAAAACGCATGCATCAATAAGCAGGTTTAAAAGTGATTTGCAACACAAAATTGCCATATAGTTTATATATAAATGGATAAAAACGATGTACTTACCTAACCTTTTGACGTTTTCTCAACAAGCCAATATTCAGACAAATTTTCTCGTCTTTTTGGCAATTAAATTTACCGTTTAGTGGAAAAAGATGTCCATATCGAGACGTACGACTTATGAGTCGTAAAATGTGACGCATGCGATGTTTTTTACTATGTAAAGCTGAAGTTCCAGAAGGCTGCGTCATATGATGAACTGTGATGGAAGTTTCGTAAATAAATCAACAGGAAATGTGTCTCGTTTAGAAATTATAAATTGAATTAAAATTAATAACAGCATCAATAAAGAATTTTTTTCAACTTTTACATGGAGGAACAAACAATATTATTATTGTATTAAGATACTTGACGCGAAACTAGTTTCTCGATCAGTTTTTAAAGATTGATACTTTAAAACACAAATTCAAACTGAAATCAATTTTAGTGACTTAAATTTTGTCCAATAGTTCATTGCTCTTTATTATTTTTCACAGATTAATAAAACTGCCATTGAATAAACATATCAATAAAAGAATTATAATAAAAAATAGGCGTGATATTGTATACGCAATTTTATTTCCTTCAATATGTGTGGAGCCATCAATGGCAATTGTACATCATGATGAAAATGGAAATGCTTAAAGGAAATAGGTACGTGGCTTGCGTACACTGAAGAGTGGCATACGAGTTTTATGTTGGATTCGTTTAGGTAGGGGAAACCTAATCTTTGAATCATGAAATTGTTTAATTTGAGGCCTACGACAGTTAGCAGCCTTTACAATTTCCACTTTTATGATCTGGATGGAATGAGCACGTGCTCGGTGACGTGCTCCCATGTCTCTGTAACATTGTGTTACAGCACCACTGACAGAAAGGTCTCTGTATTCCCTGTACATGTTGTGAGTCCCAGAACGCGAATCGTATCGAAGCCAAATCCCAAAATTCTTTATTTTGGCAGGATTTTTTTCTGTAATCTGAAACAATTAGATATTTATAACTTAAAACTGCATATTAAACATAATGAGTCACAAAAAACAGAGAGGAATCTAATTTTCTATATACTTGTTTCAAGGAAACTATTTCTCCTGTAGATTTCTTGAACTTCTTAAGTTGACGTAGGAAGTACCAGAATCTGGATTTTGCTACAATCGCATCCGGAGCAAATATCCTCATTTTATAAAGAGGAGTTGTTTTTTCATTGACTGGGAGCTTGCGCCCAATCACCTCGAATTCTTTCAACTGAAAGAACAAAAACAAGAAACTATTACTTCATAAAATTATTATAGATATATTTCTCTTGTTCATTATCTTATCAAATGTAAATATACTTTTCATTGCATAAAATCCACACTATAACCATATTAAATACATTCAACATAAGATCTGAACATCTTTTGCATGACAATTTTATAAGAAATGTGTACAGGCTAGAAGTAATCCATGTGACGCCTGCCATATCGTCAAATACCACGTTTATTTCTTAACTGTTATTTAGCACATACAACACGAATCTTCATAAAATTTCAAATAGACATATTTCAGTGTCATTAGAATAGATTAACAATACTTTAATTATTTATTATATCAAAGAAATAAGTAAAATTCACTCACCTCTCCCTTCGCTTTCATCGTGGAATACGATCGGTGTAAAAGACAAACCGGAAAAGGAGCTTGGCACCATACTAGCTATCCGAACTGGTGATTTCCGCTATTAACATCGCACCCGCTAAAATTAAATTGAATATTTATTCACCGAAATTTTTTTAATGTGAATTCTTTTAATTCGAATAAATTTTCGTTACGTATTTAACGTAACTAATTGATACTTAATACTCAACAACAGTTCGCTATATAATACATCTTGATCATTATAAATAATACATAAGAACTAACTATAATACACATCTGTAGCAGCTTTTACAAATATATTTATTTAAAATTAATTGAATCATTTATTAAAGTTGTACGTGACTGAGGACCAATTTTACTAAAGCACCACGTATGACTCAATCTATTCTGGGTTTGAAACGAACTACATACCATTTCATCCCCCGACAAAACTTTTATGTTGATTCCAACATATCTAAACATATCTTCTGTGCAAATTATGGTTAATAGCTGTCATACATAAAGTCCTATAAAAAGCTGATTCTACTAGTAGTTTCTTGAATAGAAAATAAACCAAAGTATGTACTATTCGGAAAAAAATAAGGCCGGGTTTCTTTATTAGTATCCATCTCTGTAATGTCTCCCCGATATACACGGCCATAGCTGCGTATAAAGCTTCATTTTCAACCCAATAATATGTCGTTGTTTCAAACGGATTCGCATTTGTTGTCATTTGTTGAGCGTCCATACCGGTACTTACATTCTATCGGCCACGGTCTTACATACAGGTCTTGCAACTCGTCCAATTTTCAGCGGTGGGGATAAACGTGTGTAGAAGCACGGCACATTTAAACTTTTAGTTATAAGTGTCGCTGTGATCGAGCGACCCCTTGTCTATCTCACTCTACAATCGGCTGTGGGAGAGAGAAATAGGAACAGATCGTTTGATCGCAACGTCTCTTGTGGTCATGAGGCGAATTGAAAGATGCTTCTCTAAGAAACCTACCCCCTCCAAGAGAGTTGCAGGACTTGTATATAAGACCGTGCTATCAGCTTTTTGTACTTCGGCAATGATAAATTCGGGAGTTCCCGTGATTCTTTACCTTCAGTTTCCTATAATTTACTGACTTGGGATTTTGACGGGCGTAAAGAAAATATCAAATAATAGTTTGAATGAAGGTGAAGAATATAGTTTCGACAAGGTATATAAGTTATTTCTATTAAATATCTTGTACAATATATTTTGTTTCATTTCATGACTTTTTTTTATACCTAAAAAATTATGGTGATCGTTGATTGAAGTTCTGGAAGATAATAAGACATATTTAGCAATTATAATTTTATGTATTTGTTACAGATCAAAATGGAAGAAACAGATAATGAGTTTGTTGCCAGATCCTACCAAGTTGATTTGTATGAAAAGGCAGTAACGGGAAATACAATAGTTTACTTGCCAACAGGATCAGGGAAAACTTTCATTGCGGCTATGTTGCTGAAGAAAATGAGTGCAGATATTCAAAAGTATGTTCTTAACATCATTGTTGTTAATCAAATATTTTGGAGCACTTCTGACAGCTAATCTAATTAGTCCAGCTTAATCATTTTCCAATGTTTTTCTAGACTATATAGTGAAGGTGGTAAACGTACCATATTTGCTGTCAATACTGTAGCGCTTGTTACACAGCAAACTGGATATTTGGCAAGACATACAAGTTTTAGCTGTAAAGGCTACACTGGTGATATGAATGTTGATTCATGGAGTAAAGAATATTGGTTGATAGAATTTGAACAGAATCAAGTATGTTGAATTTTATTATCATTAAAAATACGAATGGAGTAATGTCACAACACCAGAATTTATGCTGTTTGAATGATGATATATTCTAAGTTCAATGAAAATAATTTTATTAATGTTTTTATAGCAAACATATATTATTTAATGTAATTTAGGTCCTAGTGATGACTTCACAAATTTTTCTTCAATTAATATGCCATGGTATCATGCCATTAAACAGAGTAAATTTAATAGTGTTTGATGAATGTCATAGAGCTGTTAGTGATCATCCTATGAGGCAAATCATGCAGCTTTTTGAAAAATATCCTAAAAGCGAACATCCACGAATTTTGGCACTCTCTGCAACTTTATTGAACTCCAATGTGAAATTAGAAAGAGTGCAACAGACTATTCAGGTATTAAGTTTTGCCTCATACTTTTCATGAGATCTTTAATATAACAGTATTAGCTTTGTCTACAAATAGGATTTGAATGCATGACAAATGAATTGTTCATTTTGTTTTTAGCAACTTGAAATTACCTTCCATGCAAAAGTAGCTACTGTAGAATCAGCCAGTATAGTTAAAGGATATTCAACAAATCCAATCGAAAAGATTGTTAAATTTGATTTTCCCATTAGTCTTCCAATTGTTGAAGTATTGGAGAAATTGTTGATTTCCATTGAATGCATACTAAATTTAGTTTCTTTACCGAATTTCCATGACAATAACTTATCGAGTGAAGTCTTTAAACCAAAATCTAAGAATTCGAAATTGATCAGCATCATCCAAGATATTCGATCTCATGTTACTCAACTCGGTAATTAAATCTTACTTTCATATTTCATTGAGATACCTGTTGATTCGCATGCACATATTTAAGTGTTATTAATTTTGCAGGTTTATTTGGAGGAGATAAAGCAATCCTCCTACATATGATTCAGCTTGAATATTTGAAAAAATACAATGATGATCAGGTATGAGTGTCATTAATATTATGCAACAAGGTGTAAGTTGAAACTTGTAATTTGCTTCCTTCGAACCGTAGGTAGTGTACGAAGTCCCTATATGAGGAAGCATTTTTTTTTTTAATCTTTGGCTTTCTCATAGATGAATCTTTATCTACTACCGACGATTCAAAGGAAGCAAATTGCCAAATTTAAATTCTTCGCTTCCTTATATAGGGACTTCATACGCTACTTAAGATTCGGAGGAAGCAAATTGCAAGTTTCAACTTGCAGCTTATTTAACGGAAGTCCTCATGCCTCTCACAAGTTGGGGTGCTTCATACTATAGAGAACGCATGTAAGGATAAATCTCATGCATGATCTCATCGGGCCTAATATGTTTGAATCGGCTGAAAGTCAAAAACTTGAATATATGTATAATCAAATCCGTTTTGCCGATCTCCGTCAAATTTGAGACATACCACGGCTAAATGATGTTCTATACTTTTGGAAAATTGGAGCTCAATCGGGCAAAGCTGACGAGAGTTATATTGATAAATTTAATTTAAAAAAAAATTCAAAATATAAAATCAAAACTTCTCGATGGATTCGGCCCAAACGCAATACCAACCAACAATACAAATCTCTTTGTCAAGAACTATTAAGACGATTATCACAAAATTTGCAATCGCTAGAGTGATAACGTCCTTTTTTTGGGAATTTCAAAGCGACATAAAATTGGAGCCGCAGCTCGAATCATGACGAAAATTATAGTCCATGAAGGTATTATAGAGCTGCTCATACCTGCACAATTTGGGGGCTGTAGCTAAAACCGATCTCGAATTATACACGTTTAAATTTTGGGAGGCCATTACATATACACACACACACACATATATACATTCGGACATTTTCTCCATACATGTTTTCTCAATGTTTTGGCATATTCTGAACATGGTAACATGAAAATCTGGACAGGCAAATTTTCCACCGTCATATAGCTTCCTCTATGATGAACCAAAAACACTTTTCCTTATCGTTGGTATTATTCTTTCCAGCAAACTGTATATGTATTAGAGTATTGTATTACTCAGCTGATGAAAATAAGAAAACTCATTGCGAATGAAATGAAAAATCTTTCAGAATGTGAACAAATCTTAACGTACGTATAACGAAGAAAAATAAAGTTTTATATATTTAAGCAATTAATAGTTTTATTAAAAATTACAGATATTCATCTGATCAAGTATTAAAGCTATTTCTCATTTTGCAAAACTTTAATACCAACAAAACGAGTGAGCAGAAATTTTGCTGTATTATTTTCGTGAAACGACGTTTTACAGCTAAAGTGCTATATCATATATTAAAGGCAAATATAATTTTCATTATTATTTCTCTCTTACATATAATATGCATGCACAGTAACATAAGTATTGAATAATCCAATTTTCTTTCAGGATTTACACAGACTCGACAAGCAGTATGAATTTTTATTACCAGAGTTCATTGTAGGCTTCTCAAACGATCCGTATAAAAATGCCAGGGAGATTTTGTGTATCTCAAAATGGAATCGCGAAGTCCTATTGAGGTAAGATTTTCGATTTAATTTTCGATGCAAGGAATAAGTTAATAGTAACAAGAAAAAAATACTGATAGGTTTAAGAGTGGTCGTGCTAATTGCGTGGTTGCTACAGACGTCGTAGACGAAGGTCTTGATATACCATCTTGTACATTAGTCGTACGATTCGACGAACCACAGGACTTTCGATCTTACATTCAAAGTAAAGGCCGTGCCAGGTCACAAACAAGCGAATATATTTTGTTAATATCGGAGAATGCTGACAAATTTCTCTCCAAATATCATAACTTCAAGAAGATTGAAGAGTATTTGCAGCAGGTATGCTGTGAGTTTCCTGGAGACGTAGATATAACATAATTACAATATTTGTTTAATATTTTTACAGTTATTAGTAGGGAGGACTAATCTTCGTGCTGAGCCGACACATGAACAAATAGAAAAAGATTTATACGATACTATAATAGAGCCCTATTCTGTCACTGATAGCACTGGTGTAACCAGTATGATAACAGCACAGAGTGCAATCAGTTTGGTGAATCAGTACTGTTCTTCCTTGTACAAGTCTAAATTTATTTGTTTATCGCCTACGTGGACATTGCACAAGAATAACAATCCGCCTTCTTTTATGGTATTTGTTCAGTGAAACTAGAAGTCTCTAAGCTCTGTGAACTGTTACAATATATTTCTTTCTTTTTTCTTCTTTTACAAGGTGACTCTAGCCATGCCGCCTATATCCAATTTAAAAGAGATTGTGGAGGGAGATTGGATGCCGTCTGTAATATTAGCAAAAAGATCTGCAGCTTTAAAATGCTGCGTGGCATTGCATAGGATTGGCGAGTTGTCTGATTGCCTGATCCCTAATGATATTGAGACGGTCCTGTCCAATGCAGATTATTTATTTCCACATTGGGAAGACGAGTCTAAAGAAGATAAAATAATACCAGGGACAAACACAATGAAACGACAGCACAAGCTTGTGGTAAGTAGAATTCTATTGATTCCCTTACAATAAAGCATAGCGTTTGATAATTTTATAATTCAGTGTAATTTTAATATTGATTTGTATATGAAAAGTAAATTTTTAGTATGCTGATGCACTGTATTCTGCTTATCCGATCGAACATAAAACCTTATATCTTCATGTTATTGATGCAAAACCTACGTATCCTGTGCCGCAAGATAATCGACGTTTTGTACTTTACAATCTGTTAAGCGACTCTGCAGGATTTGCTATACTTTCCACAAAGCCAATGCCTCAGGTATATTCGAGCATAAAAGTAGATACCTACAAAAATATAGTTTAGTATCTTGAATAAATATAGTTTATTTTTTTTCTTGGTAGATACCGTCGTTCCCAATATTTATGAATGTCGGTGAACTATCTGTGGATATAAAAGTTAATCACAAAACCATGGAATTAACTGCAGATGATATTAGGTATTTGGATGCTTTTCATGCTATGATATTCAGTCAAGTAATACCAATCATCAAAGCCTTCATGGTGTTTGATAAAGATAATTTGGATAATAGTTTTCTTGTCGTACCGAGTAAGTAAATCATTATAATTGAAATGATCAGTAATATTGTTTCTCTTAACTTTACAAAAATACATTATAAATCGATTACTCCAGTTGATGCCGAATGGAACATTAATTGGGATGTTGTGAAGAATAAAAGTAGTATTGTATTAATTCCTCCAAAAGAACCGTTTCATGTCAGTAGTCGTGCTTACGAACTTGCACTAGTTACACCAAATTACAGAGGATCACTTAGCGTGTATGTCGTCACGCAAGTTTGTGAGGATTTAACCGCTGATTCTAGCTTTCCTACTGAAGATTATTATTCGTATGTTCACTATTTTTCCGATCGACATGCATTGCAGATAAAAGACCCAAAGCAGCCCATGCTTGAAGTTAAATCAATCTCTACGAAGATTAATTGCATTAGACCTAGGTATTGTTGAAGTTTTTTGCGTTTTTTTTTTTATCAACAGTTCTTTATCATGTAGGACAATTTTTTACAACATTATGTTTTTGTAGAGGCGCAAGTGCTGGTTTGAGTAAACGCAAACGTGCTGACATCCAAGAGGATTTGGAAGAACACTTAGTTCCTGAGCTATGTGATAGAATTGATTTTCCAGCATTATATTGGTTGAAAATTACAACACTGCCGTCAATTTTACACAGAATAACACAATTTTTAGTTGCTGATGAATTAAGAAATCTAATTGCAGCTGAGGCTAAGCTAGGACTCTCGATGTTACCCCCTGGTGAAAAATGGGAACCATTAATGATCAATAATAAAGAAGGAGAAGATCAAATAGAAATGTCACTTGACACTACAATGGATGATGTAATACCTGAAAGCTCCTTACCACAACCGGAATTAAGTGGTCCTGAAATTGATGGTATGTGACTTACTCTGGGACTGGTATAGTTATTAAACACATTAAATTATTGACTAATTATGTTATTCTACAGTATTGGGAATCGACTCGAAACTTTACTCCTGGACTAAAGACGAAGAGCCATCAGATATGAATAGAAATATTGATAAACTTCTATTGATTGACATAGAATATTATTATCACTTCATGAATATGTCATGTGCAAGTGATAAGGATGCATTGGTACATTCAATAATCCCATAACTGATTAATCATTTATATCGTGCATATTACTAAGAATACTTTTCCTTTTAGCAAGAGAAAAATAAAGTTCCTGGATACATGTCAAAGCCAGATATTGCCATTCCGTCTCTTAAATCGCTCAAATATGAAGATTTAAGGGGTCCAAGTCCAGTAGATATTGCGCAGGTGAGATCAAATTCCTACCAAGAAATGTTACTGATACTTTTGTTTCAATTAATGTCATCTGATTCTAGGCACTGACTCGCAAACAAGTACAAGACGTATTCGATTTGGAACGATTAGAAACACTTGGGGATTCATTTCTGAAATACGCCGTATCTGTCTTCTTGTACGAAAGCTTTCCAAATCATGATGAAGGTCACCTGACTGCCGTAAAAGGAAAGATTATTGGAAATCGTAATCTGTATTACTGTGGGAAGAACAAAAAGATTCCAGGAAGAATGAAAGTCGATGATTTTGTGCCCTTGAGTAATTTTATAGCGCCGTCATACACAGTAGAGCGACGCTTACAAAAAGTGTTGATAGAAGCCGAAGTAGGTATACAGTGAAATTTATCAAATTGTAACTACCTCTCAATTTTTAACCTGTCGCACTTTTCAATTTTTATTTTTCCCTCGACCTGAGCTCTTCCACTATGCTGCAATTTAAGCGCTATAGAGTTTAGCTATATTTGCCTACTTGTGCGCAATGAAAGTCGCATATACAGATATGAAATGAACGGAACTTAGAGATAGGGAAATCTAAAGTGGACACTGAAAGGAAACTTAAAATTGAAGAGGTAGCACGATACTGATTGGTTAAAAAATTAGAGGTTCCACTGTACATGTATAATACAACTTATTAACTAATTGCATACAATTAATAATTTCATGAAATTAATACTCGATATAGGTCTCACCTAATATTCTTTATGAGTTGACAATCCCACCGTCCGAAAGAATTTCAGGTTTTGTAAGTAAAGAGACTATGCTCGTTATACAGAACAAATTACTTGACTGGGACGAAACTAAAACTCAGTCTGGTATGGAGCATTTTCTAGGTATTCAGACAATACCGGATAAGGTTGTTTCAGATTCTGTGGAAGCACTTATTGGCGTTTATCTGCAGGTAATCATCCAAGATGTGAATTACAGATTATACAATAAGTAGTACAATTTGTTGTACCTGATATTTATCCATAACATGTTTATTGTGCAGAAAATGGGTCTGAAGAGCGCAGCTAAACTATTAATTTGGTTTGGAATTTTACCTGAGAGCTTGAATATCTATCAAATATTATTCCAACAATTGCAAAATCCAGTAATTGGTTCGGGAAATATTGATAACCATATACCGTGGGCTGGTGTAATGGAGAGAAAAATTGGATATCAATTTACTAATAGAGCATTCCTACTACAAGTAATATATCCATATATTATACGTGGTTTAATTGAAATATGTTACTATAATGTAACATGAACATTTATTCTAGGCATTTACGCATCCCTCGTACACTTCTAATTCGATAACCGCTTGTTATCAGAGATTGGAATTCCTAGGGGATGCAGTGTTGGGTAAAATTCTTCAATTACAGAAGATTTTACTTTTTTTTTTTATAATTTGAAAATAATGCTCATTTCATTATCACAGATTTCCTAATCACAGTTTACATTTTTGAGTACTGTGGTAACTTAGATCCTGGAGCTCTTACTGATTTAAGATCAGCTTTGGTGAACAATATAACTTTTGCATCCTTGGCTGTGCGGTATGGCTTGCATACTGCCTTGTTATCGTATGCTCCTAAATTGAGTGATATCATTGATAGATTTGTCAAATTCCAAGAGGAAAGAAATCATGTAATCGATGATGAGGTATTTCTTTTTATCAGGCTTCACACCAGAGTGTTAACGTAGATAATGTAATATTAAATTATATTTTATAGTTACTATGGGTACTGTTGGAAGAAGATGAATGCAATATGGCAGAGTATGTTGACGTGCCAAAGATTTTAGGAGATATTTTTGAATCTTTAATAGGTGCTATTTACCTGGACTCTGGTAAAAATCTGTTGAAAGTATGGGAAATTGTGTATGCTTTAATGCATAAAGAAATAGGTATATATTTTTTGTCTATTAGTTTCTTTTTTATAACTAATAACTTCTTTTTTTTATAGAGGCCTTCAGTAAAAATGTTCCAAAACAACCCGTACGTGTGATACATGAAACTCAAGGCGCACAACCTCGATTTATGTGAGCATATCTGAATCTGAAAATGTAAATTTATCAAAATATTATGTTATTCTTTAATTATAGGGAAGCTTCCATGATTACTGGTACCACCACTGTTATGGTACCTTTAGAAGTAGTAATTTCAGGAAAACGTAAATTATTTCATGGCTTTGGAGCTAATAAGAAGCAAGCAAAATGTGCAGCTGCAAAGCAAGCTCTCAAATATTTACGTTGTAAGAAATGAAAGATGTGCCTTTTGCATGGATATTTTTTATGTTGTTATAAAGAAAACGTTCATTATATACTAAAAAATAAATAAAATAGCTATAGTTATACATGTGTATTGACATTATTGTATGCACTATTACAACGTTATATAATGAATATAAAAACATATTCAAGAAAGTTAATTTTCATTCTTATGTTTCTTTAACGAGGGACGATCGAAGTGCTGTTTCATTCCTGCGGCTTGATTGTTATGGAATTTCAAATTTTGGGCAGTTTCTGATATCCAGGGAGAATCGAACTGTGTAGTGTCTTGATCCACCAAGTGCGTGTATTTGGTTCTACCGCTGCGACCAAAGTTTTTCACCTGCATAACTTTAGGCAGAATTGTTTTATCGAAATGATCCTCCAGGGTAGCACCAGAGAAGTCCCGTTTAAATATGGTGTCATCCTTGTCCAAATAGAAAGCACCGCGATGGTAATATTTCTGCAAAAACTTGTATTTTCCTTTGGCAGCTTTATTCGTTATTTGTTTCGGGTTAAGACGCGCTTCCTGACGACGCTCTTCTTCAGTCATGTTGCGAAGACGTTCAATTTCCAAACGTTCTTTTTCAAGCCTAAAAAATTATAGGAATATTACAAGGATACATTCGTATGAAAACTTTCAATTGTGATCGGTATTTATATCTGTGGAGTACAGTAACGAAAAAAAATACGTACTGTTCTCGTTCTTCACGATCTCGTTTTATTCTTTTCAATTCACGTAATTTCCAAGCTTCATACTCCACCTCATCATTCTCATCATCTGTACAGACATCACCAAGTTTGCCTTCTTGTTCATTAGTGCTTTTACCAAGTTGGGTCTCTTTACGAATTGCTTCTTCTACCATCTGTAAAAAAATACAATCAACGTATAATATTCTAGAAACAGTAGAAATATAATTTGATTACAGAATACCCACCCTCAATGTCTGTCTTTTGCGTTCATCTGCTAATTTTTTTGTCTCAATTTCGACCTGCTTTTGTTTCATAGCTTCTTTCTCTTTTTCCATTACAGTAATTCTATCTTTTTTCCGTACAAATACAGGTTTTAATCTTGGACCAGTCTCCTCTTCCGAATCAGTATATTCTTCATACTCTGAACTTTCTTCCGAACTATCCCTAGATTTTTCATCTTCTTCTCCTTGTACAAGTTCTTCTTCAATGTCCTTTTTTGAGAGGACCCGCTGTTTCAATGCTTCGCGACGTCTTTCGATTTCACTATCCGAAAGGTCTTCATCTTCAGAAGAATCAGAGCTCTCTAACTTTATTCTTTCACGCGATCTTTCTGGTTCAGTTTCAAGAATTTCAGGCTCATGAATATGTCTGTGACGTTCAACTCTGATTTCTGTATCCGAATCTCTATGTCTCTCCAATCTAGTTAATCGTCTTAAGCGAGGATCATCCTCATCCCTAAGCCTACTATGTATTGGAGCAGGTACGTCCCCAACATTTTCACTATCGTCATAGGTCTTATGGACACGTTTCTCCAAAAAATCTTCTTCCTCAGACTCTTCTTCGGAGCTAGCTGCTGGAGCATAGTCAGGTCGCTTTCCAGATACATAACGATGTACCTTCACCTTCTTCATAGACAGCTCTCCTACAAAGCGTTAACACTATGTTAAATAACATGTAAATATGCAAGTCTTATTATTAGAAAAATAAAATATAAATTTCAACACAGTACCTTTATCATTTTTTACAGGAACAGCCCCAGCCGTACTTTGTATCCCCATTGGGGCCGGGGCTAAAGAATTATTAGTAACAAAGTAGTCCATCATCATATTCAAGCAGGATACGTCAAGTATTCAGTCAAAATTCACTCCGCCATATTGTACAACTGAACTAAGGTGTCTCTGCGGAATAAGAACAAACTACAAAAACAAATAATAATTTTTAACACTTAAAACCCGTCGATAAATATGTGCACTATTCAATCGATAATGAGTAATAATCAACAGTTAATAAGATGACGACAAATGCATCAAAACATAATAAAGCGTCCCAAAGAGATGGCGCTAAAAGAGATGAAAATGCGATGGCATTTGGGTGGGGATAGCAAGTACTGGAGTATCTGCAAAGGAGAGGGCTGGATGGGAATGGAACGAAGCTGAAGAGCGGCTCCAACGGGCAACTCCGAAGCCGCTAACGTGTGCCCGAAAGAGCCGGGGGTCCTACTTCTCGTTAAACGCGAGTAACGGATGTAAACGGAGGGACGCACGCGCTCATGTCTGGAGCTGCGTTATTTTGAATTTAACGTGCGCGAGTGCCGCGTGATAGACGTCAAACGACTAAAACCAACCTGGAGTATTGTTCTCAGTGACTACTGTGTGATTGCAAAGTGTCTCGGCGATAAATACCAACATTTTCGAATCTATCAGCGCCTTCGTAAATTTTGGATAAGTGCGACACATAAGAAGGAAAGGTAAGAGATTATTTAGTGTTCACTAAACTCCATTTACTCTGTCCTTGACTCGAGGGGACAAATCATCTAATGGAATTTGCTTGAAAAAATTGAGGAAGAAGAAAGAAGCTTGTAAACTATCTCCATAATTTGCCTCACGCTACTAATGAGTAACCTTGATCAAGAATCGACATAATATTATAAAAATCATAAGATGAATAATTCTCCTTTACTCACACAACAGTCTAAATAATATTCATGAATACATTCTACTCCCGATGTTATCAACAAATGCAAGGGGCACACGAGACACTTACCAGGGGCCTCTGTCCCCTATTATCACAATCCTGTCAACAATATATAATAGCGTAAGCAGTAAATTATCAGCTAAATAGTTCCAAAGTTCTAAAAAAAGAAATTCTCGTCCACTCCAATACGGCGAAATATATCCAAAAGAAAAGGTTGAATGGAGTCAATCGAAATATTTTGGAGAATAATAATTCAACGTGGTTGGATTTCTAAACATGTTATGCGTGCATAACATGCACATTGATCACCATAAAAGTCGATTTAGTCTCGGAGTAGCTGTTATTGAGAGTACTACTTCGATTGGTGGATAGTAAGAAGGAAAGGAAGCCAAAGTCGTTTGCTTTTAGTATCGTGAAGGATTCATCCGTATCGAATATGCCGTAACTCTCAATGGACTTTTTTAATGCGCGTCTCTTTCTCTTCCTCCAAGTTCCTCACTGGTATCTTGTAGTAGTAGTCGATCTAGCATCCTCGTTGCAAGTCTCGTCTCATGTCGACGTATACGTATACATATATCCCAACGTTATAAGCAACTTCAGATACCGAGAACGTGTACGTGAGAGTTCTTACAAGAGGTCTGTATATACGCGTGTTTTTGTGTGGACTTGCTGGACCGCTCTTGAGCGTACCTCCCCACCTCTCGTTCGAACAGCAAGATCCTTGGCAAGTCCTGGGACTCACGAACGGAACAAACGAGCGACTCAGGTTACGAGCTCTCAAGGCCCGAGGAAAGAGCCGGGCCCCGTCTTTCGTCAATTTCAGGCATCGACTGACTAACTGGTCCCAAACTCCAAAAGAGCCCGGTGGAACTAAATTCCGTATCTTGTGAAAATCGAAAGTGCCTGCAGCATCCTCACCGGAATTCATACGAGTACCAAAATTCAGGATTAAAGTAATTAGTGATATTTATACTGCGACGAACTAATAGAAATTCATAACAAGTCTGTATATCAGTGAAATTATTGGCATCGAATCCCATTAACTAAATTCCTTCAACATACATACTCAGATCATTTGGTATTTCCAATATATCGTATCTAGCTGTATGCGATGATATCACATTTAATCTTGTAAAAAATTCTACACGTACTACACTCTGCTTCTCCTGTCTCTTGTTGTCAGGTACCTCATATGTCGCCCGATCGATATTTAATCGATAGTTGTCACGTGTAAAAAAGAAGAAACATCTGAGATTAATAAAGAATCATAAGATACGTGCGATCATAACGAAACTGCTAATTACCAACACGAAGAACAGCCCTTTTTTGTTGACAATGGAATTTACCTTGCGATACCTTATCTGTTGCGGATAACGAAAATTTATTAGAAATTTTATAAGTGATCCAGCAAAATTCCCTGCTTGTCAGGTAAACACGCCCACGTTGTTACGCGATAGTTTCCACTGTCTGGTACATACGTACGTGGGTAAGTAACACACGTACTCGTTTACTACGTCGGTTTACCGATGACGTAGCGCATTATTTTATCACGGTACCAAATCGCTAGGATGCGTTGAAGAAAATAGTGTCAAGACATTGCGATTACATTTATCATCCACGTCGTTGCTCAAAATTGATCGTATAGAGTGAATCTTGATGCACGATCTAATTATGGATAATATGACTAAGGTTCACGATTCTTTTTCTCCTTGTACGTTAATGTGAACGTAAATTCGTAATTATTACGGGTCGAGTCACGTGACCCTCTCGTTACGCTCGTTGAATACGATACGCCAGAAAGATGTCTTGCTCGTGCATCGATATACATAGATAAATCGTGGTCGGCCCGTTGACGGCGACCTCCAGGAGCTAGCGAATATATAAAACTGCCAGGGTATGCACGCAGGAATGTAGATTTTTCATGGTAACTTTCTATCGGCCAGTGACGTCATGCCAGGGAATTGTTCTCGAGTGCACTAGGAATTGTAACATTCGAACGTGAGATCTGTCCCGTGAGAGAGAAAGAATCTCGGTTATAAGGAGGTATATACAATTTTTTCCTCTGTTTTTTTTCCCATGCAATTATTTTACCTTTTTATTTCACCAGAGGATAGGTTAATTTTGAGTACGTGGAATCGGCTTCTAATCGACATTCTCGATTGAAGTAGGGTTATGATGCTCGTTCTAATCGCAAGATTATTAGATGCCAAATGGCAACGTCGTGATATGCGAATCGGAATTGTTGCTCATCTTATATTTCACTTCTCGAGAATTCTCTGGATTCTTTTGGTTGATTGAGGAATTTTTGAATTTCATTTGGAAGTCACTGCTTTATGTATGTATATATATGGAGGACAGTGCTTCGTAATTGGATAATGTAGAAATTCCAAAAAAGGTATTGACCTGAAGCCTTCTTTTAAAACTGTCCATCCGGATTGTGCCCATCTTCTACGGAGATATTTTACACGCGATACCATCTTTAGACTGTTTGCCACTTTCACTCTGGCATTTATTATCTACCTAGGCGTATATGCTGGAGACATTATTATTTTGACATGGCTGCTCGTTCGTTTCGCTACGCGTTACTTTGGCATGCCTGTTGTGTCTCCATTATTGTCACGTCCTTCGCCATTGTAAAGGTTCCTGGGTTCTCCGGGAACAGTAAAATTCATATTTCACGGTGTCCATGCGCCAAGACGGAGACGTCTCCTATGTTTTGTACGTTTTGAAAGAAAGAAGAAAAAAGTATAGCCAATTGTAGTAGAGACAGCTGCAAAATACGATAGAAACTGGAAAATCAAGCTTTCGAGAATTCTCGTTCACTTCTCACCTCATAGGGAACTCGTTGTCCAAGTGATTTGTTTGAACCCGACTGACAAGAACCTGGAGGATTCCAAGATCGTTTATATCTACTTGTCAGTCCTGTGCTCTTCGTTATTATTTTACAGAAGCCCATCGATCCTCAAGGAGCATCCACGTCGATCTGGGATACCGATCGTGTCGCTTGTCTCGAAGAACCTTTAGTGAAACTCAAGGTTTTTCCATCGCGAATGCACTTGCGCATGTCGCCCGATAGAAATCGCTCGAAAACTTTCCTTCGTTCCTGCAATATAGAAATCTCATAAATTAATGTAAAGTCCGGCGTCGAAAAACACAGCTGGCAAGTTAATCACTTAACACGAGGCTGCTGGACAGTTTAATTCGTCAAAAGGAAGTAAAGAAAATTATAATTACCTATATATCGAGATTAGACAGAATTTAGGACTGCTATTTCAGATATGGATCTACCCAGTAGCAAATGTTCCGAAATCAGCCTATCAATTTTATGTATATGAAATTATTTAGCAGTAGGTAACGTACCAGCAGGGTTTCCTTGTATGAGAGCGAAATGGAATTACACAATGTTGCGCAATATACCTGATTCGTGCATGGTGAACCTGAAATGCAAAACTGTCTCGAAAGTCATGTCGGTCATTTTGAACGGTAAAATTTTGAAATTGACGTAATTTGTTTGTCTACGTATCCGTGCGACATCGTATCAAAGTAAACTTACTCGAGTTTTGCGCAAAGTGGAAAAGTAACGTAAGAGCCTATCGATATCGATAATGAATGAGCTGCTGTCCAAACGTTACGGCGTGTGTGTATAATACGTAAGACACGTACGATGCATGCATATGTAACGCTTGGAAGGTCTGAAAGAGATAAAAGGGAGAAATAAGAAATGAAAGAAAATGCGACGGCACTGATCAATCAATAGCCAGGTGGAAATTGATAATCGCTTTAAACTACTCTACACTTATGTGCTAGAAATATCACGAGGATGATATTACAAAGAAACAAGGATGTATTGAATTAATATTTCTTGCACGTGAGTAACATTACTGTTTTGGATAATGTATATGATTATCGTGGAAAGTTGTGTAGCCGTACCAGCTATACTTACTTTACATGTGTAGTGCGAAGCGGTCTGGTCTAGCTGTTGTCGGGGAGTTATAATGTTTATGTGAAATGGGGTAATTCGCGAATAATTATTCAACATGGAAAAAGGAGGCAAAGGAGTGAAAATATGATTAGACGTCGCTTAATCTTCAGTCGCCGTTTTATGACGCTGACGGTTTGCGTTTTGTTATCGTGTGTTGTGCGTAATTCTTTAATTACAATAGATAGGCAACGGTTATTAGGGTCAATTTGAAACACGAATTTTGTCTATGCTCAGATTCGCAAGTAGAAAATATTATCTGAGTAACACGTGTCGCTGTTTTATATTTGTTCCATCGGTTGTATGTCGGCGTTCTCTAACGGTCCTTAGTAAATTCTTGTACTACTTTGTATTTAATTGAGAAAATTAATTACTGACATTTGTCATATCCAGTGACTATTCTTTCAAGCGGGATCACAGTCTGTTTGGCCGCGTCTTTTGATAGCCATTACTGTATGTACACCCGGCTCAAACGATTCTGACGCATAAAGGAAATAAATTTTGAATTCGGGATCAGACGAAATGTTTATAGCCCATGGTATAGCCTCGTTGTATGTTACATGCATGTAGTCTTTATTGCTACAATTTAACATCACGACCAGTAATAATATGCCTGTGCGTATGTATGTACATACACCCGGCCCAAGCGATTCTGACGCATAAAAAACGTGGCTTAAGGAGAAGGCTTCCCCTACTCAGCACACTCTTCAGTCCTAAGTTATTCTAAGCTGATTCTATGCGCATCTACGACGCGCAGTATATGTATAACGTAGGACTGAAGAGCATGCCGAGTAGGGGAAGCCTTCTCCTCAAGCCACGTTTTTTATGCGTCAGAATCGTTTGAGCCGAGTGTACCTGATTGAACTTCATGTATGTGGACAATAACTGATACGTGTCCGATGTACTGTTTGGCAGCTGGTGTAGGTTGTGAAATGCGAATGAGTTTTTATTAAGACAAAAGAGCGACTATGATTGGTCCAGACGGCTTAGACAAATATTTGGAGTCGTGCGAGTCACTTGGTAGAGGGTCGTCCTTGCTTGAGAAGGAAAGACTCTTTATTTCTTCTTTGGCGTTCGCTCAGACAGACCTTTTTACCGTTGTTAAGCTTCGTCGGAGCGCCGAGAGATGTCCTTGAGGTCGCACGTTGATTGAGGGAAGGAAAAAGATGGGACGGAAAGCAGCGACAGGATAGCTGTAAATATTCGCCACCCTCTGTGCCTGTTTTAGAGGTTATTCAGCCATCTGGTGAAACAGTCAGACCTCAGGATATTTAGAAATCTTAGAAGGCCTGCTATACTGGGGAGGACTTAACATCCGGAGCAGGGTAACTCTTGTATGGTTTCCATTCTTAGTGTACAGTCAGCTCGTTTCTTTGCTTTGCTTTGATTTTGTTTAGGAATTGCAAGCTGAACTGTACGCGGTGAGTTGACATGTGCTTTAGCTCGTTTCCCTTTTTACTCTTGGAACTGGAAGAGTCACCCTGTCATTTATTCAAGAGGGATGTTGCTGGTTAGTCTCAGTAGCAATAGTTAGGCATTACTGTGTTTAAGATATTCCAAGAAGAGTATGCGTAATAGGGTATCATGCTGGAAATTGTCAAGGAATATAGAGAAGAAAACAGGATACAAAAACATTACACAGCAGTATGTATACGTATAACACGTGCACATATGTTTCATCTATTTATCGGTCATTAAAAGCGTTACTTCGTTAGCACCAGTCATTAGCTAAATAAACTGAGCTCTATTTTCTATGAAAGGTACACGAAAGTCGTTTAACTCGTGTACCGTTAAGCTGAACAAGAAAGAAAATACTGACGGAGTCAAATTCTTAACCATATACAACAAATCACTTTCACGTATGGACTGCGTTAATCATTTTGAATGGTTTGAACTGTAAAAAAATATTTAAAAATAATTATCATAAAGTACACACTGCTTAGGATGCACTATTAATAATTCCGTTGGTAACTTGGGGATTGGCATTATTTGTTGTGCAATATACTCCATGACAAATGCCTTTTGTAGGTCTCTGGGACGAGTCACGCCCGGCTTAATATAGGCATGCCATCAGGCGGTTACGAATACTCCACAAGTACATTCTTTTCTACACATGTTGTTTTGCCGACATTAATGCCAGCCCTGGCTTTTGCGTCAATGTCAATAAGATTCGGTCCAGGCTCTTCGCATCGTGAGATCCGAAGTCTCCCCTTCGTAACTGTAGTGGATTTTATCCCACGCGGTAACAAGAGAGAAAAATATCTTGGTTGCCATGTGATTCCGATACTGGGAGCTCTGATTTCACTGGGTTAGACTCCAGGTCTTCATTTTACTCTCTTTTCGGTGCGTACACCGTATTTCCGGTGAACCGCACCGCTCGCACTTCCTGCTGCAGCAACAATGGGAATTTGAACTGACCGCTTCTCCCCGTACGACAATGGCTCGCTTGTTTTGTAGTTGGCGAGAATTTTTTAAATTTACACCGGAATACCGTTGACATTTCAGGACTTTACTCTCGGGTCGGAACGAACGGGCTTTCTTTGAGGTTATAATTTCTGTCAGTAAGGCTTGGCTCAAATTCATTCTCTAGTGTCAGAGGACACCGATGATCGACTCTACTAGGTATTGATCATCGTGCCAGCAATTTCTTCTTGGATGAATGATACTTCGCGTCAGCTTATGACATCATTGCTGCCAATCTAAATTCTTCGACTGTCTTCCGCTGCCGTGCCCAAGGCTGTCGCAGCCAACCTCGTTCTTAGGCGAGGGAGTCGAAATGAACTCCATTCACTCGCACTTACTATTCTCTTCTGGAAATGAGATATCGAGATAGCTGGAAGTTTAAAGCGCGATAGATAGCCGTGATAACTCTTTAGAATTTTTTACGGTATCGCGCCTTTATTGACTCACTCTTGAATTCTCTAAACCAGTCAAATACGTCTTACGCTGTTGGGAGCGGGAATTTTGAATTCTCTCAAACGACTACTCAAAATTCTTATTGCTTATCGTAACAAGCACGCACCCACTTGAATCTATCGTTACGTCCGATAACGAGAATTCCTTCGAATGATTCAACTTTTTTACCGAAAAACTTGCATTGGCGCGGCAGATTTCGGTGATTCAAATTTACTTAATGATTAATGTACGACGTTGAGTGTCGTTTGTAAATATTTAACTTTCTACATCCTACGGCAACTTTTCTCTTGAGTCATTTGTTTTCTTGTGATTCTTCATTTCCGAAATTGGATAACGATGATGAGTATCTTCATTTTTTTGTATTTTTTTTTTTTTTCTTCAAATTATTCATCCTGACGTTCAACGATCGTAGATAATTAATTGATCGTTACGAATCAACAGTCGTCAGTTATCGATGCAAGAATGCGCTCATTCGTTGATTAGATTGAAGAACTCTATAATTGCAAACGATTGCAAAGTATCGCACGATGACTTGTTCCATTCTTTTCTAACTTTCCTGGAATGTGCTCTATGCACGCTCCTTTTTTTTTCTATAACACAACAAATATCTGGGTTGGGTTATCAAAGTGCAGCGGACGGGAATTGATTAGAGAATTTTTTTTAACGGAAATAACGATGACTTAAATGATCTTTTCCGAAAAAAAAAACACTTACGGTTATATTGCATACAGAAATATTAAAAACGAGCTATTCCTTCGTCAAATTCAACATCGCTCACGAATTTCATTAAAGTTATTAGTAATTAACGATCAGCATGATGGAACGATCTATAAATGACTTTTGCATCATGCAAATTTTTATATAAAAATTATCTCATTACCGATCGTTTCACAGCGAGGACTTGCGATTTTATTCTGTCATTCAAAATTGAATATAGTTTATAAACAGATTATTTATTTATATGTAAATTTATTTCTATCTCCGCTACTACGCTGTACCTACGCCTATGTTAAAAGATATACATACAAGTACCTGCGCTCTTGCACACAAGTCCAATACAGACACGATACGTGATAAGAGTCCTGTTAGTGGCCTTTGGCTAACAGCTGAATCAGTTGGGTGTCACCATTCGCCAATGATATAATCGTCGTGCATAGCCGTCTGTCTGTTCAAAAAAAAATTAATAATAACAAAGTTTGAGAAACTTCGTCGTAATGGCTCTTACAGTATCGTTCGCCAAGTGCAAGTGACCAGAAATCCAAAAAGCTCGGTCAATCCAAAATCCACACGGTTCGATCGTATGCAGAAGAACATTGTGGCGTGATTAAAATTTATTTCAACAATGTCATATCGTTATGGTAAATATAAGATTTTAAGTCGAGATAATACTTTTTTTTTCGACCTACGTCAATGAACATCGGCCGATAATGAAAATCCTAGGAGAGCGATAGAAATTTTTTCAAATATTTTTACAATTATATTGCTAAATGATATCGCCTCGATCCACTAGAATACGTAAAGCCTTCGCTGACTTTTATGAAGAATTCGAAGATAACGCGCAGTAGTCTCTTTGATCCTTATCACCTCTGCCACGATACCAAAAGTAGGTGTAATTGTAATGCGGGACTCTGGCACCGAAGAAAAATTGTAAACTGGTACGATGAAGAAAAAGTAATAATAAAGCTTCTTCGAAACAAGATAATACGTGGTATCGTACGCATGTCTATACATATGTGTACAGGTGATAAATGACGCTGTATCAAATTAGACAGAACAGGAGTGACCTTCTCCTAGATCGATAACTAAATTTCACATAGGTTTGCTTTTCACGAGGTTTTACAATCGGCTAAAATAAGCTGCGTACACCAAGGAAAGGTTATTGTACGGATTTTAATCTTGTACGCACATCCCGTACAGACGAATTACTCCTCTCGGTCCACATCCGTCGAATACGTAGAGTTTTATCCATATATACGTCATCTTCATGGAATTCTATATATATATAACAAACTTTTATATATATGTTTTTGATCTGGGAATAAACGATATCGAATTATATTAGTTTATTCAAGGATGTCTAATCAAATTTATTTAGCTATATATATATATATATATATATATATGCATGTCTGTCATTGCTCCCGCGTAGACACATACAATAATGCGTGTACGTAGATTCCTGCCGTCACGTTTTTTATACATTCTCCTCTCTGGTACGTAGTCACTCGGTGACTTCACTGTAAAGAAGGCCAACCCCAATGGCGCCGACTAATAAAATATTCGGCTCACCTCCTTCATACAGGTCACTCCTATCTGTAATTTCGTTGTTAAACGTTACGCAAGTGTCTGGGCTGACCGGCGAGGTGGAGTTTATAGAAAATAACGTTGCAGCAGTGAGCGGTACCCGAAGGATGACTAATCTCAAAATTACCGCTCGGTGCCCGAGTGAAATCTAACGAATCAGGTCGCAAGGAACTGTTTGATAAATATCCTAATGAGATCCGTTCAGCTGTACCCGGAATCTTAAGGCTATTTATGTATACGATAATCCCGCGCTCGATTTTATTGAAGGAATCGTGTTATTCCTTTCTTGGTATCGTATGGCTTATCATATCAATGACGGATGCAGATACCTTCAGAGATATCAATAGAAATGGCCGTTTTGACACTTTGTATCTTGTTATTGTTCGTGTAGTCCGTTACTACCATTTGAATTGGCAAATAAATCCCTAGAAAGTGTCTAGGGATTTTTTTGATGGAATTCTTTCGACGCTCTGCCGTCGTTAAAGGTGACGCGACCGTTATGGGGGTAAACGACGCTATGATGGATGCAGTTGATCGAATCGTACTTGTCGAGAGATGCTAGTTGAAAATGGCTGCTCGTACATTTACTTTCTTTCTGATGCTTGGACTGGATTGCGTATTTCTTGTGTTGATGCTAACTTCCGTACTCGCTGGCTGCGAGTGCAGTAGACATTGTGGGAACAGTCCTTTCATGATTTGCACTTTGCTTTTATGGATAGGAGATTTGGTGGTCTGGTCTATTGAATTCCTACAGGGGACATGGTCTGGAAGAATAAAGTATAAGTTCATACCTTTGAAATGTGATCAGTTAGTTTTTTTTTGGATATTAGATATTTATGGATATTGGATATTAGATATTCAGGTCTATTGAATTCCTACGGGGGACATCGTCTGGTAGAATAAAGTAAAAGTTTTCATACCTTTGGAACGTTATCAGTCAGTTTTTTTGGATATTAGATATTTATGGATACTTTTCGTGGATATCGCCCGCTGGGGGAGGAGTAGTGACGGCTTGTATGTTTTTCTTGAGGCTTTACGACATATAGCCGCTTCGGAGTTCATTGGTTGTTTGACTTTGGTGACCTTCCTGAAATAATGATAATTTTTAGCTGCTTTATGCAGTCAGACTGGTTTTTTCACACATCCCACGTGAAATGTCACAATTCTCAACGACAAGACCAGTGCATAAGATTGGACAGATCAGTATAGCTTTGGGTGCAGCTAGTGGATTTTTATTATTTTTTTTTTTATTTTTTGGGATTCACTTTTTTTTTAATTATTAACATAAACTGATAATGGGATTTGGTTTTTTTTTTCAGGGGCCCAGTATGAGCCCAGCGCTGGGCGCCACGCTGCACCCCACGCAAGGACCTACAACTTTGATTATCCCCATTCCAATCGGCCTCAGAGGGTTGACAGATACAGGGGTGGTCCAGAGATTCAGCAAAGAATGACTCAAAGGGAGGATGTTCTCAAATTCGAGCAGGGCCGTATCAAGGCCCTGCAAGAAGAACGTCTTCACATCCAAAAGAAGACTTTTACCAAGTGGATAAATTCTTTCCTTCTGAAGGTTGGTTGGCATACAGGGAATACTGTGTACTAAACAGACCAATCAGAAATTATCTTTAATAACGTTCTATATCCATAAAAACAATAGTATAACTTGTTAATTTGTCTTTCAGGCTCGCATGGAAGTCGAAGATCTATTTACTGACTTGGCAGACGGAAAGAAATTGCTAAAGCTCCTGGAGATCATTTCGGGCGAAAGACTAGCCAAGCCCAACAATGGACGTATGCGGGTGCACAAGATAGAGAATGTGAACAAATCATTGGCGTTCCTTCATACAAAGGTAAGAAATAGACCCCGACTATCCACGGAGTCATATGTAAATTTCTAAGCATGCACTAATGAGATAATGAAATATCTCCTTGTATCCCTGACCTATAAAATAGGGGTATACCAATCGTAGCGCGCACACTGAAAAATGTCCAGGGTAAATTTTTCAACGTGTGACACCTTGGAATGTCCGTCTCCGACTACGCTGGGCTACGCGAAGCCGTCGAAGTGTAAACTCCTCTCGTGAATGGCCTCTATAGTCCGTGGCTTATGACATAATAGTTTTATGTACACCGTATATACATATAATATAGTTGGCGAGGGAGCCATGGCTGGCTTAAACCGGACGGTGTATAAACTTGACTCGACTGTACGGCCTGTAGCCAGAGCATTGACCAGCATGAAGGAACTAGCCCGTCGGTAATTCGATTTGCCGTTAAGAACAAAACAAATGGATGTTTCTCCTATTACCAAGTACTCGATCTGACTCTCGTTGTACTATCGCTCTTGGTATAACGTGTATCGATCGTCACTCTACGTGGGTGTCTTTTGCGCGAAACCATTACAATCGTTATTACCAATTTGATACCGTCAAAACGATTGCTGTCATTACTATGATTATCTAAAAGAAAAGTGATATACCCATTGACGCAGTGATCTATAAAACTTTCCTTTGATTCTTCTTTTTTTCACACGTATAAAGCAGAGAATCGACCGAGCAGGAGTGACCAGGAAAGGTTCAGTGGCGCGGAGCGAGAATTTAATTTGCCACTCCTGCTGTTCGGCTTCAGCAAGTCAAGGACTTCCTTTGACCGACGTAGTAAGACGATTTTATGCTTTTGCGAAAAAGCATTATGTGCCCTGACCAGGTCCGACCTCTTGTCTTAGATCTTATTTGCCTTTGGCAAACATCACTCTGTCTTCTGAATAACAAAAACGTATTTTTCTTTTCATCGGTAATAATCGGATTAGGTAGCATTGTCGTTCGCTTCTAGTATAATACAACATTCACACGGTACCAGTGGAGCATCCGTGTGATAGGTGCGTGTCTAAAATTAATAATGGTGGGACTGTACTCGAAAAATTAGAATCTCTCATTAAGAATTACTCTGTCGGAGCCAAGCAGACCGGCAGGTTGCTCTCAGGTAGACAGGTAGGTAGGAAGGCAGGTCGCACGTTTTCTTCCCTTCGCTCTGGAACCTTTCTCCAACCTGGTGGAAACGAACAGGCGTAACAGAACTCGTAACCAATGAGCCATGCACTTAGTAAATAATGCATGATGGACATTCACAGTATTAACATTACAGTTAGCCTTTAAAGACAGTTAAAAGGTGCTGAGTTTTTTTCTCCTAGCAAACCAACCGAACGGGACCCTGCACGTGGTACTGTTTACGGAGCAGCTTTTCATCGATTCCCGTATTTCCTTATTGGGATAACCAAGGGACATGTCATCCTCGAGGACTATGTCGTACCAGTGGCTAGCATTCGATAATTATCATCCTGCAAGACCACCCGACTACTCGGATGGAAAGTCCTTGGTCAATTCTGATTAGCACACGAGGTACCCATTTGACCTATGACAAAAAGTGAAACCTGGATAAGGTCTGTCGTCCTACCGCTCGGCACCTACGCCCAAAAGACCATAAATAACGTTCTTTTAATCATATGATTCCGTGTCTTAATGGATTCATCAGTTGACGACCCCGACCGCTTTCTCCTCCTTTTCAATAGGTCCTAAGGCCTTGACTATTACCAACCGTATCCGTATAACGAATTTATCATCCTTCTCTCAGTCGGCAATAATTTTTTGTCTTCTTCAGATAAAGTAATCAACTACTACACCGTGACTACTGTAAAGGCAAGATCAGTAGAATTCAAAAGTAATTTCTTACCCGGTCACGGATGTTGATACTTACAATTTTTATTATCAGAATATTCCTTCCTACCGAAGGTCCATGCTCGTCGTTATGGTCTGTCAAGATCTTACGGCTGTGGTCATCCCCAATAAAATTTCAACCCTGTACAATTAGGGAGGAATCCGCGCGTTCTTCTTGGAAAGGACGATGCCTTACGGTCAGGAGGGTTGAGATACTTTGGAGTCAAGGCTGGATGCCTTCTGGCATTCTGTTGCAGTTGGAGAGAGATGGATCCCATGTATGGTATACTATAGTACTAAAGGAACCGCTTATCCGAAAGATACTTATATGTAATCTTCTTTATCTTCCCTCTCTCTCTCTTGATCCTGTCGTTAATTTTTCGGTGCTCCGTAAATCGGGATGCTGCGTGAGCGCACTACGTGGGGCTACGAGGGAGATGAAAGCTTTAAGAAAGGAGGAAGGAGCCGGTAATCGGGGACAGGAGAAGAAGCGAGAGAAAAAGGTCAGCGACCGAGCAAAACTCGCCAGACCGTGAGTCCCAGAGAGATGTGAAATAAGAGGAGACTCGCCATCGCTTATTAATAATCGTTATGCCATGTCGATACTCTTCGATTCGATGGACGAATTACTTCAGTCTATTTTTTTATTTCTCCGTGTACACACATCGATCGTCCTGTCGACGATAAGAGAAGCCGCTCGATTCTGAGAGTTCTTTCTACCGTATACAATTTTTGTACGTTCAATTAACTGTGAGTACTTTGCGAATTTCTTTATTACACGACTATAGCGATATAGGCCGTCGTATAAATACAGACGTTTCGAAATTACATCTCCGCTTACGTTTCACTTTGCCGGTTCGCAAGTCATTATCGAATCCTCGAAACGTCCACCGGAACGATGGATTCACGTTTAACGGATGGATAAGTCGTTTGACCCGCACCGGCAACGGGACTCATTCTTTCGCATTGTGTAGTCCTTACGTGCCGATCACTGCTTATCTTACTCATTGGCATAGTTCGTGCCGAGTTCACAAGAAGCATACCGATTAGACGCTGCTAAGGGTATCCGATGTCATTAACTGTTACACACATGGATTTATAAGTTTGTTAACGATAAGGTAATTAGTTCTCTAACGTACAAGCGTATTCAAGTATCTGATTACCTATCACGCGTTATCAATAAAAGCCTCCCGCGTTAATTTCAATGGCAGTCTTCGTACGTGGCAATTGTCAGAATGTCTGAAGAAGCTGCGGTCGTGAGAGACAGCGCAAAGATTATCCTTCCTCGCGATCTTTCATTTACACAAGGCAGATACGCGTTCGCGCAGATCAGTACTTTCTAACGGGTATGGAATGCACGTTTAAGAAAATGTTATATGCTTATTTAATGCATTAGAAACTCAAAGCAGCAGACTCGCAATGTGCGTACGCAGCTCGTCGATCCATTCGTCGGCTTAGAAACTTTGTAAAATTCAAGGTCATCTCTCTTTGCGCCCTGCCAGTCAGCGAAATTCGCGATGTCCGAAGCGATTCGCTAAATCAAATCGCTACTTTGCGAATAAACAGGAACTGCATGTGCCTTACGTTAGCGAATGCCACGCTGGCCCGTTTTTCTTGGGTGCGCAAAGTGGAATTCCTTTAGGCCTTTGATTATGCCTCTGGCTTACGTAACTGGACACTCCTTGCGAGGCTCATTTTCTCTCTCTCTCTCTCTCTCTCTCCGCTTAACATACGTGCGCAGAGTTTGAGGACGCGCATTAGTTACATTGTACAGGTGGAAACGAAAGAAAAAACTACCCACGTACGAGGATATCTGCGCGAAGATCCCGTGCGGTCCCATATACCACCTGCACTTGTGCTGCTCACCTCATCGAGGGATTCCTTGAAAGATATTATGCACCTTTTGCTCACCTACGAGGAAATCGTCCGCAATATCATTTCGCAACGTTTTCAACTGCCACGGTGGCGTATGCCGTTGCGTCAAATGGATTTCACTTTTCCGCGAAGACGTTTCGTTAGAGTGTAAACTCGGAAATCGCTTTGTGTACGTCAATGGCGAAAGAGGAAACGGTCTATGAGAGCGAGCGTGGTGAACGGCGACGCGAGTCGTCGTTTCACGTAAACCGTATGTAATATGTAACTGGAGTAACAGACGGCGTAGAACGAACGAGAAATTATTTGATATTTCTGTATACATACTTTCTAGGTTAGTTTCTCAAACAGTGCTGGCTGCTGTTAACAATATTTGTATGAGGGTAAGGAAAATTGTTAATGGCTGGAGGAATTTGCTACGAGCTAGGCGGTTGTAACGTGTTGATAGCTAATCATTGCAAATATTTGCTATCGATGATCAATAGTTCCGCCACCATATGGTTGGCGAGTTTAGATGCCCGAGGCATTTATGCCCTTTTGCCTCTATCGGTCGCAACTGTACAAGGCGTGTCTATGCAGCTTGCTGCTGAGGTCCGTTTATGGCGCCCCCGTAAGCCTTAGAGGCTTAGTGGGATCTATGATTGTACGTAAAACGGTAACGTAGTCTCATGGGATGAGGATACGGCTTGAGTGGGATCTATTGGATTTGCTTGCGGTATCCCGTTCGTGGAGGAAGCGACAAGGTCATTGAAGAAATTCGTCACCCGCTCGGAATTCAATACGGGAGACCGGAAAGTACGAAGGATTCGTCGGGATGACTGTTTGCGTCACTTACGGCTACAAATAATTCTGATTATACGGACTCTTGCGTAATCTTTCTGCAATCTTAACTCGTTTTCAGGACGATCCGTGACTACCTAACCTCCAAGAGCGTTCTATTTAAGGAAATTAATTTTTCCTTTACGCTACAACTAATTGTCTTAGCCAGGCTAATAAATTCATGAGAATCACGATAATTTATCATTGTATCGTTACGATGCACACTCAGTACCTTTTGAGTCCTAGTTTCTTTATTAGCAGACAAGCCACCGCGTCCTCGTAACCGTTTTCTGTCAGGCTAACCTAAAAGTCCCTGGGTCCGGTACGCAGTTTACAATGGACTACACACTGTTCCCATCGATAGCGCAGCCGTGCATTTCTCGTTGGTATGCTCGTAAAATGAAACCATCTACCGAGAAATATAACGGAGTTTAACAGAACTGGCACACTGGACTCTGTGTATAAGTCTCTAGGTATCATGCATAGTATACATACCTATAGCTAGTCAACCTTGTAAGGTATGACCATTCCTGTTAGATCCCATAGTAAACGATAAATAAACCTAACGCAGATCTGTTGCGTCATACAGTGTCATACTTTAACGCAGCGAGAAGACCTACTTCGGTGTTATTTTAGTTAATAACGAGAACTCGATGTTGATCTCGCGCGATCTTTCGAACCTCCAGGCTGTATCTACGTATCAAAAGGAACTTGCATTTACCGAGGATGAGTCGCGATCCCCATGACCGAGAAGCCTACGGGCTTTTTTAAAATAACGGATAAGTGTCGTAAAGATATCAAGATGGATGTCGGTGGGCGCTTTCGAGTTCCTCCGCTAGGGTCTTTGGGTACCATGGAATCTATGTGGGAATCTGTCAGTTTCGCACGGCATACCGCGTGTCTTCGCAGTTGTCATTCGCATACCATCGATCTGCACTCTTTCCTCTTCCAAGAATGCGTGGCTTGTTGCAGACGATGCTGTCTTTTTTTTAAAAAATAGATATCTCACTGTCTTGGATTTACGCGCGTGGGAAATTTTCTTCGTCGAGCGTCAGGTAATTCTAGGTTATTTGTCATTTAATTTTAAGAAATTGTCAATAATTATTTCTTTGTCCACTAGTGTTTTCATTCTTGTAAAATCCATTACGTCCCGAACTGTACTCTTGGCAGGAATAGTTATTGTTATACAGCTGCAGTGACGTGTAACGTGGGATGACGAGAGATGTAAATCTTCCAGGACGTAACTGCTTCCCGTTTCTCCATGTAAAATTCACGTCCCGCTGCCGGCCTCTTATTACAATGACAATGTGAAACACAAGGCGCGATGATTTCATACCTATTCGAAATTCATTCGTCAGTGTCGCGTGGGCATGAATCTCCTCGGTCGTCTGCTCTGCGTGTCCACCTCGTCGTATCCGAGTGAAATAAAAAAAAAAGATATTTAATCGATCCATCCGATAGATTTTACGCGCCAGGCACGCAGCTATTTACATTAAAAGTTACTTAACGCCGCGAGCATGTATCGCTTAATCGTCGTTCTCTTGCTCTGCACGAGTTTTAACTGTACTCGGCTTAAGTCTACATAACTGTATACCTTCCTCGCCGTGCAGCCCAGTGTGGTTCATTCATTATTCATGCGCCGCTCAAACTCCGATCATAACGTGACTGTATGCAGTTTGGCGCAGTTGAAATTCGAAGGTCGACGCTAAGAAATAACGGGTCGTCTCTACTCCTTTACTTATTGTCAATTCTGAGTTGACAATGGAGATGTGCGATAGGAGAAATAATTATTCTTGTACTTTCTTTTCTCTCGATCGCCAGCCTGGTTATACGACCATCGAGAGAAAGAAGAAAATCTTGTTCATCAGATTTTAATACCGATATGGCTGTTTATCAAGATAACTTTTTTCTTTCCCAGTGACAAAATTATTCTTAATCTCTCTTTATTTTTTTTACGGCTCGAAGGTGTCACTCACTTTGCAAAGGCAATAATTTCCATTTCCCAGCGGCCTTGATGGACCCGTTTACTGATCTGACGACATTCCAACCATCGCGAATGTTGCACGACTCGCAACATAATTAACTCTAAGTTGCACCTCTCACAGCGAGATCCTTATGGGAATTTTGTAATAATAAACTGGGTTATTTAGTTACAGTATGGTCAAGCGATGTAAACCATATGAAAATAAAGGATTGAAAATGTTTTCTGTTTGTTTGAATAGGTACGACTGGAAAGCATAGGAGCCGAGGATATCGTCGATGGGAATCCTAGGCTGATCCTCGGTTTAATCTGGACGATTATTTTACGCTTCCAAATTCAAGAGATCGAGATCGACGTTGACGAGGAAAATGAGAGTAGTGAGAAGAAATCAGCCAAAGATGCTTTGCTCCTATGGTGCCAAAGGAAAACCAATGGCTATCCTGGTGTTAATATTCAGGACTTTACTGGTAAGATACTTTATGTTGAGGCTGGTGTATATATTCGTTGTGTTTCTTTATGTCCTTGTATCAGAGCCTCTGTTGCTGATGTTGCATCATGCCATATCATTTTCGAGATGAACATGAAACGAATGAGATTTGTGTTTATGTAAAAGGATCATGGAGAAGCGGTCTTGGCTTCAATGCACTCATCCATGCACACAGGCCCGACTTGGTCAATTGGGCGGAATTACAACAGAACAAACACATTGACAATCTCAATTATGCATTCGACGTGGCAAATGCGGAATTGGGAATTCCGCGATTATTGGATGCTGAGGATGTTGATACGGCTAGGCCCGACGAGAAGTCTATTATTACCTACGTCGCATCGTATTATCACACATTCGCCAGGATGAAGAACGAGATCAAGAGTGGAAAGAGAATTGCAAATGTATATTGAGAATTTATGATCGATAGTAATACATATATTAAGTGTAATGTTCGTTATATTAATTATTAATGATTTTCTTTAGATCGTTGGACAAATGATGGATGCCGACAAGATGAAAGTTCATTACGAGAAGCTAACCAGTGATTTACTTGAGTGGATAAAGCTGAAGATTAACGTGCTGGAGGACAGAAATTTCCCTAACTCCTTGGAAGGTATTCAGCGTGAATTATTGGCGTTCAAGCAATATCGCACAGTCGAGAAACCGCCAAAGTACAAGGAACGTTCGGAAATAGAGGCTCTGTACTTTCACATAAATACGCAATTGAAGTCGCTCAATCAACCAGCTTTTACTCCACAAGAAGGCCAACTTGTACACGATATAGAAAGAAATTGGGTCGAGCTCGAGCGTGCTGAGCATCGTCGAGAGGTCGCACTCAGAACGGAATTACTCCGGCAGGAAAGACTGGAGCAATTGAATTATAAGTTCGAGAGGAAGAGTGTTCTCAGAGAAGGTTACCTCAAGGAAATGATACAGGTACTGTCAGATCCAAGATACGGGAGCAACCTTGCCCAGGTCGATGCTACCGTGAAGAAGCACGAAGCGATCAGCGCCGATATTTTAGCTAGAGAAGAACGTTTCCATGATTTGACGAACATGTCCGACGAGCTTGTCAGAGAGAATTATCACGGATTGGAGCGAGTTCAGGCGAGGGAACAAGAGGTTTTACAGAGGTGGAAGGAATTGCTGGCTCTTCTCGATCACCACAAATTGAATCTAGCTGCTCTTTGCTCTCTTATGAGCTTGATGAGAGAGATCGACACTACTCTGGCTACTATTCAAGAGCTACAACTCAATTTCCAGAGTGTCGACGTCGGACCTCATTTACTGGGCGTCGAAGATCTCTTGCAGAAGCACAGCTTACAAGAACTGCAAGTTACAGCGCTCGGCGAGACTCAAAGGAGACTTGGTCGACAGGCTGCACAGCATTTGGCACAACCTACGAGTAAGGAGGTGCCATTACTTCAGCAGAAATTGGATCTCTTGAATAGTGCTTACGATGAGCTTGTCGAGAATAGCAAGGAACGTAAAGCTCGTTTGGAGGATGCTAGGAATTTCTTCCACTTTTTGCAAGATCATGAGGACGAGGAATCCTGGTTAGTAGAGAAACAGAGGATATGTAAGGCTGGTATTTCCGCAAAGGATCTGCGAGCCGTGATATCCTTACAGCAGAAACATAAAGTTCTGCAAGATGAGATGAAAGTTAGACGTCCAAAGTCTGAACAACTTTGCGACGCAGGAAGGAAACTTATTTCTGACCATCATCCATCATCCATTGAAATTCAAAATCGTATTGACTCCTTGCAAGAGCACTGGAAGGTTCTCGAGGAACTTGCTGCTCTCAGAAAGAAACAGCTGGAAGACGCTGCTGAGGCTTTTCAATTCTATACAGATGCAAACGAGGCTGATTCTTGGATGAATGAAAAAATGGCATTGGTTGCGTCCGAGGATTACGGTGTGGATGAACCGAGTGCGCAAGCTCTTCTTCAGAGGCACAAGGATCTGCAAGGAGAATTGAATGCCTACAAAGGCGATGTACAGTCATTGAATACGCAAGCTGAAAAATTAATAAAAGCTGGTATATCGACTCTTGAACTATCAGCAGATCCAGAACCAGTTGCTGAATTAGAACAAGAAGAGTGGGGTAAGAAGAGTCATTTTTATTTCTCAACTATTTATGCATATTGTCTATCATACTACAGGGTCACTTAAATATATGTATATTTTTGTTTTATTATTTCAGGCAAGGAAGTCCGACTAGTTCCTCAAGATGAATGGATCGACGAGGTCGTAGAACGTTTAGAACCTAAGACCGTATTCGAAGAGAGATTAGCTCCACAAGTGAAGAGTTTATATCCATTCAGCGGGGATGGAATGGAGATGGTTAAAGGCGAAATTATGCTCTTATTGCAAAAAACCAATGATGACTGGTGGCGCGTTAGCAAAGGAGACGGTACAGCTGGTTTCGTACCAGCGAATTATGTACGTGAGATCGAACCAAAAGTAGTTCAAGTCCAAGTGCGAAGACCAGAGAAAGTCAAGGTGACGCAGAGGGTGAAGAAGACTAAGATGGTGAAACAAGTAGTACCAGTCAGAAGAGTAAAGTCAATAAAGTCGGCTGTAAAACCGATTAAGCGCAAGCCTGCAAGTGACAGCGATAGTGTCGAGAAGCGACAGAAGAAAATAAATGATACTTACAACGAACTACAAGATTTGGCAGCGAAGCGACACGCACTGTTGGAGGACGCGATAAGACTTTATGGTTTCTATCGTGAGTGCGATGACTTTGAAAAATGGATCAAGGACAAGGAGAAGATGCTGAGGGCAGATGATTCTGGAGATAACGTTGAAACTGCCAAGAGGAAATATGAGAAATTCTTAACAGATCTTTCCGCATCTGGAAAACGCGTTGAGGCCATTGACGCGGCAGTTGAAGATTTCGTTACTCAGGGGCACAGTCAGCTAGACAAAGTAAAAGCCAGACAAAGGCATATTCATCAACTGTGGGATCACTTGAACTGGTTGAAGGCGCAGAAAGAAAAGAGTCTCGAAGGAGCATCGAGCGTTGAATTATTTAACAGAACATGTGATGAGGCTCACGATTGGATGCTAGAAAAAATGACTCAATTGGATACTGCGGAATTGGGACCAGACTTAAAAACCGTACAAGCTTTGCAGAGAAGACATCAGCACTTGGAACGAGAATTGGCTCCTGTTGAGGAGAAGGTACTTTGCCTTTTTTAAATTTCTTTAAGTACTTTATTTGTAACTCTGTACAATTTTAATAATTTCTTTCTCCAGGTTCGGAAGGTCAATTTACTTGCCAATAGCGTCAAGAGCTCGTATCCTAATGAATTGAGTAACGTGAATGCCCGACAAAATGAAATTAAAGAATTGTGGAACAAAGTACGAACTAAAGCTAAGGAGCGTAGGTCACGTTTGGAAGACGCTGTAGGGCAACAAATATTTATGAACAGTTCAAAGAGCTTGATCAATTGGGCTACCAATGTTCAAGACATTATGAATGCAGAGGAGCCAGTCAGAGATGTAGCCACTGCAGAACAATTGAGAAAACAACACACAGAACTTGGCGAAGAGATAAAAACACGTGAGGATGAGTACGTGCTGTTGATTTTTATTTTAAACTCCTTGAAAAACTCTGTAAACGTGAAATTATAAAGCGATATATTTTCACGTTAAATATTATGAATCCTTAGATTTCGAGAGGTTGAACAACTTGGTAATCAATTACTACACCGCAATCCAGCTTTGGTGGATGTTCGTGAACGTCTTGATAAATTGAACGGCCTGTATCATGCTGTAGTAACTGATTGGGCAGTCAAGGAACAGTGGCTACGACAATGTTTGGAATTGCAGCAATTTAATCGCGAAGCAGATCAAATAGAAGCGACAACCAGTTCTCATGAGGCATTCTTAGAATTTACTGATTTAGGTGAAACTCTAGATGACGTTGAAGCATTGCTCAAACGACATGAAAAGTTTGAGAATACTCTTCATGCTCAAGATGACAGATTGAAAGCCTTTAGTGACACGGCAGATAAGTTGATCGCTCAGAAACATTATGACAAGGATCAGTAAGTATCATGAGAATGTATTTACATGCATTTGGTATAAAGTTTGATAAATATGCTAAAAAATTGATTCTTTTTAGCATTAATGAGAGAAGAAATCAAGTATTGGCACGCCGAGCTGCTGTCAAGGATGCAGCTCAACGTAGACGTGCAGCTTTGAAAGCTTCGGAGCACTATCAACAATTTTCTGCTGAAGTTGATGATCTGCGTGATTGGTTAAGTGACAAAATGAAAACAGCATCCGATGAGAGTTATCGCGATTTGAATAATTTGGAACGTAAATTACAAAAGCATGAAGCGTTTGAGCGAGAACTGAGGGCTAATGAGGGACAATTAAGAGCTGTTAATAAAGCTGGAAAGGCATTGATATCCGAAGAGAATTATAGATCCGATGACGTCGGTAAAACATTGAAGGACTTGAATGATCAATGGGATAGATTAGTAGCATTGTCTTTAGAAAAGGGTCGCAGATTGAGACAGGCGGCTTCTCAACATGGTTACAATCGTACTATGGAGGACGCTAGATTAAAATTGGAAGAGATTAAAAATTCTTTGCAAAGTAAATTAGTCGGAACTGACCTGAGAAGCTGTAAGGAATTATTAAAGAAGCATCAGATATTGGAGAATGACATGACTCAATGGGAACAGAAAGTTGATGACATCGTAGCCATGGGACAGGAAATGGCACATGAGGGTCACTTCGATGCTGCTAATATTCTGAAGGCTAGCCAGGCTACTCAAAAGAAGTATGTGGACCTGTGGCAGGATTAACTAGTATCAGTTTTGAATATAATTATTTTTTTCTATCCCATAGATTCCGCAGTCTGAAGGAGCCAGCTAGAAAACGTCGGGAAGCTCTCGAGGAAAGTTTGAGGTTCCATAAATTTGGATTCGAACTAGATGCGGAGTTGCAGTGGATTAAAGATCATCTGCCACAAGCATCCTCGACGACCCTTGGACAAAATTTACACCAAGCACAATCCTTACACAAGAAGCATAAAAAACTCGAGGCGGAAATCGCAGGTCACCAGCCTATGATAGACAAGACCTTGGCATCAGGGCAAACACTCATCGATCAAGTGCATCCAGAGAAGAAAAAGGTAGAGAATATGACATAATCATACATATTTAATTTGAATACCGTTCATATGTGGATTTGATATACGTGTGTCATGAGTCACGAGTAAGTGTGAACGTTTTTGCACAGCCGGAGCACCTCCGAGATATATGGTTTTGGCGAGGTAAGATAAGGTTTGGTCACGCCCGCATGAATGTTATCACGTGAAATCTAAATAATGCTTTTAATTGATTTGAGCGAATTTATGACCACAAGACCGAGGCAGATCCGGGGATTAAAAATTCTTTTCCTATTGCTTGATATATGTTATAAATTTCAGTGTTTTTATGCATGCTTCAATTAATGAAGTTTCACAATAGAAATTTTCAGTGCAATTCATCATGAGTTCTTCAAAGGAGTGTTATTTGCTGTTATTAGTGTTTAGAGGGAATAAAGCTTAGTCTAATTTTTGTTAATCTTATTCATGCTCTCTTATAGATACAAGAACTCTGTGATATCCTGGAAGATGCTTGGAAAGATCTTCAAGGTAAAGCTGAAGAGCGTAGCCGTGCACTGGATCTTTCTCTGAAGGCGCAGGAGTTCTACTTTGAGGCTGGTGAAGTTGAGAGTTGGCTGAACGAGAAGAATGATATGCTAAGTTCTACTGATTACGGTAGAGATCGTGATGCTGCTACTAAATTACTTACAAAACATAAGGTGCATTTAATATTAAAGTTTTATCAAAGATTTGTGGATGTACTTGAAACCAAATTAAATTATACGTTTCGTTTTAGGCATTGGAGCTCGAATTAGATACCTACAATGGTATAGTGATGGAAATGGGTCATACTGCAACTACTATGGTCAATGCTAAACATCCTGACAGTAAAGCAATTGCTAGTAAGCAGCAATCAATTGCACAGCAAATGCGAGCGTTGCAAAGATTGGCCACAGCTAGACAGCAACGTCTCATGGAAAGCATGTACAGGCATGAGTATTTCCTGGAGAGCGCAGAATTGGAGCAATGGATCAAGGAACAAGAGCAGGCAGCTGCTTCGGAGGATTATGGACAAGATTATGAGCACTTGCTAGTGCTCCAAGCAAAATTCAATGATTTTAAGCACAGGATAGAAGCTGGTTCTGAAAGATTTAATCAGTGCGAGGATTTGGCCAGGAAATTAATAGCCAACGAAAGTCCTTATATTCAGGACATTGAAAAGCGACAGGAACAACTTGGGTAAGAGACTTTGATTTTAAAATGTTGAACTAAATATTCCTGAGGTATACGGTTCCTATAATTCATATTCGTTCTCTCATCTCTAAACAAGTATTATACTTCACTTGTATATTAGTTTATTGGTTTTTCTTTTGTATAAGTATATATTACTAATATAGGTGTCGATATATTCTAGTCCATTAACGTGGTATAGTAGTACGTATAGTCCATGTTTAATTTGCAAGCTCTACATAATGATATAATATATTTCATCGGTGATGGTCACTAACGTTTTTTCTTGCGCACAAATTTAATTTAGAAATGATGATGATGATCCGATAGCCGAGGTGAGCAAACGACACGCAGCTATACGGTAAGTTAGAAAGGTGTACTGTAGAATGTGTCTGTCCACTGGTCTCAAGCTACCCAAATTATTAACATGTTTATATTTTAAAGGTTTAATATATATTATCCATGATACTGATTTTCACGAATATTTCGTTTTACAAATGCATCATAGTTTTCGTAACTGTCATCCAGTTTATCGACCTTAGTATTTGTTATTGCTACTAATCTCATTGTTAGATATTTATTCAAATGATTTTTTGTTGCACATAAATGTTGAAAAATAAAAATTAGTAATAACATTAACGGTATCATGTTAAACATATATTAGGGAATCCTGGCAACATTTGCTCGGTCTTATTCAACATCGCGAGCAGCGATTGCAAGCAGCTGGCGAAATTCATCGGTTTCACCGGGATGTCGCTGAGGCCTTATCTCGAATCCAAGAGAAGGAAGCCGCCTTACCTGAGGATTTGGGTCGTGATTTGAATTCGGTTTTGGCACTGATAAGACGTCATGAAGGATTTGAGAATGACTTGGTCGCCCTGGAAGCGCAGCTGCAAGTTTTAGTAGAGGATGCAGCGACACTGCAGGTTCTCTACCCTGGTAATAATGCCACGCATATAGATCAGCAGCAACAAATTGTTGTAAGCAATTGGGAAGAGCTTAAGGAAAGATCAGCGCACAGGAGGGATCAATTGCAAGCCAGTTGCGATTTGCAGCGATTCTTAACTCAGGTATTTTCAAAATTATTGTTAGTATATTTTATTTACTCCTAGATCCTTATCCTTAAAATTTATTTCTCTGAAGGTTCGCGATCTGATGAATTGGGCAGCTGGTCTTCGCGCGACTATGTCTACGGAGGACAAAGTTCGTGATGCTGCCAGTGCACAGACCTTGAAGGCAGAACACGAGGCTTTAAAGGGTGAAATTGAAGCACGAGAAGAAAGTTTTAGCGCTGTGCTTGATCTCGGTGAAGCTATGGTGCAAACAGGCCATTATGCTGCTGTGGTAAGTTTAACAGAGATTATTAAAACAGCTAACTAATTATTGACACCGTAAGATACTACGTAACGTGGGGTACATGGTGCTACTTAAAAATTTGTTCTGGTAGGAAGTGGAAGAGAAGTGTAATCAATTGCTCGATGAAAGACAAAAATTACATACTGCTTGGCAGCAGAAGAAAGTGCACTTAGATCAATTAATCGACCTGCACTTCTTCTTACGTGATGCAAAACAGCTGGACAACTTGTCCGCTACGCAAGAAGCCGCCCTGAGTGGCGACAACTTTGGCGTATCCGTCGAGGAAGTTGATGCTCAGGTGAAGAAACACAATGAATTTGAGAAATTGCTTGTGACCCAAGAGGAGAAACTATCAGCGTTGCAAGAACATGGCGACAAATTGTTAGCACAGAATCACTTTGACTCCCCGACGATTGCAAGGCGACTCAATGAAGTCATGCAGAAACGAACTCGAGTCCGTAATCTGTGTGACGCTAGAAGAAGAAGATTAGAAGCTAGCTTACTTCATGCACAATTTGTAAGAGATGTGGGAGAAGCCGAATCATGGATTGGGGAGAAGCAAAAGAAGTTGGAGGCTGAGGCATCCAAAGGAGAAGTATCTAGTTTGGAAGATAAAATTAAGAAACTTCAGAAGCATCAAGCGTTTCAGGCTGAATTGGCAGCTAATCAAAGTAGAATCGAAGAAATTAAAGGTATCTTCAATTTGTTGTATAACCCAAAGACAATTGTACCACTTGTACTAAAAAAAAATGTACCTTCTCAGGAAAAGGCGAGACTCTTCTGGCACAAAAACATCCGGCTAGTTCAGAAATTAGACAACAGCTACAACACTTGCGCGGTTCATGGCAAAAGCTTTTACTGGAATCTGGTAATCGTGGTCGAGGTCTGGAAGAAGCACAAGACATTCTCGAGTTCAACAATCAAGTTGAGAAGATTGAAGCTTGGATCAGAGACAAGGAGATGATGGTCCAGGCTGGTGACATTGGGAAAGATTATGAACATTGTTTGAGTTTGCAAAGAAAGCTGGATGATGTTGACAGTGACATGCGAGTGGATGATGCTCGAATTAAAACGATCAATGCTCTGGCCGATAAACTCATTAAGCAGGTACATATTTTGATGGCTTTAGAGCGTAGAGCTTTTAATTACTTTGGTAATACTTCAATTTCTTTTTTCCTGACTTTTAAAATAGGGCGAGGACAATGAAGCAAAGGCAATTCAACAACGTCGCGACAACTTCAACAACAAGTGGAGGGGACTTCAAGGAGCTTTGAGCGCTTACAGGGAAAAGTTAGCTGGAGCTTTGGAAATTCATTTATTCAACAGGGACATTGACGATACAAGTCAAAGAGTTGCAGAAAAAGCACTAGCCATGAATACCACGGACGTTGGTAAGGATTTAACTGCGGTTGAACAATTACAACGGAAGCAAGAAGCCATGGAAAGAGACATGACAGCCATCGAAGGAAAATTAAAGGTATACAAAGAATAGGGCCAATCCCAAGCTCTCGATGATTGAGCAATAGTGCTCTGTGGTGTGGGTAGTCTTAACTAGATCTAAACTTAGCTATTTTTAGTTGTACAGTTTCAGTTCAGGTTCCGCTTCACGGATTAAAGGTCGCAATGGTTGAAGGAAAAGATGTATTCTAAATCTTTTTTATTGTATTTATAATGGTAATTTTTTCCCCGCGAGTACTAAAAATATCTTTCTGTTTTTAGGAACATAATGCAGAAGCACGAGAACTGTCTCACAAGTATCCAGAGAATGCATCACAAATCAATGGACTGTTGTCTGAACTACAATCGAATTGGGATGATTTGCAACATTTGACTCAGAATCGTCGTCAAGCTCTGAATCAAGCATACACTTTACACAAATTCCGTGCAGAGTTACACGAATTAGATATCTGGGTAGCAGACGCCATAAAACGTATGGATGAGTCCGAGCCTCCTACAACGATATCAGAAGCGGAAGCTTTGTTGGAATTACATCAAGAAAGAAAGGCAGAAATAGATGGTAGGCAAGAGACATTCAAAGCATTGAAAGAGCATGGTCAAAAACTTATTCCAATCGCTGGGGATGTCAAGGAGAGTCTTGATTATTTGGAAGAACTCAGACAAGGTTTGATCGATGCTTGGGATGATCGTAGACAGAGGCTCACTCAGGCACATCAATTGCAATTGTTCAAGGAACAGGCTGATCAGGCCGATAGCTGGCTGGCAACGAAGGAAGCATTCCTGAATAATGATGACCTTGGGGAATCGTTATCTGGTGTAGAAACGCTAGTTCGTAAGCACGAGGAATTCGAGAAGATGCTGGGATCGCAATTGGGTCGCGTGGAAGAGCTGGAGCGATTCGCTACAGAAATTTTGTCTGATGAACATTCCGATGCCAATGTAATTAAACAGAGACTCCAGTCTGTGTGTGCCAGGCGGGATAGACTTAGAAATAGTGCAGCTGCTAGGAGAAAGAAACTCTTTGAAAGTCATCAACTTCAACAATTCCTCAGAAACATGTATGAGGTGGAGGGATGGTTGCATCAGAAACAACAGGTCGCCAGTGATGAGAATTACAGAGACTCGACAAATTTACAGAGTAAAATTCAAAAGCACGCAGCTTTCGAGAGCGAATTAATTGCCAATCGTGGAAGAGTGGGTGCTGTTGTTGGAGAAGGAGAAGCTCTCATAGAAGAGAATCATTATGCTTTAAAAGAAATTCAAGAGCGTTTAGATGAATTGGAAGCTGAGTGGAGACTGTTGCAAGAGACAAGTGAGCTTAAGAAGAATAGACTTAATGATGCGTACCAGGCTCTCTTATTTGGACGAACATTGGACGAGTTTGAAGCGTGGATGGATGAAGTTGAGACCCAACTTCAATCTGAAGATCATGGAAAAGATCTTTCTAGCGTTGCTAATTTATTGAAGAGACATACCAACCTGGAGAATGACGTTCTGGGACATAACGAGGCTTGCGAATCTATCAAGGAAACAGCAGCCAGCTTCCAAAAATCGAAGCATTTCATGTCAGACGAGATTCAAGAGAGAGCCTTGATCACAATTAATAGATTCTATAGTCTACAAGAACCTATCCAAATTCGAAGGGATAACTTAGAAGATGCTAAACTGTTACATCAGTTCACAAGAGACGTGGAAGATGAACTACACTGGCTTTCTGAAAAGGAACCTTTGGCAGCTAGTACCGACTTAGGCAGTTCATTGACAACTGTCAAGAGACTTCAGAAGAAACATCATGCTCTGGAAGCTGAATTAATATCTCGAGAACCCGTTGTAGCTTCTTTGGCTAGCCGAGCTACAGCGATGATTCGAAGTGGACATTTTGCATCGGAAAAGATTGAAACATTGTCACAGGAATTGCAAGCAAAATTGGCTCACTTGAGGGACGTCGCCAGCGTTAGGAAGCTGCGATTATTGGACGCCGTTGAATCCCAGATGGTACATATAATCGGAATTACCTTAAAATGTTTTATTTTAAAAATCTAATTGTTATACTAATATTTATTTACAGTTCTATGCTGAAGCTGCCGAAGCTGAGCAATGGATTAAAGAAAAGCAGCCATTACTTACTTCAACTGATTATGGCAAGGATGAAGATTCTGTGCAGTCACTGTTAAAGAAATTAGAAGGTGTTGAGCGGGATTTGTCAGGCTTTGAAATTACAATTAACAATTTGAAAAAACTCTCATCGGGTCTGGTTGATAGACATCATTTTGATAGCAGGAACATTGCCCAGAAGCAAACAGATATTCAGAATAAATTCCAAGAGCTGCGCAGACTCAAGGAACTCAGGTTGAAGAGATTATTAGAAAGTGAGAAGTTCTACAAGTTCATTCGTGAAGCTGATGAAGTTATCGAATGGATCTGTGATCAAACAACGGTAAAGACCTATTCAAAGAGGTCGTCTTTCAAGTAGCATTTTAAAAGTATCAGTTATATTAAATACTCTTCTTAATTATTCAGGTGGCTGCTTCAGAAGATTATGGCCGTGACGTGGAACACGTAGAACTGCTCATACAGATATTTGATAATTTCTTGGCTGGTTTGACAACCAGCGAAAGTCGTGTATCTGCAGTAATGGATGCTGGAAGGAAATTGCTCGATGAGGATAATCCGGAAGCAGGAAAAATTCATGCTAAACTTGACGAAACCAAACAGCAATGGGAAGATCTTAAAGAATTAGCACACGCCAGACAGGAAGCACTGGCTGGAGCCAAACAGGTTCATATGTTTGATAGAACAGCTGATGAAACCATATCCTGGATTCAGGAGAAAGAGGCTAGTCTAAGTTCTGATGGGTATGGCCAAGACTTGGAAACCATACAAGCACTGGTTAGGAAGCATCAAGGATTTGAGACAGACTTGGCCGCAGTAAAAGAGCAGGTAATTAATCTTAAAAATACAATTATATAATAATATTAAGGTGTGGATCAATTTTCATTCTGTTAAATACATTTTCACCAGGTCGAATCTGTAATGGAAGAGGCTTCTAGATTAGCGGAATTGTTCCCGGATGCTCGTGAGCATATTGCTGTAAAACATGAGGAAGCTGACGAGGCATGGAACGAATTGCTCGAAAAGGCAGCTCAGCGACGAAGCAAGCTTGCTCAAGCGGAACAATTGCAAGCTTATTTCGATGAGTATAGAGATTTGATGGCTTGGATAAACGAGATGATAGCCAAGGTAACGGCACCGGAATTGGCCCGAGATGTATCCGGAGCGGAAGCTCTTATCTCGAGGCACAACGAATACAAGGCTGAGATCGATACCCGCAGAGACACCTTTGCGAAATTCTACAAAACTGGAAAGGGATTGATACAGCAGGGACATTTCTTAGCAAGAGAAATCGAGGACAAGATTTCAGTTCTGGAGCAGAGGAAGCAATTTTTAAATGATACCTGGGAACAAAGGAAACTCATCTACGAACAAAATTTGGATACGCAAATGTTCAAGCGCGAGGCTGAGATGCTGGAGAACTGGATAATCAGCAGGGAACCTATGTTGCATGATGGAAAACTAGGAGAAAGTATTCCTCAGGTCGAAGATTTGATAAGGAAGCACGAGGACTTCGAAAAGACAATTGAAGCTCAGGAAGAGAAATTCAGTGCGCTCAAACGTATCACAATGGTAATAGCTTGATTATTATTCTTTATATCAAATTTAGTTCTTCCTTCAAAAATATACGTTCAACTGTTTTTTTCTCTTAACAGCTTGAGAGAGCTTTCCAAAAGCAGCAGGAAACTGAAATGGCTGCTCGTCAAGCTGAGAAAGAACGTGTTGAAAAGGCAAGAATCGAAGAGCGTAAACGAAAGGAAGTGCAGAGGATTACTGAAGAGCGAAAACGTGAAGAGGAACGAAGGAGACTGCTAGACAGTCCACATCGTGTAGCCCATGAAGAAGTTAATGGAACATCCGAAGAACACGAATCTATCAACAGGTGCGTTACTCAACATGTTGTCATTGTCATTTTATCCATACATACGATCAGAACTAATTCATTAAATCAGCCATTTGCATGAAGACTAACACATTTGGATTTGCACTTTTCATTGCATGTTCAGTAGAAATGATGGAGAATTTAAAGATGCTCAGTCAGATCCTGAGAATGATGAACAGAAACCTGGTAGACCAAGTTTCTATAGAGACAGGTAATTATCGTGTGACTAGACAAGCTCTAAGTTTTTGTCGACAAAACTGCTTGCATATTATTTAATCCTAAATGTTAAAAAAAATAGTTTTACGTTTCTTATGTGTATTCTAATTATTTATATGAACATCTCTTATTTCAGGCTACCTCCACTCAAGAGTGGTACTGTCGCATCTCCACCGGAAGCAGCATCTGTTCAGAAATCACACAGTATATCTCATATGTTCGGTGATAGACTCAGGCGCAGTACGTAATTCTCTTATAAACGATCTATTATATAATTGAACATGATATCTGATCAAATGTATTCTTGTCTCCAGCCCCGCCAGACATCAAACGCGCAGAGAGTATGAAGGTGGATATGAAGAAACCAAAAAGAACACCAAGCTTCACTACGAGAAGGCGAACACAGAGTTTCAGAAAGCACCAGAGGATGGAAAATTTGGAAACATTGCCTCCGGTGGAAATACAAGGTCTCCTTGAGAGGAAGCATGAGCTGCAGAGTGCTGGCAAAAAAGCAGCAGTTCGCTCTTGGAAGCAATATTATACAGGTACCTATTTAACAGTAAACCTAATTTTTTACTTTAAGAAATTATTAAAATTAATTAACATGTAATTTCTGTTTCATATATTTTCAGTATTGTGTGGCCAACTTTTGTGCTTCTTCAAAGACATGGATGATTTCTCTGCCAGTAAAGCAGCTACTGCTCCCATAACGATTTTCCATGCAACTTGTGAGAAGGCTGACGATTATACAAAGAGAAAGAATGTATTTAGATTGAAGTGTACCGATGGTTCAGAATTTTTGTTCCTGGCACCGAATCGCCAAGAAATGGAAGATTGGGTTAACAAGATTTCTTTCCATGCCAAGTTACCGCCAAGCCTGCAGCTTTTGAGCTACGACGAGTCGCAAAAGGTTCCATATTTTTATACAACGCACCATAATTTAGTGTATTTCATTAATTAATTAATAATTGATCAATGTCTTTTTACGTCAGGAGGGCTTAGAGAGGCTACAAAATGTAACACCGGATAATGCGGATGACAATATCTCAACAGGAAGTAGTCACGCCTCAACGCCAGAGTTGGAGCGTAAAAATTCCGTAATCAAGCGTGACATCTCCGATCAACATACACCGAGCCATGTTCAGAAAGAATTCCTGCAAATGCATAGACAGAGCCAACAACGACGTGATCCACGAACTTCAAGTTTCCTGGCTTCTCAAAGATCTTCGGAATCGCCACAAACTCAAACGGAATTCTTACAAATGCACAGACAGCAAAAGCTATTAGCACAACAACAGCAGTTAATTCAACACGAGCAACTTGCGGGTCAAAGGGAACAATATCAGCCACATTCTACGGATAAACCACCGATTCCTCCTAGAGGTGCGCCACCACCTGTACCAGTGAGAACATCCAATTCAGAGAATGTTTCGCTGCTTGGGCGCAATTGTAATAGAAAAGTTTATGAGCGTTAAAAGAATTATCCAACTAGTGTCATAGCGCATATTTGAATTTGACGATGTTTTTCCCAGATGCTGAGCATCCTCAACAGCAAGGGCGACCACAATCGTACCAAGATAGAAGTACCACTTTGAACCATAATGGATCAGGTCAACATGATTCTAGTGAACCATGGCGTAGACAGAGTAGTATGGATCTGAACTCGCCACATCAAGGTATGTAGAAAATAATTTCTAACGTTAAGAATGTTCTGTTTCAAAGAGTAGAATGAAGAATCATCAACAGATGAACTTGAAAATTAATCATTTTATAGAAGTAGCACCACCCCTGCCATCGAGTGCCCCTCCTCCGACAAGAACGTCTCAGTGGAACAGCCCCAATGATTCTGGTCAGTTAGTGCAAAGAGAAAAGCTTAAAAAGAGTTGCATAAGTTTGCCTGCCGTTTTTTGTCCATGGATTTTCGAAGTGCATGCAATTTTTTTGAAATTCCTAGGTGCCGTGTATGTGACGACAGTGTTCGTTGTCGAGTTTTGCTTGCACAAGACGTTTTTTTGTAATAATCCACCTGTATATACTCACGTATATAAATTTCACTTTAAAGAGTACGTAAAATGTCTTACGAGAGTACTCTTGCAGACTGTGGCATGATTCCTTATACGCAGCCCAGCATCATCCTCACTATACATTTGTACATAGATACCACAGACCTGTAAATACAGCATCTTCAAGCCAAGGGGCGGTTCACGCATGCAAATAAAAATACAGAGTGTTCAATATGTAATAAACTATTTCCCTTTTTATGTTACAGCATATGGAAATGTTCCTGTCAATATTAGACAGGTAAGAATACTTGAATGTTCACTACGAGTAGTTTTATATGTCTCTAGGTTTTTCTATTGCTGATAAATTGCATTTTATTGGTTTACCAGAGTGGTCAGCAACAAATGAACACATTCACTGGACGCCCAACGTCCTTACCACCTTACGTGGCTCCTCCACCAGCTGTGGCACAAGGAGGTCAGGGTATATCAACTGTCGATAGTAGCAGGAGACCCTCGGAAAGTGGATCAGAAAGTGAACAGAGTACAGGAAGCACACGCAAAGAACGTGACAGCAAGCGAAGTTCTGTACTGAGCAACTTGTTTGGCAGAAGAAAGAAACCTTCTCAATCGTAGCATTTTATGAAACCAGCTTTGACACGTATTCGTATAGAAATTACTTAAGCCTTGCGAAGAAAGAAATACTACGAAAGGTGGCGCATAATTTTTGATTTGAGGTAGATGATCTACCAATGTTGTGGCACGTCCTAAACAGAATTTACAGGGTTTCACAGAAATTGCATTACAATTACAAGTGGAAAGTGGCATCGTCTCTGTTGTTTTTCCTTACAGCAATAATTAAGTACAGAATAAGGATAAAATGAATTTGTTTGTAACTATTTAAATATTCTATGAGATATTGCATTATGCTTTATTAACGTTAAGTTACTATGGAAATAGCTGCCCGTAATGTAGACATTATCTTTACGTAAGAATGGTCACTACCACGGTTTGAAATGTACCTGACCTTGAGGGTGAAAGGAAAATGTGTCAACTGAAAATGTTAAACGCTAAAATCATGTACGATTACAGTCAGTTTATATTATAGATATAATATATGTCATAAATGTTAAATATATACTGGAAAGACCGGCATGTATTTGGGACCAATGATCGTACGATGTATTAAACGTAGACATATCATATTTTTGAAGAACTTTGTACTTTGGAGTTTACAAAATGTTTTTATTATTGAAGCAATATTGTAACTTGTAAAGTATCTTTAATGTTATATAAAAAGCATTAACTATATATTATATATGTGCATCCAGTGCTATTATATATGTAGGTATGTAGAAACAAGATCAAAATGTAATAAATTCCACAAATACATATATTAAATTCAGATGACTACGAAGAGGTCAAATTCCTTACCTGGACGCGTTAGACATAAAATATAACTTTTTTGCCCAATTCCTCAAATGGAATATAAGTATTAAAATTGAAATATTATTAAATTAAGTGTTTGGAACATTAAAATGATTAACTAAATCAATGAATTAAAATATTAACACTTTGAAATCGAAAATTCTGGCCAAGCATATTTATAAGTACTGGAAGTTGCCCAAAATTGTATGCGCGCATATTCGACGCACAGGTCTCTGCGAGAGGGAGTAGGCGGATGGTGGGGGGAACACTCGAGCCAGTGCCCGGACTCGGAGCGCTCATTCTTCCACGAGCCGGTCCCCTATACTGGTCTCTTGGAATCACCCCTTTTATCCCTTTTCAACCTTCTTCTCTTTCTATACTTATTTCTTCTTTACTTTCTTATTTATCTCTTTCCTTATTTAATCTCTGTCTTTATACCTCTATTTCTTACCTTTCTACTTCTTCTCTTCTTTATTTCTATCTTTCCTTTCTGCTTTCTCGTTTCACTCTGTTCCCTCTCACTTTCTATTGTGCTTGTCTTACACTTCCTATTCCTTTGGTCGGGTCGAGCATATTTATTCGAGTAGTCATAGAAGGGTAGTCACCCTGTTAGTCGAGCCACAACTTGGGCCCGAACCACTGAGCAAGCTCAGTGGATGAGGCGGAAGGGCAACCCCCGACACCATGGTCTATACGTATAGCTGCACTAACAGGATGACTATCCTTCTATGACTACTCGAATAAATATGCTCGACCCGACCAAAGGAATAGGAAGTGTAAGACAAGCACAATAGAAAGTGAGAGGGAACAGAGTGAAACGAGAAAGCAGAAAGGAAAGATAGAAATAAAGAAGAGAAGAAGTAGAAAGGTAAGAAATAGAGGTATAAAGACAGAGATTAAATAAGGAAAGAGATAAATAAGAAAGTAAAGAAGAAATAAGTATAGAAAGAGAAGAAGGTTGAAAAGGGATAAAAGGGGTGATTCCAAGAGACCAGTATAGGGGACCGGCTCGTGGAAGAATGAGCGCTCCGAGTCCGGGCACTGGCTCGAGTGTTCCCCCCACCATCCGCCTACTCCCTCTCGCAGAGACCTGCGCGTCGAATATGCGCGCATACAATTTTGGGCAACTTCCAGTACTTATAAATATGCTTGGCCAGAATTTCCGATTTCAAAGTGTAAATATTTTACTTTATTGATTTAATTAATTATTTTAATGTTCCAAACACTTAATTTATTAATATGTCAATTTGAACGTAATTTGTTTTCGATATTCTACAATTTCAATTCAATTTTTATCTACTCCGTATATTCTGCGAGATTTTGATTTAGCCTTAATTTTATGTTTTGAATAAATTTTGAAAGTAAATCAAGATCCAATAATATTCATTAGAAACTAAGGTGCACACGGGTGTCAAGTTGGCACCACACTTTCTTAAAAATATCTCAAAAATGTTTCAACAATAGGCTTTTTCGATAGTTCTATAGTTCCCGGTCTCGTTCTAAGGGTTGCTTTGGGAACCAGTGGTGAGTTGTGGAGAATCTCTGCTCGCCAAGCTACGCGTTCGTGTTCACGTTTAGCTCGGTTACGACGGGATATGCTTTATCGACGGAGGCGATAATCACAAAATCCTATTTCCAGACTCGCCGCTACGATTTAGCGCCATAAATTTGGTATCGCCTGGTATCGCCTAAAATCATAGCGTTGGGTATCTCACTATTTATTTCTGATTGGACGCTGATAATTAATATTGTATAATTATTTATTATTTTGGTTTCATTGATTAATAGTTAATTGAATAATAACGTTATAATTTTTACATAAATTCTACTTAATGGTAATTTAATAATTCTGAAAATGTCTGACGGTAAGGATTTTTGTTTCTTATATTTAATATGAAATACTGAATTAACGTGATAAGTTTTATAATTTCATTGAATGTAATTGTCAGAATACATTTCTAATGATTATAATGCAGTATAATATAATAGTGTGTAGAAAATCGTAACCTTAAGTAATCAGTGAATACTGCCTTGTGAAAGTAACGTTATTTTCAAACATAGTTCTAATACGTTTTAAATAAATATTTCAGAAGAAGTTATACGTCGCAGATTGCTTATTGATGGTGATGGTACTGGAGATGATCGAAGAATAAATGTACTATTGAAATCATTCATCAAATGGGTCAATAGTCCAAAAATAGATAACGTGTTGCATGAAAAAATGTTATCACAACTTGCACAGTGTGAATTTGCACAAAAGAAATCCAGATTAGTTTCCAATATGAGTGAGGAAGAATTAAAGAACTATGAGAAGATGTCGAAAGAAATTGAGATTGAAATTGAGGATGCTAAGAAAGATATAGAACAAACTAAAGTGGAATTACAAGAGGCAAAACAAGTTCGTAAGAATAGAATAGAATACGATGTACTAGCAAAAGTTATCAACGAGCAGCCTGATAGACAGGAAACTGATCTGAAACTAGCAACACTACGCAAAGAACTTGGTACATTAAAGGTGTGTCATAATAAAGGTATCGTCTACTCAGATATTATAAAAAAAATCTATTTACAGGAAAAATCAGAACAACTGGAACATAAGCTAGAAATGAGGAGAAAACAATTCCATGTATTAATATCATCAATTCACTCGTTACAAGGAATGTTAGACGAATCGGACGAAGAAATAATGGATGTGAGCCTTGAGAATTATGAAGATGTTGATGTATCAATGTCTCCTAAAGCTGTTACATGAATGAAAGTATTGTTTACTGCTGCTATGAAAACTGGTTTTTATAATGCTTATTTAAATGCAATGTACAACTTTGATAATAAATTATATTAAAAATCATCTTCCAAATTTCAGTTTTAATTTACTAGTCTTCGGAACATGTCGTATAGTCAATGACAGCCTTGTTTCTCTTTCAATGGCTTGTCCCTCCTTGTAATCATTTGAACAGAGGTCTATATTTTTTATACTACATTTTGTTATAATGTCAGACTTTCTTTCAGCAATAGAATGCAAATAGTTACTGTATAATTCATTTTGTAATATTAACAGACTTCTGGGTTCAAGAAAAAAGCTAAATTCTAATTCTGCTTCCTTTTCCTGAAAAAAAAAAGAAACATATACTCCTACACCAAACATTATTTGGCTTTACTTACAACATTGTCAGTGTTAATACGTTTATAAAATTCCAACACTGTATGCGATCCACAACTAATTGTAGTTACAGTAGGATGAAAAAGTGGACCATCCGAATGTGCCTAAAAATTAAAACATTTCTTTTAACAGTAATTATACAATCTACAAAGTTAATTTGTAATAATACAATTAAAATTACCATTATCCCTTGATTAGGTAAATATTCATTGATTAATACATGATTAGGTAATGTATTTACATCAAATACTCCAAGATTGGATATTTTGTCAACGTACTTCTGAAGCCACTGTAAAAATAATACGATGTCACTCCCTCTTTATTAAAGAAAATCCTATAACATCTTACATCTGGTATTTTCTCTGCAATCATACCCTTTGGATGTGGTATACCACCCCAATTTTGAAGTCTACGATGACTCAATTGTGTCCACTTAGGCAAAGGTGCTGCATTGACCTTCTTAATTATTTCCTTCTCTTCATCCTCACTAATAAAATTAGGTATATAATATGCGGATGGTGGAACCTATAGGACAAATACTGTTATTATCACTTACGCCTTTTTTCTTCAACGCAGTTCAATGCATAAACTCCATTTATCTTCAAAATACAAGTGTCTGATTGAGTAATAACACAGTTAAACGAAGTTTATGCATTGAACTGCGTTGATGAAAACTGGAGTTATACATTAATACTGGTTAACCTTAAATCTGAAAGAATTTTCACTGAAATACAAAATTTACCTGTCTAATAGCATTTTTGGAGTAATTACTCCTCTGTTCATTTTCATCCCCCATTCTTCTTTCTAAATTCTATACGCAATATCTGTATCTAAATCCTAAATAATATCTGTTACCAAATAAAAACTCGATGGACATCCAGCCATAAGAAAATTGGTGCACGTCCACTTCATTACCACCATCCTATCATGAACGCATACATGTGCTTTTCTGTTTTGTAGCAACGGTTGTTACAGTAGAATGCAAATATCTTTTAGGTAGTCAATTCAATACTGTACAATGCAACTATTCCACAAAATATAGTATAAATATTTTCTCAAGAACCGGTATAATTTAATCCATACAAAAATATCAAGTGTATAATGGATTTATAATGCAATCAATATTACTGGCAAGATTTACTTGTAGACATAATATTAGGTATATTGATCGACGTCGACCTGCTATTACTACTAGAAGATCAATTTTCGTACAAAACTTGACAACGTTCACGTGTATCACTTAGAATTACGTGTCGTGTCGTGAAATTATTATAAAATTCATTTTGAATGTATGATGTCGGAGCCGTCAGAAGATATCGAGGATGAAGAGAAAAAGAAGTAAGATCAGAGTTTATTACAGTGATATATATTGGATTTAATATAATTACCAAATTCTAATATGTTTATTAAAGGCAAAACAAATCGTCATTTGGCGAGTTTCTCTCGTCGGTTCAGGCGAACGATTGGCTCATAAAGTTAATTCATCAGGTTAGTTTAATTAATTATAGAATCCATAGAAAGTAATTGCCTTAGGAATATGTATCATCGAAACAGAAAGCAACATTCGATTTTGTCTAATACAATTTTCAAAGTAACGTTATAATGATTATTCGTTTATACAGTTTCTACTCTGCAATGAATTTGAGATTACTGCTGACAATTTCGTACGCGAGGCAACGAAATTGGGTTTTAATATTTTCGGAGAACATTTCTTCTTCAAGGATGCGATTCCCAAAGAGTCGTGCAAACGAATTTTGGCGGAATTTCACAGGGGGGATTGGAGAGATTTCTTTGAGGTAAGTGGATTGCTCTGAATTTACAATTTAAATTAAATCATGTCAATTATTACTGCTTTACTAATGGCGCTTTGATAATTATACATTTAGTCTTGGAATAACTTAATACCCGAGAACGTCAGGCAGACTAAGGAGTATAAAATATTGACTTTTAAGTTACACGTTCATTTTGCAATATTACCTATACGAATCGTACATTTTCGCGAGGATCCAAGACAGAGTGAGTGATGCAAAATTTAATATAGAGTTTTAAATATGTCAAAGTTTCAAAAATATTTATTCTTATATATGTATATTCATTTCTAGAGCTTAATCAATTTTTGGATACAAAACTGTTAAAAGTCTTAGAATACGAAGCTGACAATTATAAGCGCGGTAATGAGGTGGGTTTAGTTCTGATACTTTAAGCTTTAATAATTTGCTAAACATTAAGAAATACAATATGTGCGCGCCTGTTTGTAGGCAATCCACCGTACATTTCACATTTACTTTACCGTAGTTTCTCAGATTAGCTATGCAATGACGTATCACTTTTAAAATTGAACAGGATGGCTGTATTAATCTGAAGAAATATATGATGGACAGTATGGGAGAATTGAGACAATATTTGGAAACTGACGGTCAAGAATTTAGAAAAGAGACACAATTATTAACATTATTTGCATTGCCTTTTCTCAGCGACCCACACACGGATTCCGTTTATTCTGAAATATTTAATGGAGCTTGGATGGATGATTTAATGTCCAATCTACAAATGTTTGTCATGCGATACAGACAGGTATTATTTTGAATGTGTCAAATACTTTTAAATATTTCGCTTCTGCGTTTTCTGTCGTAGGTGCAGCCTGTTGTTTTGCAAAATAGTTCGACAGAACCATTGATATCATTCAATGAAATGAAGCATATTGATTTATTGAATGACGGAAATATGAAGGATTCTGATAACGCAATAACCGAGAAGGAGACTCGAAAAAAATTACCTACAATCAAAACTACCCCGCCAGCAATACCATTGGAAATCAGTAAAACGGATATATCGTGCTTCAAACAGCAAGATATGACGAATCTTAATTTGCAAATAATTGGGAACGATCGAAACATACCAATGTTTTCCGACATGCATGAAATAGAGGAACAACTTTATTTTCAGTCTTCATTAAAACATAACAATGTACATTCAAAGTGAGTAATAATTATACTCTGCGAGAAATTCTTGGGAACGTTCTAATTATTTTACAACATAACACCAATTTAATTTTTCCAGAACCGCTCAGACTCGTATAAGCGGTATTAAAACAGCGACAAATATTTTGCTCACATCCGATTTACATCAACCAGCAAATATAATAAATCCAGCATCATTTGGAAAATTGCCAAAGCAGTCGACACAGTACAATCAAGAATTGACAGTGACGAAATCGTATTTGCATACTGTCCACTGTAATTATCGAAAATTAAAAGTGCGATTTCACAAATTGCACGCAGATTATCACAAACTGATCGGAATTGCTGGTGAATTAACAGCAGCATTGGAAAATTCAGTTCGCGGACAAGCTGTGGATTTGCAAAGTATGCTGGCTTCTTGCATACAAATATTTCCAGACTTATTTAGTCAGAATGTACGTGATAATTCAGAGGTACGGTACATTCAATAGAAAAATACTTCTTAGAATCTACATCACTCCAAATAGGTCACGCAGCTTAAAATTAATAAATTCTAGATAAACTCACTAGAGAAGAGCGAAGAAGAAATCAAAGAAAATAATTTATCAAATTTCCCATTGCCAATCGTGGACGCAACTCCAATATCTCCAAGATTATTAGACTTTAAAAAAATTAAGTTACACTTAATAAGTGGTAATGTCAAGACCAAGCTGTTGCTGCTGCAAGCGTTACGATGGGTAAGTAAAATAAATATATACATAACCTCCATCATGGGAAAAGAAGCATTGAATGCAGGGGTGGTCCTCTTAGACGAACTATAAATATTTATTTTACATCTCAGAAAGTAACATTAAGCCAGCCAGGAGAGCGTGATGAGACTATTCACGAGTACATAACGACTGATTTATTGGCTCTTCATGCACAAATAGCCAGTGACAGTGGTAAACCAATTTTACCATGTTTATTAATGCCAGAGGATGTAGCTGTACCTCATCCATTACAACAATCAACAGCAAGATTACTCAATGCTTTGGCGTCACTAAGATGCGGACGTGATTATTTATCAGTAGGACCCACTGTGCTTAATGTGGCGAGTATAATACATGTGTATACGTGTATATATATATATTTATTAAGGAAATCTAATGCATATTAATAATAATAGTTTGTATATTTATAACCACAGGTCATCAGATGTTTAAACGGTACTGATAATCAGCGCATAGATGCATTCACTTGCGACATGATCATAGCAATGTTACAAAAACTTTCGTTACGCAAGCAGCAGCGCATTTACATGATTGAATCTGGTTTGGTCGAGTGGTTGATATACCACTTAAAATCCGATAATCACAAAATGGGAACATATAGATTAGAATATGCTACAGCATTGTTGATGAATTTATCACTGCATAGACAAGCGCAAATAAAGATATCAGCAATTGCTCCGTTGTTAATTTCAACGTTAACTACACTCTTGTCTACGGATCATATGCCTGTAAGTGTAAAGCATTAAGGAATTTGTCATTTAATGAAAAGTTAATTAATTAATTTTGCTATGATAGGCACTACCTTATATCAACGGGGCATTGAATAGCTTTCTGTTAAATCATGAGATAAACGAAGAAGCTAAGAAAACAGGACTGGCTTCCGTTTTGGAGTATCATCGTAAACAGAATAGCGGAGAAATAAGGTATATTCACGTTTATTTAATTAACCCTCCACGGAACCTGTTTTTTTTACTGTTTTCGCGAAACCACTGGGTCTTGTATGCCCTGTTCTGTTTCATTATATTATAGGGCTTTTAAAATATTAAGAAATGGCACGTCTCCTCATTGGAGGAGTAAGCCATAAGGAAAAGAATGAAAATATTAGCAAAAAAATTCATGAATACTCCCTAGGGCCTTACTGCATGCTCCAATAGTTTTTTAAATTAAATGTATCAAGATTTTCGGAATAATATTCAACAGTTGAACAATAATGCCCAAAAACCGAAATTCGTTAAAAAATGAATATTTTTCCAGTAAATAAATATTATGGAGAACTGCTGTAAGGTTTTAGCATTGAGATAATGAATTTTCAGATAAATATAGTGTGTCATTTGTCCCGGTTCCAAAAAAATGTATTTATTTATACATTCGAAAGTGTGGTAATTTTCAACGTTTCAGTGATATAAAAATGAAGAATAAACCCACTTTATTGTAGATAAATTAAAAATTTAATAACTTGTGCTGCTTTCTGCCGTAATCTATATTTCAAAGTATACGTCCATAAAAGACGCGGTATTTACATAAACAGCTCGATAAACCTTTATTTCATGATACACATTTGAGGAAATTTGAAAAAACGAAATAAAATAAAACATACTTACTGACACAAACAATAAGGCTGCGGAAATCCTGAATCTTTCAGGGTACACAATCGATTTGCACTCTCTGATATTTACTGATAAACTGCCGGATTTCGTCACCCCTTGGCCCTTGCGCCCCCACTACCAATAAGTTTTCTCAGGGAGGGGAGCCAGGAACTGCCCCTCCTGCGTTTCGGGGATATGTGAGCAAACAATCTGGGTTAAGCCATAAACGACCCATAGGTACCGTGGAGGGTTAATTTAGTAATGAAAAATTACTTTTTATTGACAATCATATGCATCTTCTTAATTATGTTCAGAAAACATCTGGATCACATACTGAGGATACACAAGCGTAACTACACTGACAACACCGAAGACGAGGAGACTGCTGATGATGATAATGTAATTTATATGATATGATTTTAATAAGGTTAAGATAAATGGTCGATTTCCCACAGGAAGAGTTAGACGTACTGGAAGATGAATTAGAGGAAGATGATCCTGTAAAAGTTCATACCGGTGAATTATTCGGTGAAGCACTCCTTGCCTCGTGCTATTCCATGTTACCGGAAACGCTACAGACCGGAAGCACGACTGAGGATGTCTCTGTACCAAAGACACCAAAGTTTCATTCAAGAAGTGCAAGTGCTAAGAGTCCACGCAGGAAGGAGCAGACTTTGGATAAGGAATCGTGTGACGTTAATCAAATACCCATTCGAGATAAGGGCTTATCACCAAGGTATTAGAAAGTTACATTGATCGTCATGCAATAGGAACACAAAGTAATGATGTTCATCGTGTCCTGTATATTATTCTATCAAGATTAACACCCATGAAGTTAAAAGTGCACAAACGAAATCCAATTAATTTAAAACCAGGTGAATCTTTTGTGCAAAAGGTAGAACAAAATTTGTCAATACCTCTTAAAGGAGTACCAGCCATTGTTAATAAGGTATAACGAGGTTTTAAGCAATATGTTAATATTAGATTTTTGGTTGTAACTTGCATAATCATTCATTTTTAAGGAACAACAAGTATCAGAGCCTCTAGGGGAATCAAAGTGCACTTCCGTTAGTCAAACAAAAATTGATTTGCTAAATGATGCTAAATCAAATGAAGAATCAAACACTGACAGCATATCTCAAATTGAAGAATATCTTAATATTTCATCCCTCACGAATACAATGTCGCCATATTTTTTTGCTTTCACCAGAACGTACGATCACACAGATAATACGCACGAGTCACTCAGACAAAAGTTAGGATCAAGTAAATCGAGCGAAACGCGTGACGATGTGAATCCAAGAAAATATGAGAGAAATGAAAAAATATTTGACAGAAGAAATTTCGCGGTTCGTGAGGCTAATCGAGATGCTTTAAGGCCGTCTTTATCGCGAGAACGGGAATTAGAGTCGGTGGGATTCAATTCTGGGGAAGAGATAGAGGATAATGATGTTGCTGTTTGTTTATACGCCAAACAGAGTTCCAAGTGCGTTATACTCTTGTTATGAGAAGCAGTCATGTTTGTTTTTATCTCATTAGCTTTCTAATCTAAAACAAGGAATACATTGGGTGATCTAATTTTGTTTTAGAGAGAGTAGCGAGACGACACTGAGTTCCTTGGGAAATGTCGCATCTGTATGTGAAAGTGCAGTCGAAGGTTTGTAGACTTTCTTGAATGAAGTTGCTGTACGTCATACACCCTAGTGATTAAGTTATCAAGGAGTTCGAGCGTAAACGTTAACAGTTTAACTAGAGCTTCGTAAACTGGTCAGTCGAAAACAGCGATGACCATAAAGTGGAAATAAGGAGACGTTCCTGACCAGTGAAAGCTTCCTGACTTTCTCTATAAATCTTGGCTGGTCTTGACCTCTTGAAAATCTGGAGCACACGCATGAAAGTTGTAGAGATCAAGATAAGAATTCGACCAATTTTTTCAGACACTTTTAAATTAATATTTATAATGAACTTTTTATTCCATTTACTTTTCTACTGAGGCAAATTACTTTCTATTTATTACAGACGTGGATAAGTTGAGCAGCATTGCGTCACTGTGAGTGAACAAAAATTCTTATGGAATAATTATTTTCTTCGTTACACGAGAAGAATTGTTTATATTTTTATTTGATTCATTGGGAAGATGCTTTTACTTAATAAAATTTATTTTTAGAAAAGTCACCGCCTTTATTTGATTGTCTGCTGTGAAAACTTCTTCAATTTATTATTTAGAATTATATTCGTGTCTTGTCACTGATTACAGGAAGAACGATAACAGTACCGACCTGAAAATTGGTACCTCCGAATATAAGAAGATAACAGGATACGAAATAAAGGAGGAGGAAGCTTTTTTAGCGAAACCAAAAATCTTGAGGACGCCTCCGCAAACGGCAATATCAAGAACGTCAGCGTAGGGCAAAGAGACATTAGGTCCGGAGCAATTTCCACAAAGTAAATAAGTCTTACGGTTCCGTATAATCATAAATCATAAATCATAATAATCGTAATTGCATGTATCGCAGAGATCTACATTTTATTAAAAATCATGTACAAACTAATCACCTATAATTAAGCAGCAGTGAAATAAATATTTAAAAGTCTATAAACAGTCACACTATAGCATTGAAATGAAACACTTTTCACCAGCCTTAAAAGCAGAAGGAATTACGGATATCCGGCAAAGGAGCTTCCATGCCCACCACTGGAATATCCGCCTCCACTACCGTGTCCTCCTGATGAGTATCCACCACCAAAACTCGGACCGGAAGAGTAGCTGGTGCTAATAGCATGGCCTCCACCAAGACTTCCGTGTTTACCTTTGTAGCTGCCACCTCCTCCAAATATTCCACTGGAGTAAGATGGTTTGCTATGATAACTGGAACCACTCGAGTAGCTGGGACCACTAGAATAACTGGGACCACTGGAATAACTGGGACCGCTGGAATAGCTTGAGGAACCGGAGTAGCCACCACCTCCATGTCCACCGCCGCTTCCTCCCTTGATTATAATAATTTTTCCACTGCCACCTCCAATACCAGATGAATATCCGCCTCCGTGACCACCGGAAGAGTAGCCACCGCCTCCGTGACCCCCGCCCAAACTATAACCACCGGAAGCGCCACCATGTCCGCCAGAGGTATAACTACTTATGGCGGGTGATGAATAACTTGAAGTATATCCTCCGCTACCATGGCCTCCGCCTCCAGAGTATCCACCTCCGTGTCCAGGAGACACGTAGCTGACACTAGGTCCTGAAGAATATCCACCGCCGCTTCCATGGCCGCCACTTCCTAAGCCGATTCCACCGAAACTGCTGCCATGTCCGCCTGAATAATGACTACCCACGCTGGGACCAGAGGAATAGCTTGCACCTCCAGAGTAACCTCCTAGTCCTCCTCCCGAGTAACTTCCTGATCCGGCATAGCTACTCAAACCAGAATCATGGCCGCCGCCACCAGAATATCCAGACAATCCACCGGTAAGACTATCGTGTCCACCACTAGAATATCCACCAAATCCAGCAACATGACCACTTCCAGAATGTCCACCGGAAGAGTAACTTCCTAGACTACTCCCAAGATCAGCGTACCCTCCACCACCTCCGAAGGACTGTCCGTGACCACCGCCTCCTGAGTAACCTCCAAAGTCGATATCGGAAGAATCTGCGTATCCTTTACTTCCCACGAAGGATCCACCGCTGAGGCCACTTTGATAGTCGTAACCTCCGCTTCCACCATGACTTCCGCTTGAGTAGCCTGAAAGGATTATATTTTCTATGTGAGCAGTCCAATCTCTCATTTACAAAGTGCTATCCACAGTCAAAGCACTAGTCTGCCATGTGTATTAGCAAAGTGCTACATGCGTGGGATAAAAACTTTCAGCTTTCATAAAATGATGATCCTTGTTCTTTGCTGTAAGGAAGTGGAAATAAGATCAGCAACAATCTTGTCAGAGAAAGTACTTCGCCTTGGCAACGAAGGCGCATTTAGTTTTATACTGATCACGATCGTTATATAGTATGTATCTTCTCTGATGTGGTTTAACATGTATGTCATGTATAACCGCAGATGCTCAGAAGAAAGTAGAACGTGGTTAGCCTTTTACATATTGATCGATCTTCAAAGCTATCTTAGTACGTTACTTGTGGTAACATAAACCAATTGACAATACATTGTTACCGTTTAAATGTCAATAATCAAAATTATTTATATAATCAATATAATATTTACTTACTGCTAACCGGTGGCTCTGCAGATATAGCTATGATGCACGTGGCAATCACAAAAAGCTGAAAGAATAAAGATCGATTTTAAATGGTACATAATACCTTTTCTAATTCATTTATTAAGAATTAAAAATTAATATTTATCGTTTGTAGATATAATGGGTATACCTACTTGTAACATGATGGCAATTGTCACAGATGGCGTGCTCGACGATGTAGAGCTTAAATCTTCGTTTATACGTGTAAGTCTTCAAAATAGAATTTGAACACAGACTGGCCTGTAAATCAGTTTCTTACTGTTTTATACCCCAAGGAACCCCTACTTACACGCAGGAAGGTAAAAGTAATCCTTTGATGCGTTTTGTGGTAGGGCATTGGTTGAGAGTGGACTATACAGAGTCAGGAGAAAGAGAATCAACCTGGTTTACCTCTTTACTTACAGGGAAAGCAATAAGCCCAGGTGTTCTATTACTATCGAACAAACTATACGCACGGTATCTTGGCCTTTCTATTTAATAAGTATTCCTTCTGTGATGACAAGATTGCGAATCTGTGCAGTGAAGTATTTGAGGGAATGAAGAAAACAACAAAAGTAAGAAACAAGAGGAATATTACCACTGCTTTAATATGAGTTTAAAAGAATTTGGAGCTGCTTGGGGATTTTGGACCAAGAAGATAATACGTTGGAGGAGATCGGATTGTGAGATGAGGTTATGTTTTCTTTATGACTATTTTCATATATTGAAACAAATCAAGTACCAGTTTCTTCTCAGTAGCAAGGCCAAGGCCGCAAGAATCCTCGGCGAAGCGAAAGGAACACTTTCATTTCTCTGTCCAATAAAATTGACAAAAGCCAAAAGAATAAAATGCAAGTGTACCATTGAAAATTGCCACAAATAAGCAACCATGAATAGATACAGGCTCGCGCTAGGTCTATGCCATTAAGTCATCATTGTGTGATGCTTATTGTTTGGTGATGTGGGCAAAATATACTTGCTAAAATTAATGGCCGCGCATCGTTACATCCGGAACGGGGACTTTCATTCGAGAAGGATAAGCGAATGACACATATGTCTACCAAGCGTAATAAAAGTAACTGCAAGTGGGATCCTTTAATTGTGGAGATTGCTTGGATCAAGAAAATTAACAATTAGGTTGCTCAAGAAAATGGTAATTTTACTGTCAGATATCTGGATTGGTCATGGCTAAATACAAAGTTTCAACTGCCTGTCTAACCTAACAGTGGTACTTTTAATTAGTCCACGTAGAAAGAACTGTGTGTGGAGGAAGAAGTGAAGATATTTTGATCTTAGATAGAGTGAAATGTGTGGTCATAAAAATGCACATTAGTCAGTTTGCCAACCGCATAAAATCCTATGGCTTCTTTGAATACCAATGAAATTTCTGTTTAAAAGAAAGTTTTACCAAGGATCTTAGATAAACGATTTGAATCACTGTCACTCTCGTTCTGAACCGACGACCTGAAACTTACCAGTTCAATGCCAAACATTAGAACGCGTGAATGCGAAATAGTTAATTCATGAAAATTAATTAGGCTTATAAGTACATTTTTTTTTTTTTAATTACTGTTTCATACTTCTCCTTGACTTTTTAGGCCATTCGTTGCACCTAATAAATCTCCACACTTGACCCGTGAATACTTGCATTTTTATTATAGAAATTTGATCTTTGCCACGGGAGAACTTTTTTCTCCTAATTATAATTTCAGGTATTGTGTCAGATTATGTGAAAAGAATTACTGACGCAGGATATATGCACGCAGTGCGGACTGAATACTGGGTGATTCATAGAAACTGACTGAATTTCTTTTTTTTTTTTTTTTACAAATTCACAGGATATATTCAGACCTGAAGTTGAAGTGTTTTTTTTTTCATTCTAAAATTTAACCATGTGCCATGTGATGAATAGATACGAAATGCATATATGACTCAGTGAATAGAGGATCAGAACATTTTTTTAGTTTTTCGTATGATTTATTTAATAACGAAGGATAAGAGTCCGTATGGATAACCATTCGCTATGTTATAATCAGTTTTAATAGTTTCAATAGAAAAACAATATACAGATACAGAATTGATATCGCTAATCGACGAAACCTCCTAAGGATAAAACGTTAACGCTGCATGATGAAAAACGTATTAGAAATAAAATACATATAATGAGTGGCTTAATTTTACCTATCTGTATAATAATGGTTAGTCGTTTCTTTACCTAATTACAGTGATTGAATCATTAATAGTCGTTATATCTGTATAGACACACGAGTGTGTACACTTAATGGAGATTCTTAAATACTACATAATTTTCATTTTCTTTTACTTTGGTTTTAAATTAAAGACTAGTGTGTTGAGCTTCACTCTGCCTCCGTGCACACGCGAGTCCTCGAGGTTTTATATTCATTAGCTATGAATATACGTGCTCCAAAAGAAAAAAAAAATATTAAATTTTCTATATTCCCCAACAACACATAACATCTTGGCAAAGTACTTTCATACCGCAGCACACCAAACTCAATGAACTTTCAATGGGGTTTTTTAAATATAGCATATAACAATATATTATCCTTTTCTTTTACTTTTCAGGTTGCCCAATAAAAATTGTGATAGATGGATACAAAAAAAAAAAAGACGAACTGTACCACTCATTAAAATATTACCAAATAGGCAATTCATTCTGGGAGTATCTGACGAAATCGCGTCACTTTCTATACAGGGTAGAAAAGTTTCAAGGGAGTCGGGGAAGGTTGGGAGAACACGAAGAAAAATTGAATTTTCAATATCTTCAATGAAAATGATTAATGAAAATTATCGAACGTTACGAGCAGTACGTATACAGTACGATTTTCCTTGTGTAATGCAGGAGCGACAGACGAAGCACACAATAATGTACCATTTAGAATCGGAAATGGAATTTAGAATTAGAATGTAAAAATACTATATATATATACAATAATTAATATACCGATTGGATATTTAATTACATTACACATGTGGTTTTAGTTTTATTTAGAGAGAGCTTTATCGACGTGCACGTATGAATGAAAAATTGGCGATAATCAATCAACATTTTAATACCATGATTTCGACGTCATTTAAATTATCGTGTTTTGCTCGTTGATGTGTCATTGAAAAATTATTTGCATTCGTAACACAGTATATCGAATTAATTCTCGACATGTTGGCACATAAATGGAAGTAGCATACTCAACATTTGTTTTCTTTTTCTTTTTTTATACGTATAAAATTAATCCAATTCCGTTCAAGACTTCAGTCTCGAATTTTCGAAAAACATATAATTTTCTTTTCCATCCAATTTTAAGCCGTTTTTACGTAACAAATGGACGTTAAGTTTCTAAACATTTGTTTCGTTCATAATGCAAAAATGCATTTTTCCATAAGTCAAAATTTTCGCACAAAGTGAAGTGTTTATGTGTATCTTTATAAAGGGACGTGCAATCGGTGCTAACCGATTATCAATAGATAAGAGTAAAACTGAATAATGCAAATGGAGATATAAAATTGTCAGCTATTAGAAAAGCTCTCGATTTTGTTGTTGTTGTGTATTTTCATCGTAGCTTGATATAATTCATTATGTATTTCAATTTTCATATCTATCTAGGTCTTGTATTTACACTATTTACATTTAAAATGATTATTTTTATATCCTCATATATCTTAATGATTGTATAATTAGGATTGACTATGATCTTAGAATAATCAACGTAATTTATGAATTATCATGTAAAATATCAAATACCGTGCTGTTAGATGGTATGTCCATCTCCAAGGTACCATTTTGGACGAATATCGGCCCGTTTCTTTTTTTTTAAACATGTTCTAGCACTTTGATGAGCAAATACTTTGGAGATTACATAATCTAATAATTTCAGGTAATATTAAGTATAGATGATTTTTTTTTGTTAATTACAAATATAAAACATGTATATGTAAATAGAACTCTTAATTATGCGCGAACATGTTCTCTAATTGAGCATACGTGAATTTTTTTTATCATCAGTCTAAGCCGGTCTGCGCGGCTCCACGCACAACAGCGATCAACAATACACGTTTTAAGCCTGTAGACTCTACTGTAACAAATCATTGCAATAATCAAATAACAATGGCATATGCTAAGTAAACGTTCATTCATAAAACTTTCAAACGATACTCAAGCATGAGACACGCAGGAATCTAGAGACAGCCCGTCGGATACGATAACCTTCAATCTTCTTTAATACTTTGTCCTTTTACCTTATCATACCTCAAACAATTTAACACGATAACAAGATGGGTGTAGGCGATACCATTCGATAACGTGATTCCGATGTAAAATTAATTTACAATGATAATTACTTTTATAAGGATAAAAAGAGTCGAATGGGATCGACGACGATCCGAATAAGAATGAATTAATATAAAATAAATGCATCCCGGTTATTCGATGTTCAGGCATACGATTAGAATTGAATTATTTACAATGGGTGTCTGGAATTATTATTCGCAGTACGTAGAGGCGGAGAGTTGGCCGCTTAAATTTCCGTGTGTGTCGCACGCTTCGAAAGTATTACCTAGAATAGGCCAAACATATGAGGTTTTTTTTTTACTTTTTCAAAAATATATATGTCGACTACTTAGGCTTCTCTACAGAAACGTAAAACACATCGTCGTCTCATACGATAACACGAGTAATTTTTTTTTTTCGCAAATATACATATATAGTCTTAGTTAGGTGTCCTACAGCGCATCTTTTCATTTATAGCCTAGGTACAGTGAGACCCTCATATGATCCATTTGAATTATACTTGTGGAGTGTGAGAAATGTCAAGACGTATCCGTTTTGCTCTATTTACATGAATAATCAATGCAATTGAAATAAATGCAAAAATATGTGTACAAATATTTTCCCCGCGACACTAATCAGGAATACGATCCGAGCTGTGTCGCCGCTTGCGCGTGAACCCGAATGCGAATTTTTGAATTCACCAACCGACTTGGCTTGGCCAGGGTGGCGTACGAGTTATCTTAAATTAAATGAATTTAACTATACGTATACAACTAAACTTATGTACTATTGTCTTTTTTAAAGATATCACTACGCCAAGACACTCACTTTTCTTTTTGTTATGCCTTTCGGATGATTTCCAGTAAAGTCCACTGATTATGTTATATATTTGTCATTTTCTACTACCTATCTTACAATTCTCTTTTCTAATTCATCCGCACGTAGAATTTCATTGTGATCTCGCGCCTTGGTTTTACCATTCCTGATATACCCGAGATCTAGTGTATTTTTTTTTTTGAGTGGCTCCCTGGATCATTTAACACGTCTTACAGTCGTTACTGTCTTTTGACTTTCGAACATAGGAAACACCTCTCGCTCGTTGAACTACCGTCGCCCGACAATTCGCTAATTAATATAGAGCAGGTCAGTACGGATATTACGGATTAAAAAAATATACACGGGAATGATCGCGCTATGTTATAAAAAGAAAAAAAAAATCGTAAAATCATTCAACGCGTATTATTGACTTTTTGGAGCGGCAGTGAATACGGTGCGAAAAGCGTCCCGGCGCCGGGACGTCTCCAGACACGCGGTACGTAAAGTTGTTCAAGTATAAAAAAGCCAATATTACACAACAGAGCCAATTTAGTGCCCGGGGAAGTTCCTCAGGCTGTCCTTAGTCGGATATCCCTTGCGCTTAAGGTCGAGGATGGTGCATGGATAAAAAAAAAGAAAAAAAAATTAATTAAAATGAAGTATAAATGCCCAGTCTAGTATCCCGTGTCTCGTCCGTACCGATTGATTCTTACAGTCGTAACATCGTCGTCGTACTTAAACATACTGGTTCTTATCAATCTAATCTGTACATAACGAAATGTCCCCGCACGAGTAACACAATGTCATATGTATATATTTATATATATATATTTATATATGTATATATTTATAGGTTGCAAGGTCGCGATCCGCCGCCGCGTTATCCGAGCTTGAGTAAATGCCTGTTGGGATACTCATTGAAATCTATACAACACTTTCGGGATCTATAGGCGTGTGCTCTCCTCCGAGTCGACGGAATCATCTTCCGAAGTATCTCTGGTGCATCCTAAGGGGGCAGCGAGTCTTTTCGAGGCGGAAATTGGCGAACCTCAAACAAGATGTCCGTCAATGTCAGAGTACGTTGGGGTCGAGGTGAAAGTTGACAGTGGGTGCCCGTGGGAATGTACGGGGTTGGGGGCCGCACGTGCAAATGTAGCTGGCGGGGGGGGTACCGAGGGCGGTATGGGGGACTTTGTTCCTGCAGTCATAACAGTGACGTCTGGGGGGGGGACTGGACGAGGAAGAGTCCTGTTTCTTGTCAGGGTCCCCGTCCCTGTTGGTGGATGCGCTACGATGTGCCCTGTGGGTCCCAGGGATGGATAGTATGCGCCTGGGCCCGGGTCCCCCATCACTGGGGCCGGGCTCGAGTTTCCCTCATATCCCAAATATCGGCCATTGTCCATCTCCACGCTGTAAAAGTTCACGTCTGATGGTGGGGCTGGACTCGGATTCCCGATGTAGCTCGATTTCGAGACTGTAAAGACAGAGTGGAAATTATAATAAGTCTTAGCTCCAGATTAACTGAACTTTTTAATGCAAGGGTTCAGAAAACATGCATGGGCGTCGATAAAAAAACCCCACAAGCGTATATCAGCTCGCGTGCCTCTCCTCTTTTGCCATCTCATTGTAAATTCCCGCGAATTGCGCATTCGCGATTATTTCGACCGTCTAGTCGAGTCGAGTTGCTTTAAATTGTGCAATTTACAAATTAACACTGTGCTTCTCTTTTATTTATTCACCGAGCCATTTATCAAATATCTAGTAGTTTTATAAGTTTATTTTTATAGTGTAGAGTTAAACTAGTATGAAATTTTTCGTGTGTCCTATCAGCATTCTTATTAGTGACATCGAACCGACAAAATACAATCGGGAAGGGCGGGGAGGGGGTCGGACAAGAACTGGCCAGACCGCGAACGGACTTGCGAAATAAATAAGATCTACGTATTAAAATTAGCATGCACGTTGTGAAAATTAAATTTCACAAGATTCGGAAAGAAGTAGTGATAAGGGCCGAGCATGCCTTGAGTGAGCAGCGTGCCGTGATCAAACTGTATCTGGATGGTTTCTCTATGTGGGATCTAGCAATCCAATTTATTTCTTAATTTACTTTCCCCCAGCAATTATTCCCTTCCCGTTCTCTCGTGCCGGTTCTCTATCTCTTTTTCTAGATCTTAGGGATTTAATTAATGATCATCTAAGGTGGATAATTAGCCAGCAAGCATGTAGTAATAAATAATTTCATGTGTAACGAGCGACGTAATGTGATCGAGAGCAAATGAGTCTGGCCAGCGGTACGAGAAGACACCAAGAGCGATAAACTTGAGAGGTTTCGGCACCTATCGAGATTCTCGAGACGAGTAGCAGTTGTAGATGACGCACCCGAGAGTGTTCCACTGGCTGTTGTTCTCTGGGGCGGAGAATCCATATTCAAAACTCCGTGCACGTGGTTGCCACGCCTGCTCAAAGTCCCTTGATGATGAACTTGCATTTCTAAACTGTTTTTACCAAAGTCTTGTATACTTTGATCTATTAAATAGGTGCTAGCTGCAGTTTTCCGCCCCTCGTCCTTTAAATAAAACAGTTATAAAATTTATTAAAAAAATATACAGTTGACATTAGTCCTTATCATATATCCATTGCTGGACTACCTTCATTTTTTCATTGTATCTATAGCATTGACACTTATGAAATATTAAAAACAAGTGCAAATTTCCATTTACATCTTACTCAAGGCATCAGAAGAATAACATTTTTATATTTTAATTGCCTTTGATGTACCACTACCGGAAGGAGTTAAGACGTTCTTAAATTTAAGACGATTACACAGAAAAAATTAAAAGCTTGCAGAAGAGAGGTTTTTATCAGAGAACTGATACTACTGAAACAGAATCGGATTGAAGATGTTTCATTGGATTCTGCATGAAGTAACAAGAAATGTACAGATGAGGTTGGTTAAGTACCATATAAAATTCAATGGACCAAGAGAAGTAAAAATAGAGATATATAACGATAGAATAGTACCGTGCAATGCGGAATGGCGGATTCCACGAAAGAGTGCTAAAATAAGTGGGACAGAAAAAGGGTTAACAGAACTCAAACCTACCCTCCGCAATTACTTGTTACTAAGAACATACTGACTGATCGCACTGACCACATAATCATTAGCGTCGAAGTTAACGTCGCTCTTCTCATCCGAGACCGAACTTAATTCACCGGTCATGGTGTCGCCATTGACAGTCGATGGTGCATACATGTCCGTAGTTTGGGACTTATTAATACCTGAACAGAGAAAGAAAAGAAAAAAAATATTAATAATTAGCATTAATCAATAATCCAATTAGCCTATCCATAGTTTGTAATCTATAAATTTATAATATATATTATATACTCCACACGCATCTTCAACGTGTTCCTCCCCACTTTCTTTATATATGCCAACAGAACCGAATTATCAACTTACGAGCTTTGTTTCGCTTTCGTACAATGTACCATAACATGATGAAGAGATTAACGATAAAAAAGACGACGGAAGTGGCAGCAACCGTATAGATATAATTCATCGGGAAGTCGCCCTTCTCCAGGAGTACCTCCGGCAGATTTTCCGCAGTGTTCGGCCCTAGGAAACGAGGAAAGAAAAAATTGCACAATGATATTTACCAGAACGTTGGGCCTTCTTTTTGGACGCTAAGGTGACATAGACTATGGGCGTGGCAATGAGCAGACAAGCACAGGCGGAAACAGCGATGATTATGACGATGATGTAGGAAGAGTTAGTCTCGCTGGCTGGCAACTCGGTGGGTGGTACCTCGCCTGTAACCCAAGCCAATTCCCCGTCACCCAAAATGTTACACATGCACTGTCCTCGAGGGAAAATGGATTGTTAGTCATCAAACTATTGTGAAACTTAATGATTCAACGAAAAATAAAACGAATGATCGTTAACGATACTCCCAGAGTGATGTATGACTTTGGTTAAACGATTTTTACAGCCTCGGAGACAACAAACGATGACAATCATGCTGTCGTGTAGTTCACGTGGGATTCCTCAGGATCAATACTATAATCTATGTATACTAACTCTACTACTCTATATATTAGCACAATTATATTATTGAATAATATACTATTCATAAGTCTATTGTAACTTCAAAGTATTTACTGATTATTTTTATTATATCAAAGCATGCACACCCCACTTTTTAAATGTTACTTTATGAAATTAGCTCTCCTGCTTACTAACAGATATGCTATAATAAATTATACTAGAGATTTTTCTAGACGCATACACGTGATGCCTTGCATGCCATTTTTTTTTTCTAAATTCTTAAAGTTTTATATTTTCCTTCTCAATCAGATTCCACCGGACACGAACGTATAATTATTTATATGCATTACTTCCGTGTACTGTGTTATGGATATTTATGCGGCGGTGTAACGTGATGAAGTGTGTATCGATTTCCTAGACAGAATTGAAACTTACGTAGAGTCTGAACTTTAGTCAAATCCGGAAGGTAGCCGCTCTCGCCTTTGGCATTTATAGCTTTGACACTGAAAACATAGTAGGTCCCCAGGGATAATCCTGTGATAACTGCACTGTAATCGCCAGGTGATACATCCAGGTAGTAATATCTGTCTTCGTAATCTAACGCCTGTCGCCATCTTATTTTATGGGACGTGGGGAGGCCTCCGTCAAAACCTTTTTTCCACGTTAACGTTACGGAATCGTGCGTCACGTTGTACACTCGTAAGTCCGATGGTTTATCAGGTGGTGACGTCACGTCTAAGTATATCTCATCCGTGGCATATCCTATTTTATTTTGAGCTCTGCATTCGTACTTTCCATAATCATGGGAAGACACGCGAAAGATAGTAAGCACCGACTGTGAATACAGCTTCGATATCTGTGGAGTAACATTGAATTCTTTTAAATTCCGAACGATTGGATTGCCTTAGATATTAGATTAGAAATAATTGAACTCACCTCGGTATGATTGACGTTATATTTCTGATCAGTCTGATTAGGTAGGAGCGTCTTTCCGTTAAAAATCCATGTGAAGAGTGGCAGAGGCGAACCCTGTGCTTTGCAGTATAAACGAGCGTTCGTACCCTTGTTGGCAGCTGCTTTCCTCGTCAACGGTGGATTCGCCATTTCCGGTTTAACTGAAAAAAAGAGATATGGGTACGTTATGAATAAAAATAGAATTTGTTCGGTTCAAAAAGAAAAATCCATTCGAGACGTACAATCCGTTATAAACAAAATGGGTTCCGAGGTAACGTTGCTGATCCCATTGTTAACGTTGCATTGATACTCTCCTACGTCTTCCTGACCAGGATTCTCAATATGCAAATAGGATGTCTTGTTCGAGAATGACGTGAAGTAACGTCCTGAGAGTTTGCTAGCGGAACCTTCTTTATACCAAGTAACGTAAGCATCGCCAATGGGACTGCCATCTACTTCACAGAACAGTTTCGCCTCCGTATTTGCCGGGTAGACGATACCGGAAATGGAGGTGCGTTTGATCTTTGCCGGATCTAGAAACGCGAGGAAGCAAATGAGTTTACATCTAGCTAAAAGCATCACTATGTGTATTACTATCTGTCCTATATATATCTCAGCTTACATTGAACCGTTAAGTTCAGTTGATAAAACGTAGTGCCTTCTTCGTTCATTGCTTCACATATATATGTACCGGCATCGTAACGTTCCAACCTGGTGATATTTAAGGTTGGACCCCTTGCCGTTATCCTCTTGGCACCGACACTTAAGGGTAAACCATCCCTCGTCCAAGTGTAGGTAATACTAGCCGGATTCCCAGCCGCCGAAACGGAAATAACGAAGGGTTCGCCTTCCATTCCGATCAATTCGTTTAAATCCAATGGAGCGAATATAGGCTTGTCTGTGAAAAAATATTCCATTGTAACTTACTCCTTACTCAGAGCAGGACTTTTTGTGCGGCGACCCATCCTTGGATTAATCGCTACTCACAGAGTATATTGAGCGTTGTTGCATCATGAATGGATCTCTCCATCTCTGCATTTCTGGCCTGGCAGGTGTATAAATCGCCATTCATGTCCTCCGTCAGGTCTAAAGTTAACTCGACCGAGGATAAGTAACCACCGTGTAAACCTGACTTTGTACTGTTTTTAATTCCTTCAATTGGTATTCCTGATTTCCACCAGGACATCTCAGCCGGTGGATTGCTGCTACTGGATTCACAGATAATCCGTCCCACTTGGCCAGCACGAAATTCTTTTGGCTCGCGGCTAATCTTCACTTGATCAGGTGCGACTGAAAAGAGGGACTCGAATGAAAGAGGTGCACTTGAGCTATTCCATTAAGGAGTTCGTATGAATGCTGTCCTTACAGTTCACTTTAAGTAATAAAGTCTGAAATAGAGGTATTTCCGTTGCTGAATTAGTAGCTTCGCATCGTATACGTGCATTATTGTCGGAGGCATTAACAAGAATTGCAAGCTCACTAGATACGAGCTGATCACGAGTTCTAACATTTCCTGTCATCTGTAACGAGACGAAGGTGCGCATTAAGTAACATCCAACAAATTTCATTATCTGATCCTTTTACCTTGAACAGGTCTCTAGTACCATAATATAGGTGAACCGAGAGTATCTTTCAGTTACCTTTTTACGTACCTTCCGGTCATTCTTATACCACGTCAACGTAGCCAATGGATTTCCAGCTGTGGCCATACAAGATAATTTCAATACGGTACCAGCCTCTACACTAGTACCTTCTTCGTAACCAGTGATTACAAGATCAGACGGTGAATCTGTAAAATGATACGTAACATCTCATTCGTATAACAGTTAATAATTAAGTAAGCTCTACCATAAATTCCTCGTGACAGTCAAGATAAGATACAATATAATGAGGACTCACAAATAACATTAATCGTATGGGTACCGACGACACTTTCAGCGAGCTTATTGTTAAGCGCATGACAGAGCACAACGATACTCCGAACTTCCGGATTGATGCTGAAAGTAATATCGGAGGTGGTGATCGATCCTCCCTGAGGAGCAAGGTACGTCCTGGACGTGCTGTTTTGAAAATTTCTCCCAGCAACCACCCACTTGATATCCGACGGCGGATTTGAATTTTCAGTGGTACACGTGACCTTCACCCGTTCACCAGCTTTGGCCTCGGTCGGACCAGTAATAACGGCTGCGGTAGGCGCGACTGAAATACAAAAATACATTACGAAATGTACATTGAAACGGTACAACTGGAGGTCAATCAATGTCTCAATACTTACATAGTACTGTTAGGTCAACGTAAGCTTTGAGAGGAGCGACGCTCATAATATTTGAGACTTCGCATCTGAATCGAGCTTTGTTGTCCTGCGCTTTCGCTTCGAAGGACAGCACGTTCTCGGAGAAGGTGGGTTCGGTTCTATAAACGGTTGTGATCTGTTCATCGTTTCTAAACCAGACTACTTGGGCGGGTGGATTGCCACCCCGAGAACGACACGTCAGATCGACCTGCTGTCCACGTCGTACGGTCTCGCCCTCCGTGTAGCCGTCTATGTAAGGCATTCCTGGCGGATCTGTGGAAGAAGGGGATGATTAAGAAACGAAGACAGAAGACTTAATGCAGGGGTGCAGCCGTGCTGATACTGTTAGATAAATGAGAGGCTAAAGGGACACTCACACAGGACGGAAAGCTTTATGGTCGCCCGCATTGGCATGTCGATGGGGATGGCAGGGTGTCTCGCCTCGCAGGTGTAATCCATCTCGTCGTCGTCGGCGGTCGGCGTAATTGTTATCGAGCCGTGGGTGTCGTATTTTAATAGTTTCTTCCTCAATTCGCCAGGTTTCAATATTTCCTTATCTGAAAAGTTGAGGATTTCATGGTAAAGAAGTTATGATTGATGAGGAGAGCGATAGTGGCGCCACAGCCATGGGGCGGAAGGTGGAGGTACTAGTATTGTATAAGGGGTGTGACTGGCTGAAAGAACGATATTGTTTCGAAAGGGTAGACTTAGATAGATAAGGCTAGATTAAGAATCCTTGTTTCCCTTTACCCTTTCGTTTCAAAAGTTAAGATAATCACGTGGATCACAATAGGGGATCTTTTATAGGGATTCTACGCTGTGGAATAACGAGGGTCGAGTTCTGGAATTAGATATATAAAAGTGTACTTGGATGACAATTTTGTCACTCGGTATATGCCACGTATACAATATAGGTATATGAGAGACGGTAATTTACCGAATCCTTCGAATGGTAGAGAAATAATTCTTATTTTCATTTAGAGAGATGGGAATTGGGGTTAATCCCTCGGCGGATGCAGTATCAACGTGGATAGGAAAGTTCACGATACCTCATCCGCCGTGAAATATATAAAAGTTTAACGTACAACAGAATGCAGCCGTAGCAGACCACTTAAATCTCTGCTAAAAGCTCGAGGCAGCCTCTTAACCGTTTGTACTTCGTTCTTTTATTTTTCAGTTGTGGATTTAAACGAGCGACAGGAGTGCCTCCTGGTGAAAACATTCAGAAGCATTCGAGAGCGTGGACTGTATATATTCATGAAGGCTCGTACAATAAACTTGCACAGTCTTGGCTGCAATTTTCAATCAAGCTGTATCGAGCGGCAAACGATACAGGGTGAAAAAGAAATCAGTGAATTCGAAAAAGCTTCTGTAAATGGGATTTAGCAAAGATCCAGCGGGAGATTCAAATCGACGTGTAACATGGCGTCAATTGGATAGACGCCTTGGAGCGGCATCGTTAGTGAAGGATGGAGGAAGGACCGGTGTGGCGGTGATTGTGGTTTACGAAAAAGAAAATGGTTGATTTTGTTACTTGGAACGTTGCCAGAATTGAGTGGAGGTCGATCGAAGAGCTTTGTCTCGTTGAAATCCTATTTCTTTGTCTCACCTATTTTTTTTCTTTCTTTTTCTACACGTAACGTACGTTATTTCAACCGACACACCGAGCTCACTGAGAAACGTAAAGAAGATTACATTCATTTAACGGTCTTATCGTACGTAGCGCTGAAATGGATTGGGACATTTTGAAATTCCATTGCCGACTGGGTAACATTAGGGAGAATTGACAGCCCGTGAACTGATTACAGGAAAGTCGGGGGCTCGGTGAGCAGCGATATTTCCTTTCCGCAGTTTCCTACACGATCGTGAACAAGATGCGCAGTAACCAATAACGGTCCTACTGCGCATCACGTGACGCCCCGTCGGTACAGTCGTATCCGTACGTTGAAATTTGAAAATAAAAACTCATTTTTCGTCGTACCTAAGTAGAAAATCACAAAGAGACGCGTCACCGTGTAGCATTTTAAACCTTTTACCTACATATACCAGACTTCCAAGATATATCCCCTTAAGACGTTAGAGAAAGCACACCCCATCCAAAAAGGATGTTTCTCGGAAGACGCCATGGAAACTCGCCTAAATTATTCACTCCTCTTCCACTGTCTGATTACACGAGTAGCACCAGTATTTTACCTCTCCCCCCCCCCCCC